GGGTCGGGCCCGTCGGTCGTGGTCGGTCTACTCGCCTCCCGACTCGAACGCGACGTCGGACGGCCCGGTTCCGGGGGGGCCGACCGCCGCCTTCCCTGCGCGCCGCAACTCCTGGCCTGTCATCCCCCCCCCCACGACATTTGTATTCATGCCCTGCAAGCCCTGAGACGTCAGCCCGTTAGGGGCCCGCCCAAATCCGGAGAAGCCCTGACTCCCGACAGCGTTTGTCTCGGGGGACGCCTGGAGTGATCTGCTTTTCCGGGGGTCTCCTTCCTCAGGGCTCAGCAGCCCCCCCTGCCCATCCCGCTCGCTGCCATGCATGCTAGGGTTTTCATCACCTTCCCGCACACCCCCGTACATCCTCCCATCGTCAGACATCGGCTCGGGGGACTTGCGTGGATCGCTGACCGCCTGCGGCGACTTGCGCCCCTCGAGCTCTTGCTTTGTGCCACCCCCCCTCCCGAGTGGCTCGCTCGCATACTTTTGCAGAGGAGCAGGTGCCTGCCCCTGCACCTCCGGCGTCTTCGTCGCTGACCTCAGCGAAGCATACCGCTCCAGGGCTTGGAAGGCCGCCCCCTCGGTATGAGCCTCCTCCGTGCTCACACCTGGTCCCCTGGCCCCCCCTGCTCGATTCAGGATCCGAGGGTCCAGTTCCAACTGAGGGGCCCGGTCCCCCCCGACCAGTTCCGGAGACCCGGGCACTGACAGGCTCTCCTTGCGGCGCGCTCTTTCCAGGTCGAGTAGCAAGCTGTCCGCCGCCCGCCGCATCTCCTGCAAGTGCTGCACCGTCTCGCTCGTCGAGCGCCCCAGGGGGGGGTTCCCCATCCCAGGGGGGAACTCGCCGCGCTCGCTCGCCCCAGGGGGCTGCCAGCCAAAGCCCCCCCCCTCTCGCGACCCCTCCTGCTCCCCCCCGTCCATGTCCATCCCCTGCCCCGGGCCGCTGCCTCGCCGATCCAGCCGGGGCCCCGGAATGACATCAGTGTGCCGCTGTGGCGCCACGCCCCGTAAGTCTTGGAATCCTTGCACGGGCACCGAGCGCGTGCGGTTCAAAGCGGATGGCAGCGTGGGGCTAGGGCGCACCCCCATTTGCGCCAGGTCGTGGAACCCGGGGACGGGCACACTGTCCCGCCGGCCGAGGCTTTGGAACAGTCCCGGGTCCAAGCGGCCGAGCGCCTGCCGCCGCTCCCGAATGCTCAGCTCCAGAAGCGCGCGCTCTGCGAGGGAGAGCTCGAGCATGCGGTTGCTGATGGCGAGCTCTCGCTTGGCCAGTTCGCGTGCCAGCAGGGCGCGTGCGTCACGAGAGAACTCCCCCGAAGGGCTCAGATCGTTTCCCCCCAAAGGGTACGAAGGGAAGTCTGGGTGATTCATGCCGAGGGGGCCGAAGCGATCAAGGAGGTCGTGCGGGGAGGGCTCCCCCTGCAGAAGAAAAAGGGGTGGGTCAGATAGGCAGATGCACATCAACAGGCTTGGGGGATCCCTCAGGACTTTCGCCTGACACAGGCGTCAGCTTGATACAGTGTGGTTTTGCGTAGTCTCAGATGTTTGCATGCTCGATATGCGTTTGTCATTGTTGGTACCATGGGAGCCTGCAGCTTGATGTCACTGCACCATTGGCCAGGAAAAGCGTGCTCCGGCGCGATCCTCCGTGCACTTTCAACCTGGCAAGCTGCAGATCAAGTTCTTTCATACCCAATGTGAGGCCAGCCCTTGAGCGCCTACGCAGATGCTCTTGATAAAGGAGAGTTGTTCCAGAACACAGTCAACAGTCTGTTGAAGGACGTCCATCGGTACACAACCCGCTTAGCCCCAGCAGATTCAGGCGCCAATTGCAAGCTTGGAGGTTACGATGAGACAACGTTGATCCTACACGGTAATGGAAGCACGAAAACCCCCTTATCCAGGTCCGGCGCTCCCTCTGCTGATGGATGGGGACAATTCCCGACATTGAAACTCTCCGAGCGTATTGTGTTGGTCTCCCGGTTTCCAAAGCGGTGCTGAGGCAGGATCATAGAAGCGGTGCTTACTTGTCGCTTCGAGTTGGCCAGGTTGGCTGCCAAGAGCTCTGGCGCCGACCGGTGGAAGAAGCGGCAGTTGCTCCGGAAGCAGCGCCCATTCTCGAAGTCGCGGCACACAGGCTGGTCGTTTGGCGTCTGCAGGGCCGACAGAATGTCATGCGGCAGTGCAGACTGACTCGGTCGAAACAGGTGGCATGTTCTGGGGTTAGCCATACCCACTTACTCTACTGCAGTTCAATCTTGGGTTCTTCAGCAGTGTGCACAGCTGGCATACTCTGAGAGGGGTGCACCCAACTTATGTGGCCTGACAATCAGGCCTTGTTGACCAAAATGGTAGACTGAGGTTGCTAGTATACATCCCTGGCTAATACAAGTGCTTAGCCAGCTCATTCTACATTATGATCGCCCAAGGAAGTTCTTGACCCACTAGAGGGGCTCTACCCCAGCAGGCCTAGCTGTGACGTGGACTGGGAGCATCACATACGACAGCACTGATGCAGCTTCTGATAACTGCTGACGGGTCCATCGCTGAGGAAAAAGTTGGTGCCCCACGTCAATCACAGACCCAAAGCGATTGCGAAGCAACCGGTTTGCTGAGCCACCACTTCCCTTGGCAACTGATGTCAGCTTCCTTAATAAAGAGCATCTCAAGCCGGACCCCAGAAGCAACCTGTCATTGGTGGAGACTTAAGCAAGCCAACGTTAGCGCATCATGCACGATGACGTGGCCAATGGTGGTGTCACCATGGAGCTGCAAACTTTGGTTTATCAGCAAGCACTCGTGACGGTCCTGAACCAGACGGAACCAGACCCTGCCAGACGAAACCAGAGCCTTACCCCCGGGGTCCCATCGGCATTGATGTGCGCATATCGGCAGTTCACCCGAAAGCAAACACCCTTGCGGAAGTCCCGGCATATCTCCGGCTCCCCTTGCATTCTTGTCTCTTGCTTGCTCGCCTACCTAGTCCCTCGTGCAAGCGCGCGCGTGTCACTGGTGTGCATCGGTGTGCTTGCGCTGCAGCTAGAGCGAAAAACTGGAAAATCAATATCTGAATCCAAATTCAGTGCACATGTCATCAACTAAATCCTTGCTTGATGTAAACCATCGCAACCTTAGCACTCCCCTCCTGGCTAAGCTGTATGCTGTACACCAGTTCTGCCAGCTCTTGTAATCTTCACGTGCCTTGTGAAAAGAAGGCGCCTTGCAGTCTCTCACATTATGTATTAACAGAAGGCGCTGCTACAATAAATATAACCCTCCACAACATAATCCTAGCTGCAAGAAGGCCGTTGCCCTGGATACCACTTGCAGTGTATACACCACCAATGCTAACGCGTGAAGTCTCTTGACCACTAGTCCATAAAAGTTTCTAGCTGGGTAGCCTATCTCCAAAAGGGAAAACTCCAAAAGTATCCGGCATTCATTGAAAGTAGATGCAGCTGATGCAAACATATGAATGGCAAAGCACACTAGGGAAATTTATTAAAAGAATGGCCTGCTTCTTGACCTAAATTCTTCTGCACTCCTGAAGAATGGTGGTCAATCAACGCCATTGCCAGAACTCTAAAGCAAGCTTGCTTGTTGAGCTTCGCGTTGATATCAAGAGTGAGCCACATCAGATGGTATGCCATTCGATGTGACCACCGGATACAGTGTAACCAAGTCACTTCAAGCCGACCAACCTGGGAAGCAATCTCCTGAGGTCACGCAGTAGGCGTCACCAATGACTTCCAAAATGAAAAGAAACCGTTGCCGAAGATGCTAATTAGCATTACACAAAATGTGCGCATCTCAGCGAAACAGCTTCAATCTTGAGAAACCCTTCCACCGTGCATAATGCAAAATGCATCTCCCACCACAGGTTGTGTTTTCCACCATATAGAATCACGCTCAGCTTCTTCTCTCATATCCCTGACATCTCAGCGCAACGTCCAGCATGCTACTCGTACAGAAGAAGAAGATCCTGGCAAAACCTTAGGTACTTACCGCCAAATGCCAGTCAAGAGAAAGACAACAGCCGAATGCAACCTGTAATGCGTTCTGACTCAGTCCAGCATACACTAAAGCTTTCATTGAAAGCACCTGAAGACTTTTAGACAACTCACCTCTATAAAGTTGTTTCAATTTCAGAAATGGAGCCCTTTGCTGAATGGAACATCGCAACTGGTAAACCCCTGCTTGTCCTTTTTCCTCCCTAGCTTCAGCGCCTACTTTACATTGCAAACAACACCTGCAAGATGTTCCTCCACAGTCATGACCCCCGGGCTCGCAGGATGCATCCAATAAGCAGGAAACCTCCGCGCTGCAATTGCTACGCCTACTCTACGCGTGTTGATGTCAGCTGCTTTAGCCCGCCATCCTCCATTTCCTGCGTTTATTTTCTTCCTCGGAGTCAGGGCAGGATCCAGCTAGGCAATTGCACAACCTGTTGCTTTTCTCCTCGGGGGGTCCGTTTTGGGCTGAAGTTCACCGGGGTTTGGCAGGTCGCTCATGAACTGACACGTTGGAAAGAGGTCTGCCACGCGGGAGCGATAAGGCCTTCAAGTCTGACAAGCGATTATTCCGTGTCAGATTGCATCAATTGGCCGAGCCAAAATTTCCACATGGCAGCTCCGGTTTATCTGCTGAGGTAAACAGAAAAGTGATCAGCATCTGCCAAAGGCCCGCGGACTCCGGAGTCGCGGACAAGAGTTTTTGAGTCATTCCGGGCAGCTGGTTGGCCCGGCCAGTGGCCACGAAGAAACAGGCCGGCACCAGCCTGTCGATTAAAATCCACCAGATGCCTTTGATTACCACTGGTCGGATAGTGCACCAATTTAGTTACTTCGAATATCTGATGAGATAAAATCTGGATATTTTTGACTTTTATAAACCCACATTTAAGGTACCTAAAATTCGGCACAGTGTCGGCATGCAAGTACCACACGTGAAAAAGTTGCGGTCAAACAGCCGTTTCGCAGTGCAATTATTCCCGTACATGATACACCCGGGTCCCGTATAATGGTACCGTGGAGGTACCGTCAGATATTTTGGTGCAGAGTCGAGGGCCGGTTGAGTCAACAACGAAACACCGTATGTAAACTGACCAAAGTTAGGTGTACCGTATACTAAATAGATTCTCTATCGATGAAACTCAAGAGAAATTAAAATGATCAAAGATAATAATAAGGTCTTAGGTAACCGCTCTGGGACGGGTAGGGTTGGTTTGGTGGTTAGGGTGGGTACGGGTGCGGAGCAGGTATCTTTTTGGGTTAGGTTTTTTTAGTGTTAGTTGGAGGCTTGGAGCTTACTATTATCTTTGCTTATTATTGTCTTTCTTGACTCTTGAGAGTTATTCTCTATCGACCTGCCCTGGCTTGCTGATCAAAGTTCAAACCCACCAGTAAGTTATGTATAACCATCTCTGTAACCAGCAAATTCCTAGTAGGGTGGGCAATACACCGACCTGTACCGAACAGGACCTCTACGTACCGATTGACCTCATTGTTCCGGGTGAGCCGGGCCGATACTATCTGAGCTGACCTCAGCGGCTCAGCAGCCGCCCAAAACCCTCAAATAGACAGAAACCCTGCATAAAGCTCAGTTTACACGGTCCCCGCCGACCGGCCGCGCGCTGCATAGCGCCGGCGGCCGCCGGCCACCCGCGGGGCTTATTGAATTTTGCGTTTGCTGTTCTCAAAATGTACGTCATAGTAATATAGGAAGTGGCGCGCCTTAGACAGAATGCTACTGGGACGTTTCAGGAACAAAAAGGAGCGAAATGCATAGGCGGATCCAAAAGTGGCCCTCACCATGTCGATGTATACCATCATCACGGCTTTTCTGATGTTTGTGAACGCACTGGCGATCCTCAATGAAGAAAGGTTTCTGAAGCCATGTGAGCAAGCAAAGCAGTGTGGATTTGCCCTTTTTTTTGTTGCTGAGGGTGGTGCAGCGTGCTTGTGTTCCTTCTCTGGTTGCTTTGTGTCTGCAAACCATGTAGGAACAGCTTAAACTTTGAAAACTCTTCTGAGCTTTTTGCCCTTTTGCACGCATTTTAACCAGCCAGACATTCTTATTGTGGCCACCAGATCAGGCACAACCCGTTTTTGCTGCCATCCTGTGAATGTATTGATGGAGTTGTTAAATGGATTGTGTCCTTTCAATCTGCACAGCGCTCTGAAGAGTCTAGGAGTGCCTCAGCAAAGGAAAAAAAGCAGAATTGGTTTCCCTGCGGTTTTAAGACATATTGATGAGCCATCCAGTGGGAAACCGACTGATGAGTGCCCCATTCAGCTGAGAAAGATTTCAACTGTATGGGACAGAGGCAATCAACATCAGCGGCCTACTTTTTCTGCTATTCTTTGTTCGCCGAACTTCCAACAGGCAAGGCCTCTGGTGAAAGATCATGAAAACCACAGGGCAGAGCTTAAGCATCCCCAAAAATATCTCATGCTAAAAGCAGGCCTGCCAGCTGTAAGTATGAACACAGCAGGGAGGTACGACAGTCTGCTGGTACAGTAACTAATGGCCAGAGGATCTTTATGAGCTGAAGTAATCAGGAGCACCAGAATTCAAGCAGTGCTTCCATCTCACCAACTGGTGCAGGGCTGCCAAGATCAAACTATGCGAACAAGGTGGTCGCATGATTTTGATGCTATTTCGCTGAAATATCTTCCTATACACTATCCTGTGCAGATGGATGGGGCTTTCAGGAGATGTCGGGAGGGCGTGTAGCATCGCTCAAGGGCCAGATCATTGGACTTTTGCATGCAGTACAATACCTCCGAGGTGAGAATACAGATCTCACTATAAAGTTGAGATTTGATGGTACCATGAGGATTCAGAGCTTGCTACTTCCCTGATGAGTCCGTAGTCCGTAGGTGCGATGACCGTCCCAAAAGCATCTGCGATGCTCTTGAAACCTCTGATAGCATGTCTGCAAAGTCCTGTTAGAAAAGGGCCAGAGATGACCCTTCACTGTGTCGGAAGGCAGTCTGTGAGCACTTGTTTCTGACAGGAGAGCTCTGAGCCACCTGACCAGATTTCATCTGCCATCTGCAGTTCCTCTTATTGTGATGAATGTGATCACCATTTTCGGAAAACTACTGTTTGGATAGCAAAGCAAAATCCGAGCTACCTCCCGGCGCGGGGAGAAAAAGGTGCAAAAAAGGGAAACTGTTGCCGGGCCTAAACCACATTGAGCCATGGCGGCTGGCCGCTGCCATGGCCAGCATCGATCTCCGGTAGGACTGGGCGGCCGCGGGATACCAATCAATGATTCAAAATCAAACGACTCCAACTGAGTTTCTAAAGTGAGGCTGCGGCTGCACTAGTCATGTCATTGAGCAAGGGCAGAAACGTCTCCGGATCGGCGGCCAGCGTCTGAGTCAGTTGTTCTTGGTGGCGGCCTGATCATTGTGCTGCGGTATATCTTACTAACTCGCCGGGACTGTACATGATGATCTGGGTACGACGCCAGTGAAATATATCCAATGTCCAGTGGGGCCGCAAGTATCATGCGTATCTGCTCGCCCTTGCGCACTGGTCTTGCTGAGACGGTATACATATGACCCCAGACATCATGCCATGTCTAACTAAGTCAGTGAGCAAATGTATACTAAGCCCATGCGTATAAAGCTTCGCTATAATATGGACATCATGCAGTCTTAACTTTGCGCAACCGCGGCGCGCCGCATTCAATTACATCATGCCTGAGCTAGAGCGCATGAGCGATCCGCGGTCACTCTTATTCGAAGCCTTGATTGAGCCTTCAGGTTCGAGAATCACACTGCAGCTAGCGCCGTACGTGCAAAAGATCATGAAATTAAGTTCCGCGCTAGCTAAGCTCTGGCATGCACATGCGTGATATCTGGTTGCACACGAATTACTTTTCATATTCAATTCGAAAGTTCGTCCAAGAAGTCCGGGCTCTGCACGAGCACATTGGGAGCACATTACTGGCAAGCCATGAGCATGCATGGCCTTGGACCGCGACCCGCAAGTGACTTCATGCAATTGATATTCCGGGAAACTTGAAAAGTTGCATGTCAATGTCGACAATTCTCATTTGTGGTGCATCGGGCGGCCCGGCCACCTACAACGTCCGCCACCCTATAGTATGTCGTCAATGAATCTGGGCTGCGGAGAGTACGTCTTGGTTGCATGATAAACCTTTAATTCCAATGTAGGACCGGCTTATATTCGTGATTGTTGTCTCTGATAAAAGGATCCATGTCTATGCGGAGCACACTATTTTTGCTGACGTCCTCCACACCTGGTAACCATTTTCATAACGGCGGCCTTCTTCTGTTTGCCCGATCTGCAAAAAAAGGTTCTCCGCTTTAGCTCTACGCATGTACATCTTACTCGGAGAGTTCGGCCACGCAAATCTGCCCCGCCGCTCTCATCAGCCCCGCAATCAGCGCTCTCGTTCGGCGAGTTGTCGAACGCCCCGCATCGCCTCCTCGCTCTCCGACTCGGACGTATCTTCCTGTCTAAACCCCGATACTTTTGATTTCGACGGCGTGGACCCCCCCGGCATGTAAAACAGCCCCGTCTCGTCGTCCGCAATCCAGGTATCGAACTCCGTGGGGACCCCTTCCAGCCCAGACCTCCGCCCCCCTCCCCCCCAGAACAAGCTCCCCAGAGAACTCCCCCCCAAATCGTCTTCCTTGGCTAATTGGTCACCCACAGAAAGCGAACGCTTCAACCCACTAAGATTCCCGGTCGAGCCTTGCCGAGAGCGTGGCCCTTTTCTGTCCCCAGGATCTCCCCCCGTTCCTTTTTCTGGCGTCAGCTCCCCGTTATCCTTTACGTTAACCGGGTCAGAATCCCCAGCGTTAACTGGGTCAGCTTCTCCGGCAATGACCGGGTTAGCTTCCCCCGGTTTGACTGGGTTAGCTTGCCCGGGGGGCGCTTCCGGGACGTTGCGGTACAGGTGGCGGGTGACGAAAAGCGCCGTGTCCTCGTCTTTCCAGTAGGCGGTGTGCGAACTGAGCGCCGAGATGTACGGGTGCTCGAACGTGGCGTCCTGCAGAGCAGTAATTACCGCGGGCTGAGTCATAGAAGAGACTCTCGTTTGCTTGCAATTTCTTCGTCGTGGACGATTGAGTTCAATTTAGACGTGATCTAGCGTTCTGCCAGATCCCAACAGCCGTCACCGAGAGATACCCGGAAACGGCACTCCAAGCTATTATGATTCCCCTGCCCAACCGCAATTCTGCCCTATGGAAGGTTGCCAACCGTGAAGTTCTCTTTCACTCTGGTAATCAAAAGGCTTCCTGATAAATAATGCACATTGTATTTCGGTCGGGCCGCCACGGGCCCGCACATCATGGACCACAGACCAAGCTCGTTCCATACTTTGGGCGCGATCCGGAAAGTGCCCAGTCCGGAGCCTCCAAACGCACTCGCACGAGGAACATTTCCGCTCGCTGGCAAGAACGGACGCTGACAACGAGCACCGGAACGCATCCCCGCACCTGGAGCATGAAGTCGATCCGCCCGTGCTTGCTCCCGGTCACCCGCTCCATTACGAGCGCCGTGTGCTGGCTCACTTCGTCCCCCCCCTCCTCCGACTCTGCCGCGCTGGCCTGGTCTGCCCCCCCGAACGTGGACGCGATCTTGGTCTTCATGCTTGACAGCGAGCTGATGATGTCATTCTGGAGCGCGCGCGAGCGCGCGCTGAGGTCATCGCGCAGCTGCTGCATCCCGATGTGGAGGCGCTGCCCCCCGCGGTGGTATGGGATGAAGACGGGGCGCCGGGCGACGAAGTCCTTTGACACCAGGGGCTCGATCCTGCATAAGAGGGGAGCGCAAAATACTCTATTGTGTCAAACGAATTTTGCCCAACTCGTCAAACGAAACATGTGGTACACCTTCGCAGGGCTTTCATCCAAAGCACAGCACTTTTGAAATACTGGATTTGACGGGTAACATTCAGACAGGGCCATCTTTAGGGTCTATACACACAGAGCTGGTGTTCTTTTTGGCAAATCGCCGAGAACTCAAGGTGCTGTTTTGCCCAATTTCCCCCTGCAACTCAACGTCGTGCCGGGGGGTAGCTTCCGCACGCAAAATTGCCCCGTACACGGTCTGATCGCAACAACACCCGGTGTTCGGACCGTCACCGGGCTTTTTTCGGGGTGGCCGATTGGAACACCTCGGTGTTGTTGCTGACGTATGACCGTACGAGTCGGCGAAATGGAAACAACACCCCGCGATCGGCGCGGTGCTTTTTGGGCGACGGCAGCACCGCGATCCCTGCTCTACCGTCGCTCCGAAAAAAGAACACCCTCTGTGTGTGTATAGACCCTTAGTGGAACGGCACATGAGCAACAAGCCGATGAAGCACTGTTGAGCGCTCTGTTTCTAGGGCGGGGAAGCGAAAACTGCACAGACAAATTCCCATTCTTGGGTAGAGAGGGTCACAGTGGACGCATAGAAGAGCTGTCTTCTGAATACTGCTTATGGCAAGGGCGTTGGGGGGGCGACTAAGTAGACGTGCAACAATGAGAGGTGTGTCTGTGTGTCTATGTCTAACGAAGGGTTTGAAAACCGCTGGGATTGAGATTCGATTACAGAAGAAGGCGTCCGCCAGAAGCGACCAGCCAAGCACTGAAACCTGGGGCGTGAAGTATGAGGCCGATATAACTTTGACACCTGTTTGGAAGGGGCTTCACCAAAAGACGATGTTCAACCCCAAAAGCGCCTCACAATAGGTAAACCGGGTCAGTAGAAGTGAAGGGCGGTAGACTCACGCAGAAAGCCCTATACTTACTGAGAATCCTGAAACGGTGGATCTCCACGTATAAAGGAGCGCCTCACCTATACGCGACGGGGTCGTATGGGTGGAAAATGTTGACCATGTGACGCGCAGCCGGCATGCTCTCCTCCAGTTTCTTGAGGTCCATATTCTCGCCCCGCGTCGCGCTCCCGAACTCGATGTTGCGGAGCGCTAGGAACATGCCAAGTGGCGAGCCCACGGCGAAAAACGTGTCCACCTCGAACGCGAGGCGCGGGTAGTGGACGAACGCGTGCGGGCCGCGCTTGCGCAGAACCTGGCATAAGAGGGGCGCGCATATGACATGAGTGAGTGCTTATTAGTGCTTAAAAGGGGGAAATTTTGGATGCGGAGTACCACCCAGGGGGGCAGTATGCGAATAGGCGAGTACTTGATAATCGGTACCAAGAAGCAGGGCTGGGATTGCGAGTAGAGTCAATGGGCAAGGGCGTACGAGCATCAGCGGTAACTACGGGGGTTCTCTGCATACAGCACTTGTACTTGTTGAGTACGTGTCATCGAGTTGTGCTCAGCACTCACAGACATGGCAAAACAGGATGACGGATTCATTCAGGATTCATTAGAGCCAGGTACAAGAAATTCCAACTACCATTAAGACCTTAACCCAACAATCTACGTGCCCGCACCCGTACCCACCCCAGGCCCCCCATCTTACCCCCCCCGTTCTGAATTTGGCGAGCTTGTTATCCTGCCGCTTATCATCCTTGATTGAGTCCGAGCTCATACAGGGTTCGTGGCAAAAGCCATCTGTTCCATGAAGAGGATTTTCATAAACTTCTTAATCATCTGCTTCAGAAGCGAAACGCGCAAGGGCGCAACGGAAAAAGCGACAACAAACACTTGCCTCTGCGTCGAGCGTGCTCTTGAGATCGTCCAGTCTCACGTCGACAGACGGGGTCGAAATGAGGAGCGGGCGGCTAACAGGACGTTCCGGTTCCGCTGCAGCAGAGCGGAGCGCCTCTTGGATCTCTGCCGGGGACTCAGGTATATGTACGCTAGAATAACGGGGCGCATCTACACTCGCCGTGCTTTTCGCACCTATACTCGCGGGCTGCGTGGCGCGCGCCTCTGCGCCGCTTGGACGTTCTGACGTTTGCACATCGGACCTGGGCTCCCCTCCGGACCCCTCGCTTGCGTCACCAGAGGGCTGGCTGACGTCACGATGGGCTCGGCCCGCATTTGCGTCTGCTCGTTCCGGCAAGGAAGACCGATCATCACCCGTGTCCTTTCCCATTCCGCTGGCCGAATCTTCAGTGCCCTCACCGCTGACCGCCGCGAGCTTCTCGGCAAAAGAAAGAGCGCGCTTGGACCCATCTGCCTCTCCATTCGCAATTTCTATCTCAGAATCGGGTTTTTCAACAGCCTCGTTTCCCTGCGAACTTTCCCATCTCCTCAGCTTCTCCCGCAGAATGGCCACCTCCGCTCTCAGCGCCGCCAGCTCCGCGTCGCTGCTCTCGTTCCGGGGGGGTCCGCTGCCAGTGTCATCACCCCCCCCTTCAAGCATTCCCGCCGCTTCTGCCAGTCGCATGTCCAGCACATCCAATCCGGATTCTTCGGACGCGCCAGGGGTCGGCTGCTCTTCTACGGCTACCTTGTCTATACTGCGGCTAGCCGGGGGAATGGTTTGCTCGCCCAAAACTCCCCCCCTTTTCGAAACTCCCGTTTCCTCTCCCTGTTCCACTCTCTCCGCTCCAGCCTCCGCAGACGTCAATTCGCTGGTCGGCTCATTAATCCGAACCGGAACCCCCGAGTCGTGTTCTGCTCTTTCCGCACCCGTACCAGAGTCCCCTCGCTCGGCATCTGGAGGGGGGCCTTCATTTCCCTCCGCTCTCGTTCCTTGCTCGCTCCGGTTCTCCTGCATTTCCTCTTCAAACCCCCTTCCCTTATATTTCTCCTCGCCTCCTTCTTGCGCCATATCCGTATCCTCCTCCCCCGCAGTTTCACCAGCCCCCTTGCCTGCCACGTCATCTTTACCGCCGTCTCTCTCCCTCTCTCTTTCTATACCCTCGTGATTTCTCGTCTCCCCTCGTCCACCCTCGTTTCGTGTGACGTTTGATCTGGGGGTCAAACCCGTGTCCTGCCTTCGTTCTTTAGCCCCAGACTCCGCCTCTGCCGTTGCGATTCCACCAATGTCTTCGTTTTCCAGGCCAACCAGCGCCCCAACTTTCTCAATCACGTCACCTATTTCCCACCCTCTCCCGACGCTTTCTGCGAACTCTTTATTACTCTCCCCTTCCCCACTAAGTTTCACCCCGACCCCGCTGCCTTCTACACCTTCCCCATCAACCGCTCCGCCCTTCTCCCCACCTCCCTCCGTGCCCTTCTGGCTGACGTCAGCGGCCCCCCCTCTGACGCCCCAGCCTTCCCCGCTGACGTCAGCACCGCTTCCACCGACATCAGCACCGCTTCCGCCGACAGCCGCCGGGGGATCCCCCGCGGGATCCTCGGGGATGCGGCTGAGCGCCCCGCCCGCGGTGCTGGCGGGTTTGGCAGGAGCGGCCGACGCGAGGAGCCGCGCATGCAGATCGGTGAGGAAGGGCTTCGGCTGGTGACACAGGATGTCGTAACTGAGTACGGACCCGAGGGAGTGCCCAAAAATGTGCACCTGTGGGGAATGAGTTGGGTGTGAGACAACCAGAATGGCTGGGGGTGACTTGGAATGCTCAGAAGAAGGAACGAAATCGAGACACAGGCTGAAATTGAAACAGCCATGGAGAAGAGTCGATGACTCTTGCAGCCAGTATGAGCGGAAAAACTAGGGCGGCGTCCATATCTGCGCTCACCTGGCCGTCAAAGCAGGGGTTGCTCCCCGCGACGAAGTGCCGGTAATATTGCTCTTCATAAGGTTGAAAAATTGCCCGGATACTGCGGAACCACAACAACTAGAGGCGGCCGAAAAAGATCAAGCGCCCCTGACCGTTGAACCGAGGGATGCGCCGGCGGGCAACTGCACAACCCTCCAGACCAAAGGGAACGAAGGCCCGGGTTTGCAGGACCACAACAACTAGAGAAGGCGGAAACTGTTCCAGCGCCCACCTGGCCGTCGTCCGCCGGCGGAAGAAACTGCAAGACTAGATCGTGGGACATAAAGGTTCATCCCTTGTGGATATTACAGATCACAAAATCTAGAGGCGGCGGAATTCGACGCCCACCTGGCCGTCGAAGCCGGGGTTCCGCCGGCGGAAGCGCGCGTACTGGCGGTTGAGCGAGCGGCAGACGGAGTTGACGATGTCCTGGCAGTAGACTGGGCTCATGTAATACAGCACGTCCAGAACCGTCGCGTTTACGATCTGGCGAATGCCGCGGATGCCCTCCATCGTGATGTCGTCGATTATATTCTCGCCGCCTAATTGCAAGATCTTGCGCCACTGCAGAAAAGAACAGGAGGGCAAGGGTTTGAGGATTGAAACCTTTGGAAGGCAGAAGAATATGCTTTCCTGTGTGGGGGCGGGACTCAAAGGTCGGCTTCTCGGGGCGTGAAGGGAAGGTCGATATCGTCACCCAGCTGCAGGATCTTGCGCCACTGCAGAAAATATAGGGAGAGCGGAGCTTTAGGAAGTCGAAATCCTGGAGGGGTGAAAGAGCAAGCGAATTTGGGGCGAGAGTCGAAGGGCCGGGGTTATTGGGAGAGCAAATATTGGAGGCGCTGCCGAACTGCAGGATCTCACGCCACTGCAGGAAGAACACGGGGATGAATGTAAGAGTTTTTAAGCTTTGGAGGTAAAGATATTGCTCTGAGGAACCGGGGACGAAGCCCTAAGGGCGGGCTTCTTGGCATGTGGACGGAGCAGAGGTCCCAGTCGTCACCCAGCTGTAGCATCTTGCGCCACTGCAGGAAGCAGAGCAACTGCGTGACCTGAAAGCGTGACGACAGCAAAGATCTTGTTCCCAAGAGCGCGGGGCGCTACGGGGATGTACAGCTCCAGGTCTTCCGCTGACCTGAATTTTCTGCAAGACTGCGGGGGCAGACCTGATCCAGAGTTTCACGATGAACGACGGGTTGATCTTCTTTCCCGTGAAATGAGACAACGTAGACGGGCGATGTTGAATCTCCCGCAAGTAACCTTAAGCAATTCAGAGCCCAAAGTCTTATAACGCCCAAGAATCCAAGGGGTATCTCTGCTGAGCTGGCACGAGGAAAGGAAGTTCACTGGCCAAAACCGTGGGTTAGCGGGCTAACCTGGCAGGGGATAAAGAGCACGTGTTGCGCTTGCTGCGGGTGCGGCTTAGGGAATTGGTCGCGCTCAGAGGTTTTATGATAACCAAGTCGTGGCTTTATTGCGCTGACTTAAGAAGAGAAGGGAGGTTTCAATAACCAGCTTGCGGGTTCGCGCGCTGACCTGGCAGGGGATGAAGAGCACGCGCTGCGCCTGCCGCTGGTGCGGCTTAAGGAACTGGTCGAGCATGGCGTCCGAGACGGCCTGGAACTTGTGCGCGTCGTCCACGATGTTGGCGCGCTCCAGCCGCTGCCCGATGCCGTGCACCATGAACACCAAGTGCTGCACAGGGACCTGCGCACATGGATAGCACAACTCTCAAATCTGGACTCATCGATGTAAATAGTAACCCAAAAATCAAAATCGGATACTACATCCCCAAACCTGATGCCGTGCACCATGAACATCAGGTGCTGCGCCTGCGTGCCGGAAAGGTGAGACGTCTCAGTTCTAATCATAAGCACTGTCGATATATAACCCGAAAAACCTGAATCCCAAGAACGCTTGGGTCAGACACTTGAATGCTTCCGAGATGGATTGTATCCATGTCAAAGATCAAAAACTCTGCTCGTCCAGGATCGAGCCAACTCGCCTGCCTGCGTCCAACTCCTCCTACTGGAAATAACATTAGCTTCAGCAGAAACGAAGATCCAAAAGATAGAAGAAGTCCTACAAAAAAGCTTAAACCCTGCGACTCTGCGAATGAGCCGACTCGCCTGCGCCTTTCTGTCGTCCTCCATCTCGTCCCTCCGCTGCTTCACCTCCTCCTGCCCCACCGGTGCGCCCTCGTCCCGGAAACCCCGCCGCAGCCGCGTCGTCGGATGGCCCGCGCTGAACATGCGCGAGATGACGCCAGAGCCGTCCACGCCCAACCACGCCTCCCACGTGTCATCCTCGCCCGTGAACAGCGCGTACAGGCCCTGCAGGAAGGGACGTCCCGGTTCCGTTTACTAGGGCGGAAGTCCGGAAAGTTCGAAAATTGCAAGCTACAGAACATGCGCGGGATGACGCCAGAGCCGTCCACGCCCAGCACGAGTCCCACGTGCATCCTCGAAGGTGAACAGCGAGTAAAGCCCCTGCACAAAGTGAGGCGTTCCGGTTCCGTTATGGATCCGTTCTGTTGTTGCGTTTGATTTTAAGCGGACCTTTAGATGCAGGTCATGCCGAGCAGTCCACGCTGAGCGACGCCTCTCACATGTCATCCTCGCCCGTAAAAGCGCGTAAAGACCCGGCAGGAAGGGGCGCGTTCCGGTCCGTTTACTAGGGCGGAATTCCAGATTTCGGACGTCGCAAGCTGGAGAACATGCGCGAGAGGACGCCAAAACAGTCCACGTGCCGGTTTCGTGCCAGTATTCGGTAGATTCCTGGACTCAAACCGCGTCAACACGGCATACATCCAGAAACGGTCGACAGCTCCCAGTACGAGGGGGGCACAACTGGCAAACGAAAGCGAGCCGTGTGCTCACCAGCGACGGCCCCGCAATGTTGACCCGGTGCGCGTACATCCCGTTCGGCAGGAAGCTGCGCCGGCGCCACACCTGCCCACGGTACGCGATCTCGAGCTGCTCCGCGATATCTTCCCGCAACGGCAGCCAGTCTTTCGTTTTCCGTGGCTGCGCGAACCACGACCCCCGCAGGATCCTTCTATGCCCGGCCTTCCAAAAGATTGCCGACAGCTTTCGCTTCTCGAGAAAGCACTCGTATAACCCGCCCTTCACCTGGATCCCGATCTCCGACGAATCGTCGCTCTCGGAAGCCGTGCTTTTTGGGGGCTCCGGAACGCTGCCAGCTTGCGAGCTGTCCGCGTCGACTGTCGCAGCGTCAGAGACTTCGGTCAGCGGGGCAGCGTCCGAGATACGTCTAGACCCCTCGGCTGACGAGATTTCTGCTGCTGCTTTGAGTTCTGCCGCCAACTTTTCTGCGTGAGCTGCTTCCACGTCGCCCGGCTGCCCCACTGAAGTTGACGCTTCAGTCGCTGTGTCTTCTTCGCCTCTCGTGCTGGAGTCCCCTTTACCAGTGCCACCTTCTTTGCCAGCTGTCCCACCTTCCGAGAGACTATTCTCCGTCAGTTCTTTGTCGACCTTTATTTCGTCCAACCCCGCCTTCTCCCCCTCGTTTTTGGCCGGCTTTTCCGATGGCTGTGGCTTGCTTGGCGACTGGCCCAAAGGCCCCGATTGCGATCGAAAGGACGGGAGGTACGAGGATACCTTGGAAAAGAAGCTCTCCTGGGCTTGCTCAGCGTCAGTCTCGATTGGAATGGGGGGCAACTGTTCTTTCTTTCCAAGGTCGGTGTTCGGAGGTCGCTCCTGTGCGGCAGGGGCGGCTTTGTTGCTGGGAGGCTCCTTCAAGGGGCTGGCTCCTGTAGACAACGACAGTGGAAGTGAATGAGGTCTTGTAACAGAGTAGAAAAGCGGGGCAGACTTCCTGAAAAATCCTGGCAGAATTCCTGGAAAATCCTAACAATAATGCACAAAATGCATAAGATACAGGTCTCAAGGCAGCGTTATGGAAAGGCTTTGTGACCTCGATCAAGCTAGACTCATGATTTTGTAGAGAAGGCACAACGACAGGGCGGGTAGTGAAATTGAAACGTTTAACGACTTCTTAATCGACATCAACATTCAGCACTTTACCAAGGAGGATGCCATCCCAATGATCTTTGCCATGCAGTTCGAGTTTTCTTCTTTCTCCACTCCAGATAAGTTATGCAGCACCATGTTCCTGAACCTTGGTTTGTAACAGTAAAGGTGCCCACTGTCCCCAACCTGCAATTCTCTAATCCGTTTCACATTCAGGCACGGCCAGATCTACACAGACAATGCAAGGTGGTCAGACTTAGAGAAGTGAAATAGCCCAGAAGCGCACACTGCATCACAAGCAGAGTGTACAAACTCGCTGCCCAAACGAGCGATTGACGCCCCACCTGCTAGATCTTCCTGAAGTCTCTTTCCAGCGGGGGCTGGGCTTTGGGCCGCTTTCGCAATCTTTCTTGGGGCTGCCTTCAGGGGGGATGCCTGCGGGCTGCCCTGTGTGGTGGCGCCCGCCCCCCGCTCGAGGCGCTCCCGGTCTTTTAGCTGAGGCCCGATGCTGACCTCAGCAAACTCGCGCCACCAGCACGAAAGCAGCATCTCCTCTTGTTGCTGCAACGGCGGCGATGCATTTGCTGTGAGCTTCAGTAAAGGAGAGTCTGTTGCGGCTCCTTTCATCATTCCCAAAGCTTATGGGGCATTTCAGGGAGAATCTGGCCTTGTATCTCTAAGTTTTCTTCAATGAGTCGAGGGTTTCGGCACGAGGACAATGGGGAACGTTTTACAGAATGGCCCTTCACTGAGAGAGGATGCAATCCAGTCTTACCCGGTAGGCGGCCTCGAGCGCCGCAGAATCCAACGTGCCAAAGCGCAGCCATTCGCCTTTCAGCGCAGCCTCTGTGGACGGCACCAGGGCCGCAGCCTGATCATCTGTACAATGGCAAGCGAAAGAGTATTCTAAGGAAGAGAAACCAGAGAGAGTTATTGTGGACCAGAATCTAGAGCAGTTTCGCCCATGGATGATTGCTCAATTGGACCTATGGTGAGGGCAGTCACCATAGTACTCTGTGTTTTAAGACCCCTGTGACCTCATCAAAGTCCTCAAAGACAGAGTATATGCTCGTTCCTTTTGCCTCCATGGGTCCATCATGACGCAATGCCTTGTAAGCCAGCGGTTCAGCTTCTTCCGGACAGCCCACGACATTGAGTGGTTCAGGACCTTTACGGCTTGAATCTGAGAAAAAACCTTGGCGATTCCAATAGTGCATGACAAGTAATCTGCTTGTCAAAGTGTGAAACATGGAATCATGGAGGAAAAATCGCCAAAGATGAAACACGAAGCATTCCTGATTACACCACCACCATGATATTGCGGGAATCCAGATAACACGAGAGGAAGGCAAGACAAACCGGACAGCAATCGAATCTCTGGATGCTTACTAAAGTGCCAGGGAGTGCGTGTACGACACACATCCAGATGCATGCACATAGACTTTAGCAATGCCCACAATAGACACTGCACCAACAAATTGCATCGATCACCTCTCAGTGCTTTCTTGCTGAAGAACCACCGCACATCGGCCCCATCAGACGGCGAGTTCGTGAGCTGATTGGACGCTGCCCTGCCCTTCAAAGCCTCAAAGTAGGTGGTCGAATCCCGGGCCATCTGGACCTTCGGCGGTGTCTTTGGAAGGTCTAAGACTGGTCTTCGAGCGGGCGGGGAAGGCCACCGCAGCTCATCGGCTTGTGAAGCAAGCTCCTTTTCGAATTCATCATCCTTCTTCATGGTTGGCTCGGTGCTGTCTGAAGAACCAGCCCCGTGCTGATGCGCCATGGCGCCTGCCATGGCCCTGGGTGCGGTTGCAGTCTGCAAAGAATATTCTGCGAGATGCACATCTGCTGAACTAGATGGTGGGCTCTGCCCGGGACAATGTGCTCGGGATAACTTTGTGTGATTGGTATCGTGTACGTTCTGCCCCCTGACGCTTGACACAACTTTAAACTGGGCCGGCGCAGCACCGCTCCGGTTGGAAAGGCCACGTGTACGAAGCCCACTGGTCATGCCTTGCAACTTCAACGGAGGGGATCCCTTCATACTCCTGAACAAAATCACTGGAAAATTGATGATCGTCTCCTGAACAAATCTGAGAGCCACTGAATGAACTTTGCAAACGGAGGCCGCGGCCTGCTTAGAAGTTCAGAAGTCATAAAGTAAGTCTTAAGTGCACATCCGTTTGATATCTTCCGCTCAACGTTCAGCCTTCGACATGAGCGCCACGTCTACCGCCCTCCTCCCCATCCCAAGCAGCTGGGTAGGTATCTTTTCAGGGGCGCGGCGCCCCGGGCCAGCACACAATGTTGCCAACACTGATATGTGCAGGCGACCTGCGAAGCATCAAGCTTGGACCCTTGTGACAGTCCCGAGAAAAAGAGCACGCGTGATCCGAGCAGCAGGCTGGCAAGATAACTCCGATTTGAGGGAGGAGTTGAACAGAGCTCAAGATCAGCAACCCGCAGCAGGAAACGAGGCTTTGTTCAAACCTAAGGGGGTATTCGATGGATACGGCGCCAAAGATATGGACATCTCCCGGCAGTTTAGACACGTGACGAAAGGTGCCACAGTTCTCGCCTTTTACTTCAAGGACACCGTTTCCCTGCGAACCATACTGGAGTTCGTTGACGCCAGCCAAGGGTTTGGTGCTTTTCAGATTTTCAGGGAGTAACTTTCCGGGGGCGGCTTATTCTCCCAAACATTTACCTGGCTTATGAGAAAAAGCCCCAGCTGGTAGAGGCTCCCTGGAAAGAGGCGGCGGCGGCTGTTCCGGGCTGCCGATTTTCAGCGTTCACCATGGAAGTGGCATCGGCGAGCGATGCTAAAATCATGAAAGAAGTGCTTCAACCGTTTGTGACACGCTTGGACGAGCATGGTGACAGTGCTTACGACGATCTGTACCTGATCTAAATGCACTCTTTGAGACAGTAGAGGCTGCCTAGATTCCGGTTCGATCCAGAGCGCATTTGCGTTTATAGTACATTTCAACTTTTTATTAGTCATAGTAGAGGTTCATCACACCAGGAAAGCATCGCTTTTCTTGACTTGACCCTCGTTGTGCAGAAATTGGAAGTTTTGAATCAGAGGCACCTCTTGCCTACCTGCCTGATCAAAGGCCATGCTTGATCACTCAATTGCATCCATGCCTGTCTTCTGGCCAGATACCGAGTGTACGGCAGGGGCTACTATAGTTCCAAAATTGTAGGAACGTCAGCAGGTCTGCTGAGGTGCTGCTGGGGTCCCAAAGATCAAGGTTCGAATATTTCAACGCTTTGATATGATAGCTAGATATGCTCGCATGTCATCTGGCATCTGACGCGTTGAGTGAGACCTGCATAACAAATTGCCATGAATCGGCGCGGCCGCGCCATGGACGTATTTGTATGCAAATTAACGTACATATCTAACCCGAATATCATACTACCATATGATTGCATCAGATCCTAATATCACCGTATAACAACGATCACCGTATGATGTACATATGCATGCACTGCTGTTTCGTGTTATCATGCTGACAGGATGAGTAAATGAGTCACGTCAAGACCAGACTTTGACTGCGAGCAAACGCGAAGTTGCTGGAACCGATCAGAAACTCACACGTAAACAATCATACGGTGGTCAAAGTCGACGACCAGGGAAACCCATGATATGTCACGAGCTTGAGAAAGTTCGCTCTTACCAGCATCAGTAATGCCTGCCATGGTGGCACAGTGTTCTTTATCTTAAGGAGCAACTTCTCCGAGTCAGTGGCGCAAAGACAGAACAAATGTCCAGCTCGAGTGGCGTTAAACCTAATTGAATATCGCCACCACTGGCAGTCTTGGACATGGGTTGCTCTTCAAATACTGACAAAAACTTTTGTCGTCTTCAAAGTACTAGTACGTGCTCGAATTCCGAGCCATCTCAGGACCTAGTTCGGAGGCGTCTTTGAAAGGTCTAATAAGACCGGTCTTCGGGCGGCCAGGGAAGGCCACCGCAGCTCATCAGCCTTTGAAGCAAGCTCCTTTTCGGAATCAACATTCTTCTCCAGGGTTATTTCGATGCTTTCCGCCAAAGAACCAGCCCCTTACTGATGCGCCATGGCGCTGGGGTGCGGTTGCAGTCTGTACATAAAGAATATTCTGCGAGATGCACCACGCTAAACTACTAGAGGAGCGGACAACTGGTGGGCTCTACCGGGGAGGATGTGCTGGGGCTGCTTTTGTGTGTTCGGTCTCCTGTATCTTTTACTGTACTTCAGAAGGTTTGACACAATTTTCAACCGGGCCGGCGCAGTACCGCCCGGGTTCGAGAGGCCACGTGTACGAAGCTTACTGGTCATGCCCTGCAACTTTGACGGAGGGGATCCCTTTGACTCTGAACAAAATCACAGACCTGAACAAAGCCAGTTATTGCAGATCGGGGCCAAACGGAGGGCGGCGCCCATCCCTTTGAATCTCCTCCTCCGCTCAACGCTTTCCAGCTTCAGCGTTCACCATGAGTGCTGCTGCCGCCCTTTTCCTTACTCCACGCTGGGAAGGAATCTTGTCAGGGCGGCCGGGGCGCCCGGCCGGAGACACTGCGAGCTCCATGTGTTATTGGCGATACGCAACGCGTCAAGCCCCGAATGATTTGACAGTCGCGACGAGAAGGGCACGCGTGATCCAAGCATCAGGCAGGCAAGATGCTTCTGATTTGAGGGAGGGGGAGTCGAACATGAGTGGAGCTCGAGACCATGCTCGAGACCTACCTGCAACGAGAAAGGAGGCTTTGTTCACACCTAAGGGGGCATTCGATGGGTATGGCGCCAAGAATCTGGACAGGTCCCGGCAGTTTGAAACCGTGACGAAAGGTGCCACGGTTCTCGCCTTTGACTTCAAGGACACCGTTTCCCTGCGAATCATACTGGAGTTCTTTGACGCCAGCCAAGGGTTTGGTGCTTTTCAAGGAGTAACTTTCCGGGGGCGCCTTATCATTCCAAACATTTATGAGGCTTATAAGGAAAAACCCCAGCTGGTAGAGGCTCCCTGGAGAGAGGCGGCGGCGGCTGTTCCGGGCTGCGCATTCGCAAGATTTACCATCGAAGCGGCATCGGAAAGCGATGCTAAAACCATGAAGGAAGTGCTACAACCGTTCGTGACAGACTTGAATGAGTATGGTGACGATGCTTTGGGTGGTGCGTACCTAACGTGAATGCAGACACTAGTAGAGGCTGCAGAAACCCAATCTAGAGCGCCTTTGCATTGGGTCGAGTAATGAGACTGCTGGAATGTGAGTCATCAGATATAGTAGAGGTTCATCAGACCGGGAAAGCGACGCTTTCTCTGATTCACTCTTCGTTGTGCGAAGGATTCGAAAGCTCAAAAGAGAAACTTGCGGGTGAGGGTCATTTTCACGAACTCTGCCCGCCTGCTTGCCTGATCAAAGGCCATGATTGCTCACTCGACTGTATCTGCCTGCACCGTCTGGCCAGGTAGTAGCAGTATACTGCAGGAGCTAACGTAGTCCAGATTTGTAGGAACAGGTCTGCCGGGGCCGGGAAAGTGAGATCAAACAAGTCGGACAGCCCTATACCGAAAATTTGCTCGCATGTGGCATCTGGCTCTAAGCTGCAGCTTTATAGAGCTCTGCACCATTGACAGATTGCTATGGATCCCGCCATGATGCTCGTGGCATGAACATGCAAAGCGAGTTATGACCATATGATGCACGAATTAATGCATCAGATCCTAATTATACCGCAGGACAACAATAAATCCCAGTGTTATCGTACTGATCATTGCCAGTGTTCGTAGCTCCAGTTGTGCAGACTGAGTTACTATCTTAGCTTTACTATGGTACCTTAATTATCACGAGAAACAACTGGTATCGATCCGGCTCGATCTCAACATTGGTTGAAGAAAATCTTTCATGGTGATCTTTTATTTGGAAAGAAGACCGTAAAAAGCTCAGCGGCAGCTGCATGTGCACTTAAAAGAATGTCGAATAATTGCGAGTTACGAATTCGCCCGCGATTTCAGTCATGCAGTCTCAAATTGCTCCATGGATAATTAGTAAGTAGTCAAGAACATTCAGTGGCTGAACATATAATGCGAAATTATTAAAACGGTCCGGCCTGGCATTGATTATTTACAGAGCTAGGTGGACTACATATACTCAGACTGCACAAAAACGTATATATGCAGTAAGCGCGCTATGCAATTGATACGCAAGATCAGAATTTCACTTCACGTTGAAGCACATGCATGTTCCAAAGTGTGTCCCGAGCCGCTCGAGTATGCCGCTCGAGTATTGCTGAGATCAGATTGAACCTAAGTTGCAATTCTGATCATTGCAACATTGTATTCTACATGCAAACGAAGTGGAAGTGAACGCTCGTATGGTGGGCACTTACGAAACCGGCGACCAGAATATTGTGTATTGTCACGAGCTTTTTAGGTAAGGATTCCACTCTTCCCAGCATCCGACAATAACGCCTGCCAGAGTAGCAGGCTGTTCTTTGTTTAAGAAGCAACTCCTCCTACACAGGGGCGCAAAGAGAGAACAACATTTCAGCTCGAGTGGCGTTAAATAAATATCACCTCTAGTCTTGGACATGGGTTGTCCTTCAAATACTGACGCAAACTTTTGTCGTCTTCAAAATAGGCGCGGCCAAAAACAGCCTCCCGGTAAGTAGTCCGCACCGGAGTCACTTTGAAGACCTTATATAGCCCGTCACCGTACTTTTGGTACTTTTGATACTTTTGGTAACCGTACTTTCGCCACGTGGGCACGTACCCGGCTCTCTGAAACGCATAAGCTATCGCTTCATGGACCACGGAAATCCTAACATCGTCATCCCTTATAAAGACGTCGCAGAAAGGGAAGGTCCCCCGCTCTCGAACGTACAGATGGTGTACGCTTCGTGATAGCACTTGCGAACCGTTTAAGGGTACCGGAGTACACGAGCAGGGGCGATTTGGCTTGGCGGCAGCTAAGCCGTTCTCCTGGATCCTCGTCGCAATCTCGATGCAGAGTTTGCACGTCTGCGACACGGCTTGCGAGTTCAGCAGAGCCCGAAACGCGGAACTTGGAAGCCGCCGCTTCCAGGCGAGCTTCTCCTGCAACGGAACAAGCGCACGTCCTGAGCCGATTGCCGATTCTACACAGAAAATGGAGTCAACGCTATCGGCTGAGCTTGATAGTCGCATCCCCTTTCGCAGGGTGCAAGGGCATGCGACCGAGGCATGTTTTCATAGAGCGTCAATTCGAAATCGGCAAACCTTTCGGCAGTCCACCGAAAAAGGGGTTTTGGTCCTTCGCTTTTCGTCCCACATCACACCGGCAGCAAAGCAAGGGAACGGAGCATTCATGAATCGCACATAGCATGCAGACTGTCTTACAGATTCCCCGTGCTTATGTCCAGAATCATTGAGCGTATCTGGCAGATTGTGTCCAGAATAGCGCACGGTGTTCTCTGCTCACCTCGTAAGCTGTCCGGTTGCGCATGAGCCGTTTGATCTCGTCAACAACCGCCGGCACCTCGTCCATGCTGCGCAGCTGAATGATCGCATTGCGATCCGGCACAAAATCCATCACGTTGGGCGCCCCGATGTAAATCGGCACCGACCCAGCCACGAGTGCGTCAAACATCTTCTCCGTGACGTAGTCCTCGTAAATGCTGTTCTCGAAAGCGGCGTAGAACATGTGCTTGCGCGCGAGCGCGTACTTGATCGTCTTGGGGCTGCGCCGCTCGGTAGTTTCATCTGCGGAGTATGGAGCTGAGTGTCAGGACTTGAAACCTTTTGGGAGGGCCTCTGAATCAGAACTGTCCACAGCGTAAATATGTTCCTCAGGCAACGGAAGGCCACCTTCCAAAAAGCCAAGTTGAATCCAAATGTTGCGACTTCCTCGTCCATCAAGTCGTCGTTGCTTCTCAACAACTAGCATGCTTGATCGTTGCCATTGCGTTCGGTTCCGACACATTGCAAAAGAAAAGCATGTGAAGAAGAATGAGCGAGGACGGAGATCTTTTAGGAGCGAACTCGAATGGAAGGAATTTGGTAAAAAGAGAGGGGCAAACCCCGCTAGGATACGACAAGAAGCGACCGAAAGCAGACACCTGATCTGGCGACTGGAATTTCGCGACGCACGCATGACTCAGCCACTACGTCATCCTACTGACACCATCTACCATCAAAGCATCGTCGTTCGGTCGACCCTTCTTTGAATTGAAGCTGTTTTCGAAGCCCAAAGTGCGTCCACCAATTATCTAATCTCGGTAGACACGGGAGCCCAGCCCGACAGGATTAGCCAACCTCCATGTGCAACGGAGAACGAATTGAATCCAATCAGCTGTCTTGTTTGCCTCTGAACCTACCAAGGGGGGTGACCCAGCCACGTCTTGAACACTTGTCACAACCTAAACAACGCCTTACCTGCCTTTGACAAAAGCTTTAATCGAAAGGCTTCGACACCAGATGACAGTCAGGGGACTAAACAAACTCTTATTCTCTACGCCCAAAAGAAAGAAAGACGAATCGCTACCAAGAAGACGTCATACCGGGTCCGACACCTCACCCTCCCACGAGTTGGTACGACCGCACTCGCCGTACTGATGCACTGCCAGCCCCAGCCGCCTCATCTCCTCTAGGGCCTCGTTCCGAAAGCTTATCGCATTGCAGTTGCTGATCATCGACATAACCGCCGGAATCTTCTCCCCGAAATCCAGGGGGGGCTCAAAGTAGTCGTCTTCGGGGGGACACCCCGGTTGCGGAACGTGCGAGGATAAGGAGCCTAGCATGGTTATGTTTACACCGATCATTGGGAGTTGCAAGGCTGGGTAGTAGTGTGGGCTCTCGATGTTACGCACGACCAGGGGGCCGAGGTCTTGGGAGCTGTTGCCTGGAGACGAAAGGGGATTGCAGAGTTGGACCACTCTAAGTGATTTCTCTTAAGGTTTCACTCGGAAAGCTGGGAACACTCTATTGCACATAGCTTAAGACCCGCAAGAAGTCCAAGCCGTGAAATTGAGGAATGAGCAGCAAACTCAGGTCTGGAGGTCTTTTATAACATGCAAGGTCCATTGAGAACCATAAGAGAGGGAACTAAAACCCACGGAATTACTGTTGCATTTCGGTGTCTGCTTTCTCTTCTGGATCACATCTGGCATCAGACAATCCAAGACCATTCAAGCTGCCTTCTCCTTACGGTCAATGAATCTGATTTTCTCCTGAGAAGCACTGAAAGTGGCCGCGGCCACTCGCCCTCTCATTTCAAAAGGGTGATGGAACGACAAAGTAAACTCAAAAGATGCAAGCAGACAGCTACCTCGAAGCATCCAACTAGAAAGGATTCGCGCTCTCCACGTCTCTCACTTGTGGTGGAAGGAATGAAGATTGGCTTAGAAGGAGGCCATTCCAACGTGTGTGCATCCCAGGATGAATAATTGGCCGCCTCCGGGCTCCCAAGTGTGATTTGCCTGGTGCAAACATGGAGGCGGATTCAAGGGCACGAGAACGTATAAAGCTAAGGAACATGATTGGGAACCAACGTTGCAGTACAACTGTTCAGCTTACCGCAACCGTCACATCAAGTGGTCTAACCTGTGCAGCAATCTGGATCAAAGGAGGCCAGTCACTGAAAAAGGGTCTTGATTGTCTTTTCTTGGCCTCCACTACATTGGCGCGCTTTACTCGACACATCTGATAAGAAACATTTTTGCAGTTTCTAAGTCAAGCTGCCACGGCATCCTTGCATCTTATGTCAAGTCACCACAAGACTACTGTTTTAGAGGCCCAGTGTGAACAGGCACTGAGCTGCAAAAGTCAAAGAATTTGATTTATCAGGGTTGCCTGAGTTCAGTGTTCAGGAACTTTCCAAGCAACAACACATCCAGTCACATGCAAAGAACAGCGTTTACGATGACCCTATCACAATTGCGCCTCTCTCACCTGCATTTGACATCGCATCGAGACAACACTTCCTCCGGCGCCAAGTCCCATGGCTTAAATCCAACCTCTAGAATCCGCACCGGGTCAATTTCAAACTCTCTGCCACCTGGCCCACTGGCCGCACTGTCAGCTTTTGATAGCCAATCCTCACAGGTCACTCCCTCTGGAGGATGATTCCTGTCCACAATTTGTACATTGGGTTTTATCAAGTTGTGCTCATTGCTGCTTGGACTCAGGGAAGTGCTGTCTAGAGTAGAGGCCCTCAGCGGGAACAGCAACCTACCGCTATCGCGGTTGACATAAGAGTCCACAAAGAACGCACAGATGATCAGCAGAAGCACGCCAAGCGCTACGCTTCTTCCCCATGAGAGCAGCCTCCTTGAATCTCCCCATGGATTCTGTGGGCGCATGGTCTATTCAGAGGAGGCATGGAGCTCGTGACGCTCTGCGGCTTGCTAAGCTATTAATCTTTAAGTTTGACAAATCAGCAGGTCTGCAAATCATACAAAGCTAAGCTCATCCTAGGCCTGGTTTGGCCCTGGGCCTGGGCCGCTGCAGGATTCCGCGCGGCGGATCCGTATTTTGGCCGGGCTCCGTTCCGCAAAGAGCAGCGGGATCCCTCTCTCCGGAACTTCTCGCCAGCTGGCTTGCAGCTGAGCAGCACACACCGCTGGCAGCAATACCAGAACTTTGAACACGCATCCGAAAAGGTGACGCGCTTTCTCCCTCCAGCACTTCCTTTTCGATTTGTCTCAGAGCGCTTTGCAGAAAGTGAGCAAAGCCACCAGCTCACCAAGTCACTCTCGCTCTTCGAGAAGAAACAGATAAGCAGCCTTCGACGTTATGGCAAACTACATCTGTTGCGCCCAAGTCGAACAGAGCACCCTGGGCATACAGGTTAGTTGATGCGTCGAGCACCACAGGCCACTTGGTCTTCTAAAAATCGAATATCAGAGCTCTGATAATTCTTTGTCCACGGGGGCCATATTACTGTGTTGTGCCCTCCTGTGGCCGCTAGAATTACGAATCCGCGGCACTTCGATGATTCCAGGTCCATAGTCCTGACGCCTTTGATTCTCCTGTTCTTTAATTCTGCAAGTTTCTTCAAGCAATAGGATACAGAGCTGTTTCTCTTAAAATTCTACGCCTGATTTACCCCGCGTGGCTTTAGTCCCGAGTTTTTGCAAGGAGTTGAAGAGCTCCTTCAAACCCCTTGATCTTCAAGCTGACACAAAATTGACGATTGCTTCCCCTTTTGCCTTCAACTCACCTGGACAACGTTCTCTCTATTCACTTTACTTTGTCAAGTTGCTCAATTATTGACTCTTCGGTTTGCAGGAGGACTGGGGGCGCTTCTCAAAGTGAGTAAGATCCTGGTTTTATTCAATTTGCGATGCTCTGTCCTGAAGGAGAAATATATTGTAACTTTTCTCATGAATGAGTTGCATCAGGAAAGGCGACTTGCTGTCAGCATTGTGCAGCCTTTCCCTCTCCTTTAAGTTTCAGAGATTCTTTGTCCATAGTCCAGATTTTTGCAATTGACTAAACAGAAGCCTGTTGGTCCAGCTGTCTGGGAACAGGACACCTTCTCTGTTACACTCTGCACATCACCCTCATCTATTTTCTAGTTTCCATAGGGTCCTAGGACTCCAGTATCTACTTGTGAGGCCAGAAAAGATGGCAGTAGGGTTTAGAAGAAAGAGCCAAGGGTTTCAAGCGGGGCTTAGCTAAGATTTGCAATGATGACTGCAGGATCCTTGAGCCCGGTTGTCACTTCCTCAACCCCTTCTGCGGCCAGGCGGTGTCTGGCACCATCTCGCTGAGGATTCAGCAGCTTGATGTTCGGTGCGAGACAAAGACCAAGGTTTGTGTCAGACTTCATTTTTCAGGATTTAGGGTTTGAGAATGTTTTTTCTATCTTTTTCTTTTTAAGAAGAAGGACAGATTGACGCTGTCAATGGGACTTCAGTCAGGTGGTTGCACTTCTTTTTCTCCTCTGGAGAATCAGTCTCCCTTGTGTTCGATCTTTTTGGGTTTGCTATGAATAGGCGTTACACTTTGCAAGCTACTCAAGTAGCCCCTTAGTAGGCTTTCCTCGTCAAGGATTCTGATTCTGACTACTTTGGTATGTGCATGATTTGTAAGTTGATACCTTTCATAAGATTGACTCATAAGATTGACTCAGTGTGTGGAAAGAGCGTACTGACAAGCGCACCAGCTAGACTGCTCACCACCCCTGATGCCTGACGAGTCAAGGCTTCTGGTGGAAAATCCTGGTTGCAGACTGGAGTCAAGATTTGTGCTCATTGGCTGCTTTTTGCAGGACAATGTCTTCGTGACGATGGTATGCTCTGTCCAGTACCGTGCGGTGCGGGAGAATGCAGACGACGCCTTTTACGAGCTGAGCAATCCTCGGGAGCAGATCCAGGCGTATGTCTTTGACGGTGAGTGGTCTAGCCTGTACAAGACTACTCCTAGATCCAATTTATGGTTAAAGATGCAAAAGGACGTTTTTGTGCCGCCAATCGGTTCAAGAATTTTCAAGTTGTATCTGACACTGGTCTGTCATTGAGGGACTGTTGACTGGTGAAAACTGGTCTGTGGTCTCAAGCCCCATGGGACATTTTTGAGGCATAGGCCCGTGGATAGGGTAAGACTAGAGCAGGACTGCATGGGCCATCCAACATTTGCGGATAAATATCGAGAATGTTCCTGGCGTCTTTTATTTGTCGAGCCAATTAGAAGGGTGAAACACTTTCCCGACCATCTCGTCTGATTCAGGACAAGTTTCACGATTCTCGTTATCTGAGTAATGTGTAGAACTACGGTCTTTGAAGGCCGGGCCCCGGCCAGCACAGGTTGAAAAGTGTCAAATTCAGGAAACGAAAACACCCGCTGAGATTAGGGGCGGATACGTGTCAGCTCTTGCCACTTGACATGACTCACAAGAGTGCTATCGACAGGGCTAATGTAAGTGAGAGGGTGTTGTGATATCTGTCGATTGTTCAGGCATCGACTTGTTTTAGGTCGTTCGATTGCTTCTTATCAGACTCTTGTCTGATGGCAGTTTCTTCTGCTTGCAGTCGTGCGGGCGAGCGTCCCAAAGGTGAGAAATAATCTGTTATTGAGCAGTCATCTCAGCATCATGGAAAGTTTGACCTTGACAGGGAGGACTTGCGTTGGAAGTTTTGCGGATGTCAATCACTTTTTGAGCTCGTGTCACCAATTCATGCTCAAGTAAACTTTCTGTCAAGCTTTGCGTGACTTGCAAGGCTTTTGACGAGGGTTTTGGTCTCGGCTGTTCGCCTTTTCTCAGCGTAGACGTGAAACGCGAAGTCGCATGAGCATCTGATAGTTTTTGAAAGTCCCGTCCCGGCAGCCTCACTCTTTGTGCTTCTCACCAGTGCTTGACTCGTTCCGTATAAACAATGTCATCTTGGAACGGTTCTTGAGCACGCTTCCTGTGATGGAATACACCTCACATTAGATGTAGGGGTCAGCCGATAGAGGTTTGTTTGAGCTTCTGCTTGAGAGGTTTGGCCAATGACGTAAAAGTGGTGCAGCAAGTTTAGCAGACAGACCTGGCAAGCAAGGATATGCAGAAAGCGAGAGCCACTGAATCTCAAGTGGGTACAGCGTTCATGAAAGTCCAATTGGCAATCCACGAGCGTACATGACAAGGTCAGTAGATGAGCAGGTCACAATGAAAACAAGACAACCTTGCGGTGTGGTCCCAAGTGTTCTGTGACCTCCCTTGCAGTTGCTGCTGGACGAGGTCTTCGAGCAGAAGAACGAGGTCGCGAAGGCGGTGGAGTCGGAGCTCGAGAAGGTCAGGCCCATATTCGGTGCTGCGCAGTTTCTGCTGCAATTCTTTCCACGTTTCATCTGCTCGTCGTCGTGTGGCATTTTGTTCTCAAGCGGAGGCAGACACTTCTATTTGTAAAGCTTTGTAGCAGGGTTGCCCTTTCCTTATCCTGGAGTTGGTTTTCTTCGGCCCGATGACGTTGAAATGTTCATCGTTGCTGCTCCCTAAGTGGGACCCCAGGGTTTGAGGTTGTTTCGTCTGAGCGTTTAGGTCGAGCATGTACTCTCGAGGTCGCTTATGCAAATAGCTGACGGGCCGAGATGGTCCAGCTACTGATTTCTGAGGGATCTTGAAAGATCGAGTTAGCAGGAAAGTACATGCAGGACTTCATGGTTCCGTGGACTTGCCTTGCTTGAGCTGGGCATGTCTAAGGCTGCTGAAAATTTATTTTTGGCCTTCTCACAGCTTCACGGAAGAATCTGTTCCAGGCAGATTTACCGGAGGGGTTACTCGGCTTTCGCACCCAACAAACTGGAACCTCGAGCAGGCCAGGCTGCTCTGCACGTCCTCATCATCCATTGCATTCTTCAATGTCTCGTTTTTTTCAGCAAGTACATGATCGAGCTGATGGTTTTCTGCTGACGCAGGCGATGAGTGCCTACGGGTACAACATTGTCCAGACCCTGATTGTGGACATCGAGCCGGACCTCCAAGTCAAGAGGGCCATGAACGAGATCAACGCCGGTAAGTTCCCTCTTCCCTCCGTCCTTGTTATCTGGTTTAGGCGGGTCTGTCTCTGTTCAACTTCTTATCTCGTCTTGCTGTGGTTTCCTCCCAGCTTGGATCGACACGGCAGCGTCTGCGAATGTCAAGATAGTTGAGCTTGGACTGTTTTGAGTCACGTCGCAGTCTCAGCACGTCCCGTCTTTTTCTAGCAAGCGTAGCACGGTGTTGACGAAGGCGGAAAGGAAGGACGGAGCTCGGATGGTAATTACACTTGCTCCTCACCGCGCCTTTAACGTCGTTTCCCGTGACGTCATCCCTCGCGGCACTTTGCAGCCGGGTTGGCAAAGAAGGGACCAAACACAGAAAAATAGCCTGTGCACCCAACAAAAGCTGTGCTATGCTAATCGTAGATGGTCAGATCTTCGACGGAGTCGTTCATTCGTGACGTCATTTCGGGAATTCTGACGTCATTTCTTGCTCCTCTTGGCAGCTGCCCGCATGCGCATGGCCGCGGTGGAGAAGGCGGAGACGGAGAAGATCTTGCAGGTAAAGCGGGCGGAGGGGGAGGCGGAGAGCAAGTACCTATCCGGGAAGGGTGTGGCCCGGCAACGCCAGGTGGGTGACGTCAGCATTTCGGCGATTCAGATTACTTCGACAGAACTTGGAGTTTCGGGCTATCCATATCCGTCCTTTATTGTTTGTGTAAGACTTGCAACCCTTGCGCGAACCCAAAACCTGCGATCGCTTTCCAAAGGCGAACGCACGGTCCAAGATCGTAAAATTGTCAATCATGCTGGCCTCTGACGGTGCAAGTTCCACGGAAAGAGCTGTGGCTCCGGTGGTGCCACGAGGATGTCAGGCAACGTTCTTGTGTCGAGCGCCTGTCGTTATGGAAGTCCAGGTTGCCGATATGGCCCCCGCCTGCGATGGTGCATCGTCGAGACGACGCTTTCTTGCACGCACTCACGAACAGCTTGGCGGTTCTGCCCAGCAAGTGTGCTTCGTCATCAAGACGAGATCATTCTAAATCAACACGGTTTGGATACCGTCCACCGACATGCCCTACATACATGTCAAGAAAGATAATGTGAAGTATATTGTCATCGCACTGGGACGGGTGGGGATAGTTTGGGGGTTAGGGCGGGTAGGGGTGCAGAGCAGGTGCCTTCTTTTAGGGTTAGCCTTTGAGTGTTACTCGGAACCTATCATCATTGTATCATCATTCTCGTGTTTCATATCCTCTGCAGTAGTGGTGCCCGGGTTTGCAGCGGTGCCAGCAAACCGCTGGTTGGTTCAAAAGTTGGTCAGCGCGGCTTGTCATCTACTGTGCTTGAGTTCGCTGACGTCACATTCTCACCACGCGCTTGTTTTCGCTGACGGCGCGGCGAACCTTCGCGACGTGTGCAGGCCATCGTCGAGGGACTACGCGAGAGCGTGGTGGCGTTCGCGCACGGCGTGGAGGGCACCTCCCCGAAGGACATCATGGACATGGTTCTGCTAACCCAGGTGGGTCAAGAAGCGGGTTCCAAACCGCTGGGCGTTTCTTTTCCCCAACTCTTTTGTCACCGGCAGAATGAAAAGCCCTTGGTTTCTGGCACCAGGAGAGGCCTCCTCATGATCTCGACCTTTTTCTGAGCTGGTGAGACCCCCACTCAAGAGTCTTGCTGTGAAGCACAAGAGAAAGTGCTACACTGGCATGCTTGGTGTGGACTCCGATCTCACCGGCCTCAAAACGACGTGTAGCTCTATTGCACCCCTGGCGTGAGAAGGTTGGATTAAGAAGTATGCTTGTCTCAAGGAGACGTCTGCTCCTAGTTCCGCCAAGGGCTTCTCTCGAAGAAGTTTGTGCTTCCAAAGACGTGTGTTAAACCCCAGCTCTCTTCTTCCTTTGACGTTGTTTTAACTTACAGCTCTCGTCCTCTTTTGCAGTATTTCGACACCATGAAAGAGATCGGGGCACACAACAAGAGCTCGACCGTGTTCATGCCCCACGGCCCAGGTGCGGTTGCTGACGTGGCAAGCCAGATCAGGGCCGGAACGCTCCAGGCGGCCTCCGTACAAGAGATGGCAAGGGATTGAGAAAAAAGTCGAATACAAAAACGCTGTGCGCGGACGTGCGAAGGACCACCTAAAGAGACTCTCTGGGCCCTTAGTGTAAGATAGCAAGAGCGGACTTTGTGTCGAACAATAAACGCCCAGGACATTGAGGAGCGTCTCCGAATTCCAGGCAATTGGTTGTTCGCCGGTTTTACCCGTCGGGGCAGGTCCAACGGCAGAGTCGCTGGTCTCTAGGTCTTTGACGAGCCACCCAACTGATGTGAAGCTGGAGTCCAGCAGCTATTGCATCTTTTCTAGAAGGTAGCTTCAGCTTCACTTCATGGATCGCACTTATCCTAGCGATTGAACTTGATTTACTTTTCAAGAGCATGCTCCGGATCGCCTACGGTAGTATTAGCAGGCCGCCATGGCCACCCCGCTGCATGCACAGCTCGATCACCATGGTGTATTCTTCGTTACCACGTCAACCTACGGTACCTATTCCAGAGATTGAATGATGTACCGGGTACCGTCGCGCGACGGGTTTAAGGTAGTATGGCAATTAACCGCCTGCAGAACCCTAGGTCACGTTTCAGGTCACGAAAGGCCCCGGGCAAACCAAATTGAGTCGAGTTTTTTGCATTAGGTTCGAGGCCCCAAGGGGGTCCTAGGACCCGGATCTTGAGGTGTCTCGACCCCTCGAGCCGCCCCTGCCAACCGGGGAGTCTTGGCTCTCTTAGAACTGAGGGGGGTCACCACTTAATTTTCGTAGCTCTCATTTGTATGTATAAATGATGGCGGAAAGGGGCTTGGACAACCTCGGTCCATGCAGGGATATCGCCGATTTGTTAGAAGTACAGCCGATTTGTTAGAAGTACAGCCGATGATTGGTCCAGCTCGAGCCCTTTACACGTGCACACGAATCCATGAGCATGTACATGTCATGCCTTTGATCAAACTGTACATCAGACTTCCTTCCCCTGTCTAGGCGTTCCTACGGTGACTTGTGGGCCAGGACAATGCATACTGACGGCTCACTGATTTGTACTCACAGAGCTGTAAAGGCGGCTTTGAGCAACCTACTTAACTGGCGGCTAGGTTGCTACATTTTGCTCGCTGATGATTTGAGCGGGTATTTTTGATGATCACGTGTACCGTGTGCAGAATGGTGGTATCCCAAAGCTTCCAAGGCAAGCTTTGGTTGACTTCCGCAATACATGGGCCAAAGTATTCCCTTACGGCGCACGTTTACGTCGAAGTAACATTCCAATTGAATCACTTCAATCGTTTCTGTTGACGCAAACGTAATCGAGTGGTTACGGATGTGAGGCAATTATGATGAAATTCACTGACAGGCACGACAAGTATGATGCCTCAAGAACCTGAGGGACGTCTGATACTTTATGGTACACCAGTAGAATTGCTAGCCTCTCCCTATTCTTTACAGGTCTACAGGAACTACACTTACTTATCTCCTGACATCGGCTTACACACCGGAGGGAGCGAACATTGAAGTCCGAGGAAAAATATACAAATTCGCCTCCAGAACATTTTGGAAAAGTGCGTCCAGGTCTCCTCCACATACAAGTGCGTCCATCCATGGCCCATTACTATGTTTGCGAAAGAACTCCTGCTTATTTACGGTTAACCTAAGAGCTTTCTCTCGCAATCATAGGCTGCTCTCGCCAGCTCTTGGACTGATCTGCCCATTGTTTTAAAGCTAAAGTTGTCCTTCTCTTTCTCATAATCGTTACATTCGCCGCACCTAATGATCCCCGTCCCCCAGTCCCTCTCGAAAGTTGCCGAACCAATAAGAATTATCTTAGTGTTGCAACGGTTGTTGGGGCGATGCGTGCGGTAGTTATTGCATCGAACGACAGATTTAGGCAGCTTCTCGAGTCTCTTGATCAACTCAATGTCTTCGGTCAGCGCATCCCGCTCCGCTTGAAGCTTCTCTTTTTCGTCGTTCGCCCCCCTGATCTGTTCTTTCAACTGAAGAACTTCTGCCTCGTGTTCCTCCTTCATCTTGCGGACTTCTGAAGCGTGCTCGGAAATGATGGCGTTAAGTTCTTTCTCCACCCCCTCGCAACAGAGGTATCTTGCGGTTGCTCTCAGCATGGCCAGCTCTGCGCTCGATATCCTAGATACCTCCAGCCCCAAGTCGGTCGTGCCATGCATGACCGAGAAAATGACGCGAAAACACACAGGATCCACGTCCAAATAGGGTAATCCGTTTACCTTCTGGTGAGGAATCTCTGACGTGAGCATCCTAGAAAGGAGCCAGTCGTGGGAGAGGCACTTCTCTCTCTCTAGAACAAAGAGAGTTCCTTGGATGGACACTTTCAGGAGAGAGAGGTCCTCCGCCATGGAAGCGTGTTCACTCCCTAGTGAATAGGGCGGAGCTTACGACGGGAAGACACTTCCTGAGATGCCTTTTTAACCAAGGGCTGACGACGCGCGAGCTCTACATTGATCAGCAGATCTTGCGCTCTGTGGTCTTGCTCTCCAGAAGGAGGGAGACCTGGATACGTGCGCTAAGCCCCCCTGTCTGTTACCCACTCTACAATTCGAATCGAACTGGCAAATCTCTGGTCGGGTCACATCAACAAAAATTACGGCCACAAGATGTATTATCTCAGCCGGTGACATGGACCAATCCGACATCAGTCAGAATCATCTGTGGTCCAATCAATCGGGCGACCTGCTACTTCTGAGCAGGCCCTAGAGCCACGTCAGTGATCGAGATAAGGTAATAAGCACCAGTGAATCTTATTGGACAAAACCCGATGAGAAACACGGCAGGTAAGCTGGAAAATTACCCTGTAGACGATCTGTGATTATATCCCTCCTCATTTACGTGCAGAACTGTCAATCTCTGCTCTCGTTCCAAGAGGAGGCCGCCCCAAGCACGGGCGCTCGAAAAGACTTGACTCATTCTGAGAGAAGAACCAGAACTCTTGAAGACCTTCAAAGTTACGTCGAGGTCACAAGGATTGAAGACGTCACCATGGGGGCTGATGCGCCCTTTCTGAAGGTGTGCATTCAAGGAAGTATGTTTGTTCTGGACAGGGAGAAGTGCCTCTCACAGGATTGGCTTCTTTCGCGGATAGTCACGTCAAAGGCTCCTCACGAAATGGTCAACGGGGTGCCTTACCTCGATGTTGATCCCGTCTCTTTCAGGGTGATCCTCTCAATCATGCAAGGCACCACTGATGTGGCATTGGAGGTCTCTAGAATGTCAAGCGCGGAGCTGGCTCTCTTGAAGGCAACTGCAAGAACCCTTCTCTTTGACGAGATTGAGGAGCAGATCGGATCGATTGAGTCGGAGCACGATGCAGAAGTCTGCAAGCTGAAAGAGGAGATTCAAGAAGAGCCAGCTTGAGATACAGAAGCTCACTTTGGAGAATAAGGCGCTGGCCAAGGAGCACGAGATCGTCAAGATTCTGCAGAAGCTGCCCAAATCCATGATCTTGTGCAGGAATAATCGCAGCTATGACTGCAAATATCGTCAATGTGAGGGAAGAATTCTTCTCATTGGTGCCGGAACCTACGAACGCGCCGGGCTGAGATGCGAGTTGCGCTACCACGATGTATGGCATGAAGCGAAGCCCAGTGAATTTCGCAATGAGACTGTGGGGGACGGGGCTGACGGGCTGCTGATGGCGGTTCAAGCGTGCGAGAGGAGTCTGAACCCAAACTTATAGAATTCATGGGTGTTGATAAAATCAGCTTTGATTAGGATCCTGAACTGTGATGAATAAGGATTGGGTGGAGGTCCTGGTCAAGCAGTCTTTGCAGGCTTCGAAAAAGGGTCATATTGAGTCAGCGAGGACTCTGCTTTCGAGGATGTGAATGGGTATTGACTAGATTTCAAAGAAGAGGCTCAGAGAACACGAGATATGATCATAGTAGCAGTCAAGTCCTGAATCGCAGCTTGGATAACGCTTTTAGTTGTGATTTGTTCCCAGGATTCTTCAAGTGATTTCTTCTGCCCGTAATCTGCCTGAAGCAAAACTGTACATCAAAGTTGGCAGCTAGCTGGACCACTGGGCCCCCATGTCCAAACACCCTTGTTTTAGGTCTGATAAATGAAGAACATTTTAGTGCGACTCGCATGTCTCCCATCAGCCGTTGTTTCTAAAACCTCCCCCCGTTAAAATCTGCTAGAGATGGTTGTTCTGACGTACAGACGGTGCTGTGTCGGACACTCTTGAAGTATGCTTTTGGCTTGTGGGCCAAGTAAGCATAGTCTCGAGGCTGCCACAATATGCATGTAATACGATTGAATCAGCATTTAAGTTACCAACATATCAAGTGGTCCGCGATCTGCAAACGGCCACTTAAATTGCGCCCACCTTAAGGCTTGAATTCAAGCTGATAAAATCTTGCTTGAAATATTGCGGCCGCGGCTTCTTTACCCGATGAATAAGAAAATACGCTTGAATTAAACTCTTAAATAGACGTTGATTCACAGAGTATGTCCGTCTCGACCCACTCTTCAGGGTTGACATGGAGACGGCAGCATGACGTAAAGCAAGTCATGCTGGGTGCGAAGTAAACGTGATGAGTATCATTAACTCCCGTCCGTAACGGCATGCTTTTTGATGACGTGCATATACAATTGTGGTAGTCAGCATGAGCCATTTGGGTGAGCTAGGCTTGGTCTCTCATGCATCGATGCGATCCATCAAAGGAAACGCGTACGGTGACGGCACGGCAAAGTGGTCAGACGCACGGTGACCATCGACTGGAAGCGTAGCCTTCCGCTACGTCAACTTTCTTCAGCTCGAGGGCGAGCTGGGTCCGTTCACCTGAGGCTCTTTCTCAGGACACTCCTGAGGACCCTATCAAGTGTTTCAGCTTCGCTCATGCCGTCTCTCCGATCAACGGTTGCATCAAACAGATTCCGCGTGCAACTGTTTCCACTCTCTGATCTCGTTCAAGAGAGCCCGATCCAGCACCAAGTTTCGGTGCTCGAAGTCTAGGTTGGTCAGCGGGGACGTGGTGTGGGTCTCCAGCCATTTCGCGATGAAACTGCGGTCGTAGTGGTTGCCGTCGGCGGCCAGCACGGGCTCCTCCATGACGTCCTGCACACGGTTATCACAATGTTTGGTTACAGATTCCAGGGTGAGGTTTGAGTCTGTGGAAATGGCCCGCAGCCTGGTTAGGCGCCTTCTCGCACAAAATCACCTTGAAAGTTCACGTGAAGCAATTGTTTGTGGAGAGCGTTTTGAGTGTAACTGAAACAATCTCGCATGGCAATCAGCTTCGTTGGTGAATCATCAACAGCGGTTTCGCTCGAGACTTCAACAAGCACGTAGTGCAGTTCTGAAACAAGGGCCCGGAGAAGCGAATCGAGTTCCAATTGCGGCGCCGTTTCCTAGAGTGGACGTTGGCTCACCCCTTTAATATGATCAGGGCAGGAAGCACCCAAACCCGGTTCGGCCTTGAGAGAAAAGGAAAGTCCCATTCCGACAAGCGGGCCTTATTCTGACGGCGTGACAAGAGTCCACTTACCACCATCTCACCGCAACCAAGTCGAAGCAACGAATCGATCCGTTTCGTAGCAACTCTGGAACGATCCCGCCCTGTCTTTGAACACATCGAGCATCTCAAAAATTCATTCCCGGAGAAGCGTTGACGCGAGCGCGGCTCTCACCTGGGAGATGGGGCAGATGAATCTGTGCGGTACTTCGTCTCCCGCAGACTGCCCGGTCGCTTCGGCAGTCGGACTGAGCGTCTGCGATCTCAGCCCAACTAGTGTCGGCACAACCTCCGTTCGCAGGCTCGGCCGTGCCGCGCGGCTCGTCTCCGTGCACTGGAGCCCCAGACGCGCGAGCGCGGCCGCGACAGCCGGCGGCCAAACCCCGGCGGACGCGTCGAGAACCGTCTCCAGCCTGTCGGAGCCCAACGCCTGCAAAGAAGGCTTTCGGTCGCAATTCTGTGAACAGGTCAAGCCCGGGGGTCCTGTGGGGTTAGGCTTGGGGGTGGAGTAGATTTGAAAGTAAAGCCCTTGAATGCCTGGGCTGATAGGATGGGTCAGGAAGGATCTGGTGTCATTTCCTGGGGACAAGAAGGCCGCTTATATGATATCATTTTTCGGGGACAAGAAGGCCGCTACTCTGATGTCATTTTCTGAGGACAAGAAGGCCGCTACTCTAATGTCATTTTCTAGGGACATGCTAAGAAGGCCGCTACTCCGTGCCTTTGACGTCATTGCTGACGCCTCCGCTGTCGTCCTCTCTAATATCCACGGAACTGAGATATGCTCACCTGCGAGACCGCCTTCCGCAGACCAAGGGGTGCGCGCGCGGTCAGCAACTGGAGCAGAACGAGCCCAAAGGAGTACACGTCGGAGGCGGGCCCAAAATGGCCCTCGTTCATGTACTCTGGATCAATGTACGCGAAGGTGCCGACGCCAAAACCCCCGGGCGAAGAGATGTGCGTCGCGGCCGCGAGGTTCGTGCCCGGCGCGAGCTGCGGGGGATCTCAGCGAGGCCCACGTCGCCCAGCTTGCTGACGAGATTTTGGTCCAGGAGGATGTTGGCGGGCTTGATGTCCCTGGAGAGAAAGGATCGGAGGATGAGATGAAGCTAAACTAAAGAGAAGGTCGCCCGTTTCAGCAGGACGTAAAAACACGTTTCAGTGGCGAGCTTTTTTGACGGGCCCTTATTTGACTCCAATCACCATAATCAGCAGGCGATACAATATCTAAATGAGTTTTGTCTCGCGCTTGACCTGGCTCTCCGGAGCTCTTTGTGAAGGTTCAAAAGAGGGGCAAAGCCTACAATCGACCAGGCATATGATACTTCATGTGCAATCTCCGAAATTGGAAACTCTGGAAACTGGAAAGCTGCGGTCGAGTGGCGTCGATTCGATCGTAGGAACTACTTTCCAAAATACTACCGGCGCAGAAACTATCCTGATCATGCCATGGCATGAAGGTCAGGTCTCCACAATTCGGGACGTCCTTGAAAGGGGTCGGAAGACTGATTGACTTTGCGTCCAGGGAGCAAATCACATCAGCGATTAGGAAGGCTGCCTCGCATCCTATAAAACCCTGTACTCAACCCTCTTACATAAGCACGCTTAGCTAGCCACAGCCCCAGAAACTCGGACCTCGCAAAATCTCCTGATTCTGGAAAGAGTTCTTGACCTCAGGACACAAAGTCGCAGGGAATGGATTCTGCACGCGCTATAAGAGCCGGTCAAAATATTTTAAAGCAGCTCCAACTCACCGGTGGATGATCGGGGCGGGCCTCGCGGAGTGCAGGTACAGCAGCGCCACCGCGACCTCCGCCGCAATCCGCACGCGCGTCTGCCACGTCAGCGCCGGGCTGCCCCCGGTTCGCAGCAGCCGCTCCTCCAGGTTGCCATTTGGCATCAGGTCATACGCCAGACAAATCTGCGGCTCGAGACACGTGCCTAAGAGCATCGCAATGTTTGGGTGGCGGACTCGACAGTGTACCTGCACTTCTCGTTCGAACTGATCCCTCCCTTGGAGACCTTCCCCGGTCATAACCTTGATCGCCACTTCGGTGTGATCCAGCACGCCCTTGTAAACCTTCCCGAACCCGCCCTCCCCCAGTACATTCTCCGGCGCCCAACCCCCGGTCGCCTGGCTGAGCTCCTTGAACGTGTACCGATTCAACCCGTTGGTGGTGTTCTGGCCGTCTGATGAGCATTTCCCGCCGACGGTTGGCGCCGCCTCCAGCTTCCACTGAAGCTCTTTAACTTTGGCTCGCTCCGCTCTGATTGCTGCCTGGAGTGCTTCGACTTTTGCCTGCTCCAGAATCAACGTCGCCCGCGCCACGTCTGCGGCCTGGGATGCTTTGGCGCTCGTACGAGATGCCTGCAAAGAAAGTGACTTTTGAATGCGGCCGCGATCCGTCCAGGGTGCAGTACCACACAAATCCTGTCGCCTTCGGCCGCCCATTCCGAGTCTGCATCACGTGAGGGGGCGTCAACCAAAAAAAAGTCCTCCCGGACGATTTGGCACAAGCAGGACATCTTTTTGTGGGATCACCCCTGCGGTCCGTTCCTGGTTGAAGCTGCGGATCTCGCGCCACGTTATCGATCTTACAATAGTCCCTGAAGCGACCCACCTGCTGTTCCGTTACCAAACCTGGATCACCCAGCGGCGTCATCGCAGTAGAGCAGTAGGGCTGCGGTTGATGTTAGCTTGCAAGCATTCCATTTGCTTGCGTCTGGTCGGAAACTCAGCCTCTACTCAAAATGCCTCAAACGAGAAAGAGCGTGCTTATATACACTTCTCACACGTTGCTCATCCGACCCGGTCAAAGCTGCAAGGTCCGTTCTCAGAATTAGTTCATCCACTTACCTTGGCAGCATCGATGACCATTTCAGCCGCAGGACTTCTCTCAAGACGTTTGAGGGCCAGAGCCGCGGCCCCTCGCACCTCTTCGCTCGAGCTTTCCAGCAGGTCCACTAACCGGCTCACGGCCCCCGGAACAGCAGCAATGACCTCCTGGTTTGCTGGGTCACCCGCAAGGTTCCCGAGCGCCGCAGCCGCACACGCCTGTGCATCCTGTCTCGAGCTCCCCAGAAGGTCCACTAACCGACCCAGGGCCCCCGAAATAGCAGCAATGTCCTTTTTGTTTGCGCTGTCACAAGCAAGATTGCGCAGAGCGCCAGCCGCTTGTGCCTGCACCTCGTCGCTCGAGCTTCCCAGCAGGTCCACTAACCGACCCAGGGACCCCGGAACAGCAGCAATGGCCTTTTTATTTGCGCTGTCGTATGCAATATAACAAAGAGCCCAAGCCGCTAGTGCCTGCACCTCGTCGCTCGGGCTATTCGCAGGTCCACAAAACGACGCAGAGCCCCAGGAACGGCAGCAATGGCCATTTCGTATGCGGCGTCGTTGCTAGCAAGTTTTACCAGGGCCCCGACGGCGTTTACTCTTATGATTCGGTTCAAGCTTCCCAGAAGATCTACCAACCGACCAAGGGCTTCTGGTATGGCACCGATAGTCTTCCGACTTGTGGCCTCATCTGCGATACTCTTGATGGCTAAGACAGCTTTACCCTGCACCGCTTCACTTGAGCTTCCCAACAGGTCCACCCACCGCCGGATGTCCTCTTCGGACGTTGTTTGGACCTGCAAAGCAAGGGTTGGAAGAAATCAAATGCCTAATTTCCAATAAGAAACCTCTCTGAAGCGGCCAACTTCCCAAATGTCGCCAAAGATGCGTGCAGAACTCTAAAGAGGAAATGAAATGTGCGATACATCCCTCAGCCAATATCAGAATTTGATACACCAAACACCGTGTCTGCGCCCGATCGAGCTATAAATCAGATTGGCAGCAGCCTGTGATCTCCTCATCTGAGAAGAGCTTGCATCCAAAGGGGACTGGAAGGAGACAGGAGCAGAAACCAGCATCCTGAGCATCGAGATGAATCCATCATCTCACACTGCTGGTTTCGAAAATTGTTTGTAAGTCGAAGTTTCAAGCTACATGACAGTACTGGAGTCCGAATCTGAGAAATCGTCGGAAGCTTATCACAGTGGCATGCCAACTTGCTCAGATCTAGGAAGGAATCTGGAGACGTGTACGAACTTCCTTTATTATGGTTTCAGTGGGTCTCATGGCTGTATTTGACAATCCATGATTGAGCAGCAAAAGCCGAACCAAGGCTCAAAGATCCAGCCCTTTTGGAACTACGTTAGGCTCGAGCTCTCGAGTTAGGCTCTGTCCAGTGTGTCGATGCATTATGACTAGGGAGTCCAAGTCATACCAAAACAGAGACCTTCTTTTCTGAAATGTTCCGAAGGTCAAAGGACGAAGTTGGCAGGGTTGGGACCGAGCACCAACTTGCATACATACCTTGTTCTCCATGTTGTCCTTTCAATTGGATTATGGTATGTATATTTTGAATCCTAGAAACTCAACAACTTGCGTTCTTGGCCCCCTCTCAGTCTCAATGTCGTTACTAGGTACCACTGCCGTTGCTCGCTTCCGTTGCTCGCTTCAGCAGGTCACGGTACAGCTTGCAGAGACTACATTACGCCAACAACCTGTGGACATCCTTCCTCAAGCCTTCCTCTTCCGTGATGGGAACATTAACTCAGTAGCTTCGATTATGTAGTCTGTTGCAAAATGATGCAGAGCCTCTTTCCAATGCCAGAGAAGCTTTTCCGTAACCTTTCCATTCAGATATTTGGTCGACTGATCTACTGTGTACCCTTAGAGATACTTACAGAATCGACGAGCTTGAGCAGTACTAGTTGCTGCTTAGAGGCCTTTTGGTCATTGACCAATGACGACGAGTCCACAACACGCCCAGGCCTCGCCTACTAGTTCACTAGTCTAGTTGCCTAGTTTGATTGGCAGACTAGCCCCCTAATGCGACGTTCCACTTTGACATCGGTTGAAGACGAAGGGTCGAGCTGATCTGAGCGGATGTTGCATTATGCAGTGGACTGCTGGATCTGCATGCACATGTGGTCTGCCAGCAGTACTGCAGCTTGTCTGCACTACGCTGATTTGCTGGTGATCAGCCAGGAGATCCCTGTTGAAACATTGACAGCGACGAAATTGAAAGCGGTGGAACAAAAGAATGAAGTCAACGCTGCAATGCGACGCCCTTCATCACTGACATCATGCTTACAAATAGTCTTGTGGCTACAAAGGACATGATGTGCAGACATCATGGTATAGCTGTGAGCCCGGAACAAGTCTGACAAGTCATGCGAAGCTTATACGTCTACAGAACTCAGTCTACCTATAACGCTTCACAATGGTAGTCCGAGTCCGTAAAACTTGGTCATGTCATCATCAGACAGGGCCAACAGTACATCAGAGCCACGCGCAGTGTCGTTCAGTTGGAGTCCCAGTTCGACGCCGTGGCATCAGCCGTCGTATCCAACGGTCGTATGCAACCGTCTGCTCGCTGGCGTACATGAAGCCGCGGCCGCGCTAGCGACCGTCGGTGCAAAACGGCGCGGCGCCCGGCCCGCCGCGCGCGTATTTCTCGATGTAGTGAACAGCAAGCCCAGTGAACAGTAGGCATTTTGGGGTTACTAAAAACCCTAACCTAAGGAAACACCCGCTCCGCACCCGGACCCACCCTAACCCCCTAACTAACCCTACCCGTCTCCGTTACTGTTCACTGGCTGTTACTGTTCACTACATCGATCGGAATGCCGCGCGCGGCCACGTAGCCACGTATTGAGCAGTGAGAAGTGCCAGACACTGCAAGCGGCCATGGGCCGTGGGCCGTGGCACACTGTACTTAATTAATGCAATCCGCCAGTCACCTTCAAGCGTGAAGAGATTCTCCACTCGCGATCCGCTAGGATTAGGCCCACTGAGGGGACCAATCGAGGTACGTATGAAGCAGTTTGCAAGAGTCAAGGCTGCAAGGCGTGCTGACGGTAGCAACGTCGTACTATTCCTCGATTGACAAAGAAAAAACACTCAGCAGTCGGAGATGTGTATATTGAATGCGGGGCTTAAATCGATCACGTATATATAAGTGATTCAGTTAATCATTATGTCATATGCGGGTCAACCAAGGCACAACCCCTAAATTGGTTTCAATGGCGGCTTTCGCCATGCAAAGTTGAAGCGTTCGATCATGACATGCTTCATATAATTGAGCATGCTGCTGTCGCATGGGCATGCTCACAATGTTTGCTCGCATATTACTACTATGGCATGCAACTTGACCGTCTGTGCAAGTGGGGGCGCGGACATATGCTTGTTGAATCTTTGAGGAAATGATGGCATGTACATGCATTTTAAGTGAAACATAAGTATGATATCTTCATATTACAGAGCTTCAGCTCGAAACGCTTTGCGGGCCTCAGCTTAGTATGTCCCATCTCTTCAACTAGATGAGTGCGCATGCACAACATGCAGGTGTAACATTCAAGACGGATATGCGGTAGTCGTTCGCAAAAAGCAAATAAAGTGACAGCACATTCGCGAAGTTGTACGACGATTGCTCTCGAACCCGGGAATTCTTAGATCTCAACCAAGTGACAAGTCCGAAACCAATGAGCGATTTAAGAAGAGCCGCATTAGATCCAACCTTACCTGCAATACGTTACTCTCTCAAGAAGAGAAGGGATTGACTCATCCAGATTCCAATATAGAAAGTGCCGATTACTCGTGCAGTGCCATCAATCATTGCATTCGTCATAACAGGCAATCATCCTTCCCAACTTGTCGACTACAAGGCTGGAATGCACCACCTTCAACAAGAGTCATCGACATCCTCTAGCGCACAACTGGTCGCGATCTTAAGAAGAGCCGAAATGATGACCATTCCGGACACACTGTCGGGCTCCGACGACCGGTTGACCAGACTTGATGTCCAATCCGACAATTCTACAGTGCTTGTTAGAGCAAGCAACATCCAGGCTATCTATCTACCCTAACTACAGCTAAAAGGACGGCTGCCCACCTCCTAGGTTGCTACTTCTTCCTTTTAACATAGGAAGACAGGAAGAAGGACGTCTGGTTCTTCTGCAGGAACCTGTGGGACGGCAAACACGCCGTTCGTCAAAAGGCACAGTACTCGAGACACTCGGTGCAGTTAACAAGGGAAGCCGTCGAACGACCGGATGAGGACCCCCGTCACAAGCAGACTGCTCTAAGCACGGCCAAGAGGTCAACATGCTGATAGAACTGTTCGGAAAGAGGTCGGAACGATAGCAATTGAAATTCAAACTCTAAGCACGCCCCACATGTCGCTGCTGAAGACGGGAAGACGGAGCTGCCAATTTGAGCTCTAAGAATCTACATTCCACTTTGACGTTCTTAGACCGGGTCACATGCGTTTTCAGAATCTGCCGAGACCGTCGAAAACTTGGCAACAAGGTGTGCGTTATCATGATTCAAACCGCGGCCTCCGTCGACCGCGTCCGGTTTTCATAAATACGCAGCTTTGAAATGCGGTCGATTTTCGGAAAGATTCGGCCACTTTTCGGATACTCCGTAAACACCGAGCTCGGTTTTGCTCGGTTTTTGAAAGTGGTGTTTATATGCGTCGGTAATTTCGGAGCTGCCACGTCGGACAAACTTGGCAAAAATTGGCGAACCAAGCAAAAGTGGACGAATCGGAACCGGGCACAAACAGCTCTTGTGCTACGCGGCGGGTCTCACTTGAGGAAGTCAATCAGCTTGGCCTGCAGTTGCGCCATGGACGCCTCTTCCATGTTGGTGTATACCAGCAGCTCCGGCAGTTTCACTGCACGCATAGAAATTCGCAGAGTTATGACAGAGTAGCGACCGGCACGTGCAGCAGAACCTAGCAGGGCTTGTATGCATAGAGTTGGCACACGTTCGAGGGTGGCGAAAGTAGTTCAGCAGCAGACGGAACCTGAGAGCGCCGTTTGGGGCTATTCCTACTTAGAGTCAAACGAGAGTCAGAGTCATTTCTCAGGAAGCGATGAGGCTAGCAAGAGCTTCAACACGGCTGATACAATATTGGCTGCCGCAAGGGCTTGAAATTTATCAAGCGACGCCTGTATAGAAGTGCCAGTAGCGCGGAAGTAGGTTGACCCGTGCGACAAGTAGGGACTCCAGATACAACATCCCCGCTAGGAGAGGGTGATCGAAGTTCGGATCCACAACAGGAGAGCAGTTCTGGCGGTTATGACTGATATCGTTCTGCTTAAAGAGCTTTCTTTGAACTGCAGAAACATTGCCACAAGGACTTCAGCAAGGGGGTCACATTAGGGCTTACACAAAGCTTTGCCAGAATCTAGCCGACCACTGTCAGAGTTAATCACAGCTCTTTCGGAGCAACCTCTTCCTTTTGGTAGATACGAGATCAGCCTTTTTTCACTCAACAATCTCAAAAATCCATCCTAAAGGTGTCACGGAAAATAGAGGTTGCTCGGGAAATGCTTTTACGCCGTGCTCAGCTTGATTCAGAGGAAACAAAAGAAGTCGACAAGCGCTCACCAAACAGGCGCAGCAGGTGCTCCGCCCCGTATATGTTGGACGGGCTGATGTCACTCTCCTCGGGAATGACGTCATTGAACTGGTCCCGCTCCTGGCTGTACAGGAGCATCGCCGGGAGGGCCTTGTCGAAGTACGAGCGCAGGCCGTCCACCACTTCTCCTGTGGCGTCGTCGGTCCTGCACAGGGCCTCGAATCTTAACGGTGCGATTGAAAGAGTAGAATAAGAGCTGATCCGCTGAACTTTTCTACTTCTACAGCAAGTTCGGTTCTCGACATATCAGATACATCCGCCCTTTTCCACTTACAACTCGTGCTTTGTGAAGCGACCGGTAGGCTTTGGCGCCCCAAGCTTCGCACGAAAACCGCACCCAGCCCACACCTCATTGTACCATAACAAATCAGGTGAGATAAAAAGGGAATCTTTTGCCATGTATACGGTGATTCGAAGGTGGCGGCGTCTCGTGGTGACAAGTTGCCGACTATTGAGGGTACGTATCATCTGAACTTCGATTCGGGCCAAGAGCTTGTTGACATGGCTTGTGATCCACGTTGCGAAACTGTGAAGCTTTGCAGTCTGACTATGAGCCCTGAAGCTTTGTGAAATGCTGCGTGCACTCGCCTAGTTCAACGCTAAAGCAAGCAGATAACAAAACTTCAGCCGACTCAAACATCCAACCGCTGTTCTTGCGCGCCTCGCAAAGACGTAGAGGGCCGATCCACTGGCGCGTTGTATGTGATTGCACAAGAACGATTTTGTGCAAATTGAGGGTCCTAACGGTCACACAAAGGGGTACCACAAGCCCAAATCAATCGTGCTTGCTCCAATGGCAAACGTGGTATTCCGTGTCGGATCAAAGCTGGTACTGAGGCAATGTAATCTATGGATCGACCAGCCCACACCCTGTCCTCAAGCGGACTCGCAAGGTCAACAGATCGACCGCTGGTGTCCACCTAATAACCTCTCAGTCGTTGGACACAGTTCCACTTGATGTTCAGCTTGAAACAGACATACCATGCTCCTACGAAAGAAAGAAGATTACTGTAAATGTGCTCACTCCGACGACGCCTTTTTCGTCCTTGCTTCCAAGTACTTCTGCAGGATGTCGTTCACGGTCGGACTTCGAGGGAGCGGTACTAGCTGCAAGGTTAAGAAACAGATTGCGGAAAGGGTTTATGAACAGGCCAGTTGATTGCATCCCATATTGACGTCACAAGTTCCGAAACGGTAGGAAGTTCATTACATCATCGTGAGACAGGTTGCGTGTTGACCGAGATCGAAGTTGAGCGACTAACACGATTGGAACCAGATAACCTCGCTTCAAGAACAAGACAGCCTAAATCCTCCACTATACCCTTCATTGAAAAAGTTGCGGAAGGGAGAACACTCCAGTTGGCCGTCTCAACGAACAGAATGGAAGCCTTATGATACAAAGCCATGTCGGGGGACATGTCCTGGTCTTGCTTTGAGAGCAATGCAAGAATAAAGATTATACAAAGCTTCCTGAGAAAGGGATTGGGCTCACCTTGTTGTTTTCGGTCACGTGTTTCCAGTCATCGATCAGCTGTTTCTTTAGGTGACTCGAGAGGGGCAACTTGACCACTTGCTCCGGCTCCTCCTCTTTCGCCTATGAAGAAGTAAGCGTGCGCTATTTAGACACTAGCTCTCTTTCCTCGTTCGGTGTCAATTGCATCAGTCTGAAACACTGACCGTTTTTTGCATCCAGTCGACAGGGTATATTAAGAGCTTTCGGATACGACTAACATTGTTAGTACCCGGTTGGCATTGAAGCCGATTCGACGCTTGCAAAACCTGGCCGGCCGGATCCAAAGCCTCTGACCGATTCAAATCATTTGTAACGGGATACTCCCGAGTAGACCTTCGATGAAAAACGGCATGTTGCTTGATGACGGTTCGGTCGCTCCTTCGGCGAGCTCTCAACGATGGTCATCTGAATTACGAACACCCTCTTTCCTATCAACCACAGGTCACAGAGACGATGCCCAAAGTAATAGCAGTACCGAGGAATCCTCCTCCTTCTCTAAATACTCACCTCGTTTGCATCTGCCTTCCGTTTCTTGCCTCTCTTGGACTCGCCCTCTGCAACACAAAAGCGATCAACGTATCATTGACCTGCTTTAGCCAGGCAGTTGATGCTCTCTGTTACAAAGCAGCATGAGGCAAGGAATACTGCCCTGCTGAAGTCCTTTGTATCCTGGAACAAGTGGGTCCAACTTGCTTGGCATAATGTGTATCTGATGGAGGCGCAAAATCGATGAAATTTTGTCAAGCGAAACCCGAGAGATTCACAACGATCGACACTCGCAACCGCACGGGCCAGGCAATTGTACTCACAGATGCTGAGACTTCCCAGCTCTTGCCAATTTACAATGTACCAGGTCCCTCAACCAAACAGATGCTGAGCCTTTTTAGCAATTGCTATTGTCAACTTGCAAATTACCAGGTCATTTAACCGGACCCCCTCTAAGTGAGTTGCTGCAACCCCAAAGGTGGCCAGACCTGCCACAACACTTTCACGCACCTTTTCGCTCCGAGCTTCCCACTTTCGACTTCCCCCGCTTCTCGGCGGCCTCCCGGTGCACCTTCTTCTGCTTGGCAATGTTTGCGTCCGTGATCTTGAGCAGTCGCTTTGTGTCCACCCACTCATCCCAACTGCGACAAACGTATGCAAACGTCATTCCGCTCCTTATCCCCTCCTTCCTAAAAATCATAACAGATCTCCCTCAGGTCACGAGAGGCCGAGGGAATATGCTTCGAAAAAGGACAGAGACACATGCTCGACAATCGAAGCTTTCCAAGCATGAGTGGAGTTGCCGGTTTCATTATCAGAACATGTCGCAACCTTCGTCCTTCTGGACAGACTGCCTGAGCCCTTTGCCACGGGGTATCAGATTGGGCGCTGAAGGAGTCGCCAGAGCTTTGACCAGAACTTTACCGGTAGTTCTGTTGCCAATTTTTTTGAGACGTGAGTGACGGTGTCACGACTTTCCAAAAGCAGTGGGACATGGTCACGCACCTCTAACCCCATCAAGAACAAGATGCTTTGGAACTTGATGAGAAGCACTTCGAACGTTGACTGACAAAAAGTTGACAGTCGTCCAGAACTGAGGTAGACTCTGGCCAGACTTGGACAACTCCCTCGAGCATTACAACAAGAAAGCACAACTTTTAAGGAGGACTGGAGCGATCTTTGCAATTGCCTTTCATACCTAAGACAAGACTTGCTTTCAAGCAATACTTGACTGCTGATGTAAAATGATGCTTGACCCCGCAACGGCGTTGTTCCAAAGTCTCCAAAAGAGATTCCCAAACACGAGCCTACCTCTTGCTCCAACCCAGGTAATGCACGTAATACCGCCACTCCTTTTTCCGAAACTCAGCCTTTTGGGTCTGGACGAAAGGGATAAACATCAGATCTTGAGTTCATATTTCACCTTTCAGTGCAGAACGAACAGGCATTTTTAAGAAGCAAAGATGCACCTAGGAAAAACCGAACTTGCAATTTTGTGAGTGACACTTGCACTGACAGTCTTCGAATGTTTCAAGAAAGGCCTAACCTGAGGGGCAGTACCGACGAGCAACAATATCAATGGTTTTACTAAGATGCATTCTCTTTCGAAGCCTTTTTCTCTCCGAACATTGACAACCAGGACTGATGTGAGACAATCCTGGATTCTTCAGCAATATGTTGGCTAAACATACAACCACTTGGCATGGTCAAGACAGACTTTGACCACCCAGCACCCTCAAACAGGCCGTTGCTAACAGCTCAGATCCTGACCTGATGCAAAATGTGAACCCAGATCATACATTTCAAGAAATGCACTTGGAAGCACAATTGTACCGACATGTACAGCGAGAAGATGATGTACCCGAGAGGGAAGGCCTTGATTTGTCAATGTTGGAAACAAAAACATCCAAGTCCTATCTTACCTTTGCCTCATATATCAACGGCCCATGGTAAGCGAGGACCTTTTCGCCTTCCGCAAAAGGCCCCGTGTCTTTCTTTTTCTCGTCGGACGCATCAGTGGCCGCCGCAGAGACAGACGTCTCCGCCTCCTCCTTTGGCACCGCACCGCGCGGCATGTGCGCAACCACCAAGCGTTGCGACAGATCCTCAGAGAAGGGCAGACGGCCCAATCAAGGTAAAGGGATACGAATGCCCCTTCTAACTTCTGTATTACACAAAGGTCCGATTTCTTCGCTCGACCTGTCTGTAATGGCCCAAACCTTTTCCAAATGCGCTCAAGATAGCGACAACGCTCCTATACGAAGCAGCGCACAAATGCCCTTGAGCGTCAGCACGAAGGGTGGCTCGCTGCAACAGCGCATACACGCTGGTTTCATACAAGACCCTGCAGGCCGTGGAATCACTACCTCAATGCAAGGGCGGCTGCCAGGCAGCTGTCCAACAAAGCGACAACTTGTTCAATGAACAGTTCACAAAAACTAGTAGTAGGGGCCGGGCGTTCCGAAGCTATGGCGTTCCTGCTGCGCATGATCTGCTCAGAGTCAGACTGCCGCGCTGTGCAAATTCTGTTTTCCCGCGAAGCAGGCGGTTTCTAGGCTCAGACAACTAGGTTGACCGCAAACCGACGGCGCATTCCTAGGTTCGCTTCCGCGCACTTGGCGCCGCAACCGTCGATATGCTTACTGTGACCACACTGCTTCTTTTCTACCGTGCGATTTACCTCCAGGCTCCATATACCGTACAATGGTTTAACAACACGACATCTTACGGCAAGGAGGTTGACCGCCGTCGTCGATCGACGCACACGGTGCTGCCAACGTGGCAGCCACGAGTCTCGTCACTAACCGCCACCTCAGACTCATGAAGAGTCAGAGGATCCGCAGTCCGAGAATCATTCAGAGAATCAAAAGCGAAAGCCTCTTCAAAGACCAGAAGGAAGTGAGGCCCAGGGAAGCGGAAGTCGAAGGAAGGGCGCCAGAACGTGGAGCAGGAAAACCTCTCAATATTGTACATACAGAAAAGGCTACACAATTGCGCGAAAGAGACTGCAGCCATCGTTTTGAAATTTCCGCAGGGTAACATACATCTTCTAGCTTGTGTGGAGCTGATTGCCGTAGCGGCAAAAGCGCGTGAAGGATGCCTGCCTCGAGGGAGCCGGAGCAGGTCATCCTCTCTAGATGTGGGGCTGTACTTGGCAAGAAGACGGTGCTGAAAAGTGACCACTTTCCAGGCTGTCAGAATAAGAAGCTGATGCCCCATTTGGATGGGGCACCGAACTACCGGCAGGTCAGTCAAGGCTGGTATATGTGCATTCATCAAATTGGTTTCTCAATCGGTTGCACTAGAAGTCAATTTTCTTGGACACTGGCATTGCGCCTTTTCCCTCTTCCCAATGATGTGGTGCCTGCCCTAATCTGCTTTTGATTTTACAAGTTCAGAGGTAGTCGCTCTTCAGCTTACCACGGACTACGGACATTTTTTGATGAACGCACTGCACACGAAAATTAGAGTACTTTGAAGTTCATTACAGTGGAGTCTCTTTCCCCCTTCCAGATGTCATTCAGCTCTGCATCAGTCCCTCACATGCTCAGTTGGTATACTCTGTGTTCCCGGTGCATTGATTGCTTCATTGCTTTGATTGCTTTAGCAGCAATCAGCCAGAAACCGACATACCGTTCAGCTGTTTAGGCTTTAAAATTGTTCTCCTGGACGCTAAGCTTGTTTGCTTCCTTTTTGATTTCTTGGTAAAAGTGAGACGACAGCATTGCAGAGGGTAAACGTCCCTCAGAGACCCTGTTGTTGCTTGGGTTCTCCTTAACTTTGAAGCATTTGGGCAAGAACAGATTGCCTGTTGTCAACCGAGAGAATGCAGGGTAGCGCTGAACGTTGTTTCACAGGAGCCTGTCCCTAAGAAGGAGAAGGGATTTAAGGCGCAGTTTGAAGCTTTATCCCAAAGCCTAGTGTTGAGTGAAGAGGAGGCTCGAAACTTTGGTTGAGTGAAAGCTGCCTTGGGCATTTAACCAGGGTGCTTGATATCTTCCCATGTAAAAGTTGATGACGAAAACTTATAAAAAGTTGACCCACAATTTGGGGAATGGGGTCGACAGAATACCAATGTGGCCGCTAAGCGCACCTGCTTTCTATCCATGCACTTACTACGTCATTGAGTGTGACTTGGAAATGCTGATTTCTGATTGAAGTAATCATGTGCATTCATGAAACGCACAAGCTCTCCTCTTATACATGAAGTGCAGTTCGACAAATTTCGCACAGTCCTTTGCCCCTTCAGTGACAAAATCGTCTCTGAGGATTCTGATGATATTACTCTTGGCACGTATTCTTTCTATACTCTGCCTATCAAAAAGGAGTCGTGGAAATCGGCCTTTCCCTGACTTTGAAAAGAGAGGACAAACTATAGCAGCACATTCGTGGGGGTTCTACAAGCTTCTAGATGCTGACAGCGAATGTCAGCCATTTGCATCCTCAGCTTGGCAATATTCTAGCTCCCTTGAGTTTCTGGTCACCTAGTGGACTCGTTTTTAGAGTCACAAGGACACTGCGTGTGACTAACATGTTTTGGGTTACTAAGACGCTTTTCTTCAGTGCTCCGAAGCTCTGTGCTTGAACACATTTGTGAATATCACTTTCGTTTGCATTCTTTTTTGTTCCTTCAAGGGCTAGATTGTTGCACGCAGAAGGCACTCATCGCAGACCCAGACGCCAAAAGTGCAAAAGACAGTCAATGAGAAACTTTTTTTTCTCAGTCTCCAACGCCGACAATTCTTGACATCTCACGCTTCTGCCCAAGTTGGGGGACATGTAGGGTCTATCCGTTTACCCCTCCGCATACCAGAAGACAGTGGTAGTGTGGGGACTTGTCACTCCCGTCTCTTGCAGCGAACTGATCTTTGCAATCGCTCCAGCCTCCCTCTGTCTGGTTCATGTTAAGTCTACCTTTTGGTCACACTTTACAGCCATTTGTTTAGGTCAAACAGTCTCCCAATTGTGCAGTCATCCACCTTTGCTTGCTAATACATTTGGAGCCAGAGCCTACTTGGCATTCCAGTCAATCGCTCTCCGATGCTCGTCCTGATCCGCCTTTGCCTTCGCTTCGAATATTCATGAATACCCATGGGTATCTTACCCCATTGGTAGGGCCTCCTTTGATGCTCAAGACCTCCGGTTCTCGGAACCAAACGCAGAACATTGAGCCCTGGGCGCTCGACCCTCTCGCGCACGGCGTCGCAAATTCAAGCACTTCCAAAATGCTCTTCTGAAGTGCTCAAGCAACCACGCGTTTCCCAAAAAGGCAGCCGTTTTGGCCCCTGGCTGACAGTAAATACACTTCTTCCCCCAAGTGGCGCTTTGCGGTCTCTCAGTATATGACGCCGTAGTCTCAGCCACTTGGATGTGCCTCCCTACAATTGCATAGTCAACCAGGCACTTCGAAAGGCGGCCATCCTAGCCCCTTGCTGACAAGAATTTCATCCTCGCAGGTTGGCGACCTCCCCGTATATGGCGTTGCGATCCCGACCGCCGCCGGCATTCGGCACGTTCTTGACCAGATTGGGTGCGGCCCCGACGCCCACCGCCGTGCGCTGTGGCACAACATGCGCGAGGAGCCCGTTCTCTACATCAACGGGCGGCCCTTTGTGTTGCGCGAAGTCGAGCGGCCGTTCACAAACCTGGAGTACACGGGGATCGACAGGGCGAGAGTGGAGCAGATGGAGGAGCGGCTGAAAGAGGACGTGCTGCGCGAGTCGGAGAGGTGGGCGTTAGATCTGTATCTGTTGTTAAAGAGTCCCTCTGGATTGCCCCCCCCTTGGTTATTGTTTTTGCCTCAGGTTGTGGTTGAAAAGAGTTTAGCACGTGTTATGCGGACGTTCTTGTAGAGTCATGGGAAAGGTTCCGCGGTGGGAGCGGGAGGAGCTGAGTGGTGTTTTAAGAATCTGGGCTTGTTGGCACATTCTATAAGGCGTTTGAGAGGTGGGGTGACTTCGTCCTGCCCCGTCAGCAGATTCTTATGATTGAACTGCCTCTTCACTTGTCAGCGGTTCTGATCGTGAAAGCCTGTCGTTTGTGACCAGAAACGGGGGTCCACGGTTTGAAACGCCTTCGTCCGCTGTGATTCCAGATGACTGGTCCGAAAAACTCCTGCTGAAGCAAGCGGCACAGACAAAAGAAGTTTGAACCCTTCAATCTCAACTATAAAGTCGGCTTTAGATCCACAACCCGTACATTACCTTCGCTCCTAAACACCGAACTGCAACCGCTCCAACTCTCGACCCAATATTTCCGCAAGCAACTCGTTACCCACTACTGTTAATCTCGTTCAGGTACGACCACAGAATCATGGTCAGTGACGAGCTCCCCGACGGCCAGATGGTCGACCAATGGGAATCCATAACCCCTTCCTCCGTCCAGACTCCGCTTGAAGTGTACCAGGGCTTGCAAGAAGAGGGTTATCCCGTTGACTACGAGCGGGTTCCGGTAACCGACGAGAAGTCGCCGAAGGAGCGCGACTTTGATCTGCTGTTGCGGCGCCTGGCAAATGCACATCCGAGCACGGCGCTCGTGTTTAACTGTCAAATGGGGCGGGGGAGGACGACGACGGGGATGGTGGTCGCGTGTTTGGTGCACTTGCGGCGGACGATCTTTGGGGGCACAGCCGGTGAGGGCTGCTTTTGTGAAACGATTAGATTGTCCGTAAGTCTGCAGATTTTCATGCAGCAGTGGTGTGGAGACGTGAAAGGCACGATACATGGCAGACGAATTTTGGGCGGACTTGATAGAAACAACAACAATTTGTCTTGGGGGAGGAAGTCGTTTTGAAACGCGGTGGTCAAAACCTTTTTGCTAAACCCAAAGGCTTTTTAGGGATGCTCCTGATTGGGTTCCTAAAGTCACGTCTCAGCTCACGGATGTAAGCGCTCAGGAAGAAGTACACGTCATCCAGGACAACATGGACAGAATCGCTGCTCTTTGAAATGAATTTCGAGGAGCGAGCTATCAACTCGAGAAGCGCAATATCAATTCTGACGGACGCAAACCTGGCTGTTCCTTCCAAACACAACCGACCAGAAACATTTTAGCGCCTGGAAACACGCATCGACTTCGTACCCTCTTCTGCAGTGCCGAGCGGGGGGCGCGTGCACGAGGTGACGGAGGAGAGCATGCGCAACGACGTGGCGGACACGACCGAGGAGGCGCTCAAGCGGGGCGAGTTCACGGTCATCCGCAGCATGACACGTGTCCTCGAGGGGGGCGTTGAGGGCAAGCGCCACGCGGATAGCGTCATCGACAAATGCTCAGCGATGCAGGTGAGGCGCGCTCATGGAATTGTTTGGGCCATCGCCGCTGTTGAGGCTTTCGGATGTTGGAAATGCCCGAAAGGAAAACATCGGATTATTTTGCTCTTGTGACGAAAAGTTTGACAGAGTGGCTCACCAGATAGATCAGGCGCCTTGAAGGGCGAAGGTTGATGGCAGAGCTGCGCGTTCTTTCTAGGTAGCATCGCTCTGGCTGCGTATCGTTTTTGTAGCTGTTAGCTTGTTCAGGTATTGGAAGTACCTTCGGGAGATGCGCGTAGAGGCAGGAGCGTTAGGATCCCGGACGACAAGTATGCGCTTCCGTCAAGATTGTCGTCGGACCTAGAAGAGCCTCCAGTCAAAACCGAGTCTATCTACGATCAACAGCCTAGCAGGTCAAACGTCTCGGAATGGATGCTGGAAGCTTCGGACTGAACAGTCACCATTCATCGTGCAAATTCTCGCTCACCTCTATAATTTCGCGATTCTAGCAACGGTTACATAACATTCAGGTCCTCGAACCAGATTGCAAGACTCAAGTGCCAGAAAGCAAAACCCGGACGCATGACTTGCTTCGTCCCACACTCATTCTCCAGAACCTGCGGGAGGCTATTTTCGGGTACCGCAGCAGCATCGTGCGGCAGGTGGACGAGAAGAAGCGGGAAGCCGCGCTCTCCGCATTTGTTGAGTACCTGGAGCGTTACTACTTCCTCATCTGCTTCACCGTGTTTCTGTCCACCGACGCGTTTGCGCGCCCGACGAGCCCCGTCAACGGCAAGCACTGGGACGGGAAGGAGGGCGGCTTCCAGATGTGGATGCGGGCACGGCCAGAGTTGTACTCGGTACTACGAAGGTGAGGGAATTGAGTGTCATTTCAATGCTTCTGAGGGCTAGTGTTTGGTTTTGGATTTGAGCCGGGTTGTGAGGGTCAACGGGAAGCACTGGTACACGAAAGAGGGCGGCTTTCAGATGTGAATTCGAGCACGCCCGGAGTTGTACTCTGTGCTGCGGAGGTGAGGGGTTTGGAGGAGAACTGCTAGCTTTCTGCAAAAGAGTTTCGGGTTAAAGGCTACTCTTGCTTTCTGGAAGACGAAGCGAAAATCTGAGCAAGTCTGAAAATCAAAGTCTCGCCTCCTCTTTCGCTCGCTGCCTCCTCCGTTGTCGAAGCTCACTCGCAGCACTTAGCCGGGCATGCCTCATCGAGAACCTTTGTGAATTTGCCAATGCTCGAGGATTCAAGCCAGCTTTTCCCCCAGCTTTCTTCCCCGTGCACATGGTGCTATGTAAACCCTTTCCCCCGGAGGTATTTGCCATTGTAGGGGGGACCTGATGCACACACTTCGACGAAGAGTTTATGCTGAGCATGAGGTACAGACATGTTATGAACGCAATCCTCACCCCTTCCCCTCACGTACAGGCTACTACGGCGGGACCCAATGGGCGCTCTCGGTCTCAGCAACAAGCCCCGCATGCGGCGCAGCATCACCGTCGGCGAGCAGTCCGGTGCGGACATGGACGCGGTAGTCTCTGCGCGGTCCGGCGAAGTGCTCGGACGGAGTACGATTCTCAAGAGCGACCACTTCCCAGGCTGCCAGAACACCAACCTGCCCGAGAAGATCGAGGGCGCGCCCAACTTCCGGGAGGTGGGTTTGCACTGGTTAGGGGAGGGTTAGCGGTAGCTTGAGTGCGGGTCACTAGGTTCGTGAATGAGTGTGGCTGAGATCGTGGACAGTATAGGCCACACCGATTCTCCGAAAACGAAGGCCTTGTCTCAGTTTTGAGAGGGGGTTGCAGCCTGGTATTGCGATACTCGGCGGCAATTTGGGAACTGTGTAGGCGTTGCCACTGTTGACACTGGACAGACAAGGTTGTTGAGGGAAGCGTGCCGTTTGACTTGCTTATGGCATACTTTTCCGTCACGTTTCATTGCCTTGTTTTCCATCTTCCTCTGGAAGAAACGCCTGTTGTTGCAAGGGACCTGCTGTCTGTGTAGTAGAGCAAGTGATGCGGCAACAGCTGCATCTGCTGAAAGGGACCGGTCAGCAACGTCTTAAGGTACAAATTCAGCCGGCAATCCGTGAAAATTCTTTGCGGACAGCACCTTCTTCCTCCCACCTCAAGTCGCAGAAGCATTTTGCCCCTCGTTTGGGCACACTTCTGATTTGGACTTGTATCAGACTCTCTGAGGACACTGACACTGCTCAACGTCGCCCCTATCCAGGTGTCCGGCCTCCCGGTTTACGGCGTTGGCAACCCGACGATCGACGGCGTGCGCCGTGTGCTGCGTCGGATAAACGACGGCGGCCGGCGGCCGGTGCTGTGGCAGAACATGCGGGAGGAGCCGGTGGTGTATGTTAACGGGAAGCCGTTCGTGCTGCGCGAGGTGGAGCGACCGTTCAAGAACATGCTCGAGTATACGGTGAGGGTCTTAATGTTTCCTGGTCACATGTCTCCCGAGAGTGTAACATTGAAATCAACAAGAGGCCCTTTGCTTTGTGCAGAGTAAAGAACGACCTTTAAGGAGCATGCTCGAGAAGTACAGTGAGGGCCCTTTTGTTTGGGCTGTTCGAATTGATTTGGGTCGAGTCTCGAACCGCATCAGCTTCTGGTATGAAGTTCTATGCCACTTATTCCTAACAAAGAGAGTTCAGCAGGCAGCCGCTTCAATACAACGTCATGCGCTCGCTGTGCCACTTTCTGCGAGCTGGAATCTGCTGTTCCCTGTTCGTATTCTTGCAGGGGGGTAAGCTCGAGCATGCGACCTCGTGGTTTTCAAGGTTCAAGAGGCCCCGTATTTCCTTTCACTGTCGCCATCTCAGCTCGTGAAGCGCAGACTCTGTTAGCCTGGAATACTTCCCAATAACCAGGCAGCCAAGGGAACCCTCCGAACCCCTCAATCTCCTTATCGCTCACCTGACTATGAAACTGAAGAATCTCAATGGTCAAAGTACGAGATAGCATCAGACACGTCTTTCGCAGGGCATCGAGCGGGAACGCGTGGAGCAGATGGAGGCGCGCCTGAAGGAGGACATCCTGCGCGAGGCGGACCGCTACGAGGGCGCCGTCATGGTCAACCACGAGACCGAATCCGGGGAGGTGGTCGACGTCTGGGAGCAGGTTACAGCGGCCAGCGTGCGCACGCCGCTCGAGGTGGGCATCTTCAGATGGAGGAATTTCCGAGTTTTAGGTTTACTCTTTTTAGTAGTCTGTGGAGTTGAAGAATGGTGGTCCCGGTTTGCAAGTCAATCGACGTCTGGGAGCAGGTCCCGCCCGCTAGCGTGTGCACGCTGCTCGAGGTGGGCATTTTGAGATGAAGACCTTCCCGAGTCTGAGCTTTATCTTTTTCAATGTTTTGGGTATTCAAAGAGCCGGCGGTCATGGTTTCGCCGGTCGTCGACGTCTGGGAGCAGGTTACAGCGGCCAGCGTGCGCACGCCGCTCGAGGTGGGCTGCGCAATTATGTGCGTTGCTACTGGTCAGCTTATGCTGTTCAGATCAAATTGCTGATCTTGAAGACGTAATTTGCCTAGAAGAGCTTGGCAGCGGGCGGCCTCCTTGTGTAGTCGACGTGGCAAGAAGCAATCGCAGGTCGTTCATCGGACGGTCTGTGAGGTGACGTCATGGCGATCCTGGAGAATCTCCCACCGGATCCAGTGTAGCATGCAAAGTGGGGGTTGCAAAGCTCTGATGCTATGTTGCCGACTTGCTGGGTCTACACACCCTACAGAATTCGATTCTGACGCCCTACAACCCGCAGTCAGGAAAGAGCCCCTCTAACTTTTCCGCGTTCTTGGTCTTGTGCAGGTGTTCACGGAGTTGCAGGCGGAGGGCTTCCGGGTGGAGTATGCGCGCGTCCCAATCACGGACGGCAAGGCGCCCAAGAGCCCCGACTTTGACGCGCTTGCGCGCAACATCGTGCAGGCTGGAAAGGAGGCTGCCCTTGTGTTCAACTGCCAGGTAAAGCGTCTGAAGTACGGTACCTCCGTCTGATATGGTCCAATGTTGGGTTGTGGGCTTGTTTGCGTCGAGTCTTCTTGGTCTGGCTGCAAACTTTTAATCTTGCCCTGGTCACGAAGTCAACGAAGTTTTTTTAAACACTATCAACTCTCAGTTGACGAACTTCGTAGCACCAGCGTGCGCAAAGTCGCCGCTAAGACCATCTTTGCACGGTTCTTAGTAATTTGCCAACAAACTCAATAGTAGGAAAATCAGTGCGAGCTTCTTTTATGCGTCCTGCCGTTTCAAGTTTCTAAGAGTGAGGATTAGTAAGTCCTTCCAGGTACCTTAGGTGACTAACTTTATGGGTTCTACACCATTTTCAGATGGGCCGCGGTCGTACAACAACGGGTACCGTCATCGGCTCCCTCGTGCACCTGCGCATCGCCTTTGGGCGCCCCCTGCGAATGCCCCCAATGCCGCAGGGCAGCATCGAGTACCACGACGAGGGGTCCAGCTCGGGGGACGAATTATACGAAGAACCGGGCACTTCACCAGCCGTGACGCAGACTCCTGAGAGCGCCCAGAAAACTCCTCCGGGGGAAGATTCGGACGGTCAGTCACAGGCTGCCAAGAACGCCCAGGGGGATCCCCCAATTGCCGAGGGGGACCCCCCCGTGAAAGTACCTGGGGACCAGCCAGCCCAGCCGCAGACTCCTGAACCCGTTCGGGGGATCCCCCCGGGAGGGAAGCCCCCGGCGCCGACCCCTCGACGGGGCTTAAGTGGAAATTACTTTGCAATGGACGACATTGGGGTGATAAGGAAGATTGCGAGGCTGCTGGAGAACGGGGCCGAGTGCCGGAGTATTGTGGACCAGGTGAGGGAATGATGACCTCAAGCTGAGATTGGCTTGGGTGCGGCGCTGGTCTTTCAACGTTTGAGGGCTGACAGGAGATGGTGTCAAGAAAGTTGGTGTTTTGACGCACCAGAAACACTGCAATTTCGATTCAAACCTACTTCTTGGTCCCCTTCGTTGGCACAGGGAACGGTGCGAAGTTCAGCAAGACTTTTGCCTGCTTATCCTGCTGACGTCAGGCCGACTTTTGCCTTCCTCTTCGGCATCACTGGCACATGTTATTGGGCCAGAAGCCACAGTAAAACTGCCCATCAACCAGTCAGTACGCACGTTTTGGGCCTCTTGAGACAACGGGCCTTTTGACCGATAGCTGGGCGAATGTGTCAAAGAGAAAGTTCGGAAGCACGGCGACGCCCTCACTTGACTTCTGTGAAGACGTCGCCGGCGAAGTTTAGGGTCCGGGTTTGCGGTTGGCAGAGAGCAATAAATGCGACCTCCATCGAATGGTCCGGAGGGTCGAAGTTGGGGGCTGCCCCCATCGATCGACGGTTCCGAACTTTTGTTGCCGGGACCATGAGCGTGCGTACTGACTGCAACGGTTCAAGTCATGCTCAGTTAATCTGCTGGTCTGCGCTCACTTGGCCTCGTTAACAAGCCCCAAGTGGGCGTCGTACTGGCGTCATCTTTCGTTCAGGTGGTCGACCTCTGCCACGCCATAAAGAACCTGCTCGACTAACCTGCTAGGCGTACGGGCCCCTGAAACCCCCCCCCACACCCCTCAATGCTGACATTACGCTGACGTCATCGTCACACCTCTCCTCCTCAGGTGGTCGACCGCTGTGACGCAATGTAGCATCTGCACGAGGCGATCCTGCACTACCGGCGTGCTTTTCACAAGCAGCACGCTCTTGTAAATTGACTTTAAGCCCCAAGCTGTCGTCATACTGACGTCATCTTCACCCCCTCCCCCCCAGGTGGTCGACCGCTGCGACGCGATGCAGAACCTGCGCGAGGCGATCCTGCACTACCGGCGCGCGTTCAACAACCAGGGCGAGGTCCGGGCGCGCCGTGCGGCGCTCAACCGCGGCATTGAGTACCTCGAGCGTTACTTCATGCTGATCATCTTCGCGGGCTTTCTCGGGAGCGACGACTTCTCGCCCGACACCGCGCAGACGGGCGGCGTGTTCAAGGCGTGGGTGCAGCACCGCCCGGAGATCCGGCAGATGAAGATGGGCATGCGGCTGCGGCCAGCGCGCATCTTTACTGCGGCATCGGTAAGTCCTCATGCTTTTGTAATCTCCTCTGCTGAGTGATGCCTCTCATTCATTAGTGGGTGCAGTCGCTTGTGTTTGGTCGGTCGAAGAGTGCGCCCCCTCCCTGAGCTAGCCTGGTCACGGACTCACGCAGTGTCTGTGAGAACCTCTGAGCAGTTCACGCCAGATTCTGCATAGAAAGGTTCGGTACAGTTTCATCAGGTCGTCCGTAGCATTCTTGCACTGCTTCACGTGTCCTCATCGCACCGTTCGCACACCTCTTCGCTTACCCTCTGCACAGAATGTGATCCAGTCGTCCAATTTGTCCGTTGGCTTTGTTTCCGTCCTTTCGTAGTACATTCGAAGTCAACCGAGGCTTCTATGTACCAAGTTTGCTCGGTATTGAAACTCTCAGGACGCTGGCTGGCGGCGAGCGACTGCGGCTGCTGAGATCGAGGACGGGCGGCGCTCCCCTAGTGGCGGGGAGGCCGCCATGGAGTCGGCGGTCCGAAGTAGAACCGGGTCCGTGCTGGGGCGACAGACCATTCTCAAGTTGTACCATTTTCCCGGCCAGAAACGGACGCCCATTACGGAGGAATTGGGCATCCAAGGGGCTCCGAACTTGTGCAAGGTGCGGAATAAGTCGTTGCTCAGCGGAGATGACGAAGTTTTCATTCTTAGCCCACAGGAACACGGAGGCGAGACGGGCGTTCGTAGAGTGCGAGACATATGGTCCAAATGCGCTGTCCTCGTTGCTCCCAAAATTTGTTCTCTTGGACTCGCTTTTGGTTTTTTGTTGCGTTTGGCCGGTGAGAGCTTCGGAGTCGGATCAATTCCCTTGTGATTGGGTTCGTCGACGGCTTCGAGGCCAGAAGCGACGTTTGCCCAGCATTTGCGGTTCGCGGCTGCACAGAAACACTTTGCTTCTGGAACTCCAAGCTTGCTTGATACCTGGCAAGGTTTTGCCTCAAACATTGACACCTGTCCTGCTCTGCTGATTCCGTATCCCCTGTTAGTTGCTTCCTCATGCACTGTCCTAATCCCAGCGCTCTCTTTACTCGTTGCCGGTTCCTCAACGTTGGCAACTGCCAGACCTGAGCAGCACAAGTCCAACAGGTTCGAAAAGTTTGAAGCGCTGACCACCCTCGCAGGCGAGCGGTTAACATCGGAAACCCTTTAGGACATCGAACCGTGCAGTTGCTTTGTTCTCCTTTTTCGCCGCTCCCCCCTTTCTGGTCTCTTTCTCTATTTTCCCCCTCTTTATTGACACACTCAGTTCACCCCCCCTCCAGGTGGAGTCGCTCCCAGTGTACAGTCTGGCCACGCCCACGGTCGAGGGCGTGCAAGGCGTGCTGAGCCACATCGACGCTGCTCCAGGGGGGTCGAAACGGGCGGTGCTGACGGACCTGCGGGAGGAGGTCGTTGTCTACGTCAACGGGTTGGTAAGCTTTTTACTCGTCCTTATTCAAAGCTCCCGAGGTCTAGCGCAGCTTCGCCGAAGAAGCTTCTGGAAGTGGTGTCAAAGTTCCGAGGTCTTCACCAGAGGGTTTTGAAGATGAGCTTTGAAAGATTGCGAGAAATGCGAGAGGAAAGGCACAGCTTTGAATCTCTAGCGCTTCATGATCCGAACGGAGTAGCGCCAAAAGGAAAGGAGGCAGAAGGTCGGTCGATGCACTCTCGGAGACCGAGGATACAAGCATGAAGATACAACCAAAGGGTTCTGCTGGGCCATGTTTTCGTTCTTACATCACACCTACGGACAAATTGTCGACATCGAGGCTCCAAGCTTTCCTTTGACTTCTCTATACCCTGCTACTGAAATGCTTTGGTGGGAATCTTGTCACCCACATCAGAAGAGTCCCATCTTCATTGCTGCAGCCGTATAACGCTTTGTGCTGCGTAATCTGGAGCACTACGTCCAGGCAATGTGTTGGAGACCTGTTTAGTGCGAAATTCAAAACCCTAGGTTCTCGTAGTCTAAACTGCTTAAATTTTCAATACCATACAAACATTCTTACTGGATTTTCGCTGGTGCAGCCATTCCTGCTGCGAGAATTTGAGCAGCATGTTCAGGCGATGCTTGGAGGGCGTTTCGAATGCGTAAAATAAAACCCACCCCTACAATTGCTGTACTAGTTTCTAAAATCCTTACATCCATATGATGCTTTTTGCAGCCGTTCGTGGTGCGCGAGCTGGAGCAGCACATCCAGGCGAAACATTGGGGACGTCCCTGATGCGCACATCAAAGCCTACACCTGAGATGCTGCAATTGAAAATCCTGAGATCCTCAAATCCTGATAAATTGTTGCAGCCGTTCGTGCTGCGCGAGCTGGAGCAGCACATCCAGGCGATGCACTACGTGGGCATTGAGGGCCCCGTAGTCGCCGCTATGGAGGCGCGCCTTAAGGACGACATCGTGGCCGAGGCGCGCAGGAACCACGGCCGCGTGCTGCTGCACCGCGAGGAGGCGCGCAGCAACGTGAGTGATTTGACGCTTTCAAAAATCGCTTGGAAATTTGTGTTTGGATCGCAAATGTCTTTTGGTGATACGTTTTCCGGCCTGAACGTGACACGTTGGTATAGAAAGGTTGTTGGTCAAATACCTCAATCTTTGCGCGCAGTAAGCGAGAGGTTTTAGGCTTTATTTCCGGTTTCTCGGCTTTTCAGGGCAGCCATAGTTGGTCGATCAAGGCAACGGTTGGGCGTGAAGGGACTCGCTTGTAGATCTTGAGGGGACTGCGTTTGTGGGTTTTGACGCACTTCGCTTGGACGTCCGTTTGGATCGTTAACATCGTTCAAAATCACTATTCTCGGCTGGACGTAATATCTGAATGTAGAAAAGTTATCTGAATGTAGAAAAGTTATTGGTCGGACAATCCAATCTTTGTGCTGCTGCCCCGGAAGGAGGCACGCCGCAGCGTGAGCGGTTTTGGTTTATCAGGGACTGCGCGTTTGGGCTTTTGAGATTGCGCTCGTGGCTTTTGGGGGATTGTGCTTGTGGGCATCAAAGTGGGCGTCGAAGTTTGAAGCTGGGGTGTCAAAGTCTGTTTGGGATCCAAACAACGGCCAGTTTGGGCTCCCAGTCCCAAAGAAGATATGCATCTCTTACGCCCAAATCAAGTGACCGCTCTTCTGGCCTTTGATGGGGTGCGCTTGTGAGCTTTGAGGGATTGTGCTTGAACGTCTGTTCTGGATCTTGACTGTCTTCTGGGAACGTTTCTTTGCCGGCTTGGACGTAATATTCCAAGGAAGCGTGGAGCAACATGAGCGGTTTTGGGGTTTCAGGAACTGCGCCTTTGGGCTGTCAAGTTCTGCGCTTGTTCGTTTGTTCTGGAGCTTAGCTTTCTTCCAGACCTTCTGTTTTGGAGCTGAACCTCCCCTGGCTGGGACGCGACTTCTCGTTCCAACTCCGTCGTTGACCTGGACAATCTATGCTTTGCACTGCAACGTGGTGCGCATCGAGGAACCGGATTTTTGTCAATATGATCTGATTTGTGATTGCCGTTGAAGAGAGTTGGGGAAACAAGAGGCTTCTGTGTGTGCCACGATCCGGCTTGGGGAAATCTGGACATTGTCGGTAATCCTTTTGGGTGTGTGGGACGGTGTATGGAGTTTGGACCCAATTCCCATCGAAGATTTTCTTGGTGCTTGCTGTACCAAGGACACGTGGACCAACGTCAGCGCCTTAAAACCTGATCTCACAGTGCTCAGGGATCGAAGTCGGATTCAATCAGAGGACGTGGACGCAGGTCCCTACATTTATTACTTTGCGTCCAATCAACGGATTCGACTATGTGGAATATTGGAATATTCGATTGGACAGTAACTAGCTACCGGATTGGACAGTAACTAGTTACCGAGATCCGATGTATCTTTGTGGATCCGGGCAATATTTCTCCTGGTACTGCCCAGATCCGCAACATGATTGGACCTCCGGAACATGATTGGACCTCTCTATGATTGCACCTCCGCAAAATTATTGGATCTCTCTGGATGCGGCCAATTGGTTGAGCGGTCAAAACCGGGTCGTCATTCGAACTTTGCAGGCTGGCAAGACCGACTGACTTGTTGTAACCGATCAGCACGGCCAGTACAGATAGGGAGCACACTTAGCTTGTAAGCTTGTGAGCCTGTGAAAGACTGCCTTTCAACGTTTGTTCTGGATTTTGACCGTTGCTTGGCTACACTTTATTCTTTCAAATTCTTTTCCGGCCCGGACTGGATGATCCCGACGAGGCTGCAGCGTAAGTGGATCCTATTCGCGGGGGGCGCGCTTGTGGCCCAAAAGGTACCCACAAGCCTACAAGGGACCGCGCTTGATCAGTTGTTCTGGATCGTAAGCATCGGAAACACACTTTGCGGGCCTACCTATATCCACCATCTCGGTTTGGGTCCGCTGTTAATTAGATATAAGATTTCGGTGTTTATGCATCGCAAAGAGAATCACACAGTAGTGTAAGAGCTACCGGTATGTTCTCGTTTGGCTAGAGCCTTGGAGGTTGTAGCCGACGAACTTTTTTGGGCACCTTTTTCCTGGATCGAAACAGTTTCTTAAGTTCTGGCGGCCGGTTTCCACTGTGCCTGTTGCACCAAGGAGACGTGGAGGAACGACAACGCCGCAATACCTCAGTTTACTTAGGGACTGAGGTTGGATTTAAACTCAAGATCTGGACGCAATCCTTTGGGCATAAGTTCGCGTCTAACGAAATGGAAGTGGTATATTTGATCAGACCAATCTTCAACGGACTGGATAAACCTACACTGGATACATGCTTTTCTTTGGATTTGGAAAATTCTGCTCTGTCGCACGCTACTGGCTCTCTCATGCTGCTTACTGGATTTGGATCATCTCTGTCTCCCTTCGTGGTCGGTCGAACGCTATCGGCTCTCTGACGCTGCTTTCTAGATTCGGGCGATCTTTGTCTGCCTACGTGGATGGTCGAACACTATTGGCTCCCAGAAAGCTGCTTTATAGATACGGGCAGATCTTTGTTTGTCCACGTGGATTGTTATTATCTTCGCCACGCAAGCTTCTTTTTGGACCTCTCTGGAGTTGGGATGCGGCCAATTGATACCTAGGGCGGGTCAAACCTGGTCGTCATTTGCGAAGCTTCCAGGCTGGCAAAAGCGACGAGTCTCGACTTCTTGTACTTTCTACTCGGTCGGAACAGTCGGTACAGCTAGTACACCGACTAGAGTCAGTACGGTCAGTAGTGAGTACAACTCTGTACATACTGCATAATGATTTCATCTTTCGGCGGATGCATAATGTTCTCATTTTCCGAGGGACTGCATAATGGTCTCATTTTTCGACATCCCCTCCGGTTGGAAAGACAGTCTGGCATAAGCTTGGAATGGTCTTTTTCAGTTTTGAGGGATCGAGCACGAATCCCGGTACAGCAAGTCACTTTCTACCCAACAACATTCGTCCCTAGCGCAAGGTTGTTTTGGGCTTCCTTGCAAACAAACCAGGAACCATGTTGAGCGATCAAGAGGGGTTCTGGTGGTCTGTTTTCCGAATGACTCCAGCTTTTCCTTGGCCTGTTGCTCGAGATGCAAAGACTTTTCCCCCCATCTTAGCCGTGCGCATATCCAAGCAACGACCTCGCTCCTCAACAGCTGTAAGAGGACGTGTTTTCGACACAAACTCAAGAATTGCCCCTTTCTCCAGGTGTCCGATGTTGACATTGTGGGCTATTGGGAAAATGTTCGCCCCGAGGCGGTCAAAACTCCCGCGGAGGTTTACGCCGCGCTCCGACAGGGGGGGTACAACATAGACTACGCGCGGATCCCCCTGACGCGAGAGCGCTTTCCCAAGGCTTCCGACGTGGACCTCATACAGAACCGTATGGACGGGTGAGCGCGCAAGCCCGTTGGCCTGTTGATGACATTTGTGGCGCACTGGTCTTATGCCAGTGACTCCTTGGGATGTCAATGTTTAGTCTTGGTGTGACACATATTTCAGATGCAGGCAGAGAGCTCTTAGCTTTTCAAATCTCGGGCCAAAAGCTATCTTCTCCAGCAGAAAACTGTAAAATCCTGTACCTCCTGACTCCAAGTGGTCGATTGAAGCTTCCCAGTGTTTGGACCACAATTGAGCTCTACACCTTCCAATCAACGCAACATCTGATCCCTTTCACAATTACGCCCCCTTGCAGTGCGGACGACAGCGTCCAGTTCATGTTCATCTCCCACACGGGCATTGGGGGCGTGGCATACGCTATGGCCATCACGTGCCTCCGCCTCCAAGTCGAGGCGCAGCTGCACGGCCTCCCGAAACCCCCCCCTCCCGCTCCGACCCAGCCAGTAAGCCCGCTCGTCCCCCCCTCGCGAAACACGCTCGAGCGCGTCGTCTCCGCGCAGTCGATCATAAGCGGGCGCATCCCGAGCTACAGGAGCGGGGAGCTGCCCAGCTGGCGGAGCGGCGACTTATCAAAAGTGACCCCCGAGGAGGCCGCGTTGCGGGCGGGGGACTACCGCGACATCCTGAGCCTGGTGCGCGTGCTGCAGTATGGGCCGCAGAGCAAAGAGGAGGCGGATGAGGTCATCGACAGGTGCGCTGACGTTATGCATTAGGTCTTTGTTTTGCCTCGCAAGTCTGGAAGCGTAGCCAAGTAGAGAGCTGTCCTTCTTTCCCTTCGCTTCCTGAAGCCTTTTTTGGGACTGCATTTTCGTCCTTGGAGTTGCCTTCTTTGACTGATTGCTGATAGCTCGAACAAATGCTCTGCGAGACCCATATTATTACACGCGTCGCCTCTGAAATTAGCGAAGGCTGTGGATCCCCCCCTCGATTTGCCCCTGCGATCTGCCGTTTGTTTTGTCGATACTGACACTGAATTCAGTGTGGTGCGAATAGGTGGATTTTCATCTACGGGAGACGCGTTTATCTTTCACTCGAGGATCGAGCAGCAGCACGGGTCTTTTTCTTTGACCAGGATTGAGTCGCCTCGATCGTGTAAAGCTTCTTGACTTGGTTCTGAAATTGAAAGGATCCTGCTTCAAGACCACTCGCGTGGTGCTCGTTAAAGTGGTCAGCTCTCTATGCAAAGCAAACGCTTGAGTACTGCAAGTTCTCTAAATTTCAGAAAATTCTTGTTCGGGCTTCTAAGACTTTCTCCTGCTGCTTCGTCACACCACGCCACGGAGGGCTGCGTGCAAACTGAATTGGATGTTAATACCATCACGGCAAGTACAAAGGTCTGCTTTCGCGATGCTGACTCGAGACGCATCAGTGTATGTGTCCCTTCGGATTATCGGGAGGATCAAATCACAAGATAGAAGAGGGATCTTCGTTGGTTTAGGTGCGGTGTGGCAGGCCGACTGAAAGACGACATCTACTACCACAAGCTGATGCTTGACGCGTATCCGAGCAAGCAAGAGAACGTGGACGAGCGGCGAGCCTCACTGACTGAGGACGGAATGAAAGCGCTTAGGTAAGCCATCGTTTTGCGGGTCCGAATGCGAACACTGTGCTGGGGAAAGTTGGAAATATTCTTGATGTCGCCCGTTGGCAATGTCGAATCGTATTCTCTTGGTGCCGGTATACACTTCGGTAAACCATCTTTGACTTATTCCGTCCGGCTCTCTGCAGGCGATACTTCTATCTCATTGCCTTCTCCTCATATCTTCGCACTTGCAAAACATTGGACGGCAGGTCTGGGTCCAAGGCGCCAAGCTTTTCGTCATGGGTTGAGGCACGCCCGGAGTTGGGACATCTGTTGAGCAACTTGAAGCTGCAATAAGCTATTACCTCGCTCGTGAATTGCTCCTCCTGAGCTGGTATTTTAAGTTCCGACCCTATGATGCTGAATTGCACAGCTTCGAAGCTCTGCTTGTGGGGTATGTGAAGTCAAATTTCATTGTGTTGTCCCGATCATGTAATTGTGTAATCTGTGCAAATGTGACACTCCACTGCAGACCAGTTAATGTTTGCATATAAATGGTACTTTCGGTAACTTTTATTGCATGATTGCATAGTGTCATTCGACACCGCTCGCTTCAACCTTTCCAAGTCGACCATGTGCTAATGTATATCGAACACAATATCCAAGACGCTGGTTTGTTGTCAACGTGCATATAAGCAGCATATAGGTAAACAGCTCTGGCAGCTTGCATTGCACATATGACACCATGCATCAGTGTGGGTCCTGAATAGAGATGCTTGTAGGTGCAGATCCCCGCTGCACTTAACCAGAGGAGATGGATGTCCAAGAATTTAACTGAAACGAGACGCATCCTTTGGCATATACTTTGGCAACTTTATTCAACGTCATTCGGTTGTATTGCAAGCATTTTAAAGGAGAACGGACCGAGATCGTCATTAGAGTCGGAGTTATTTGGCCATCTAGCTCCCATCTAGCTATATTGTATTAAAGTATCTCAATTGCATAGTTCAGTATACCGCGTAATAATCAAATCGACTGACGGTGACCTTTTTCCTTATCACCGACTCAGGGTCATGCAGAAGCCCCAGTGCTGCAAGCTTTTATTTGGAGGCCTTAGCTGTATAGGTAGTACTAGGTACCTAGTAGCCTACGTAGGCTACAACCGTATAGCTACCGTCCTCAGGCTGACTGTATGCCCCTGCTAGGTACAAGTGATACAAGGACCTAGGTACGGTAGGTAGAGTCTAGAGATATCTCATCAAAGCTCAGGCTGGCTGTTTGAAGTTTGAACATGTTAGGTAGGTGCGGTACTCAAACGCTGATGCACTAGGTACGAACGACACCACCGTCTGCATACGTACTCAGTACTGTGTACATTGCACTTCACGACTTGACAGCGAAGGCTTGGGGGTAAAACCAATGGTACCGTTCCGGATCAACCTCGGTGCCAGGTGGCAGGGTGGTTCTGAATCCGTATAGGTGTCAGAAGCTTCCATGCTACCAGTAGCAGACACTATGCTGTCCCTGCTCATCACGGCAAAATTAAAAACACCAAGAGAAAACTTTGACACAGGACAAGCCAAGTCGGAAAAGATATTGTATAAGGGGTCTCTGACGTCACTAAGCCAAGGGTCCACAAAAATATAATTGTCGTCATGATGGAACCGACTGGAAGCCTCCAGCGTATACCGAGGGAATTTTCTCGACTCCAAAAGAAAGTGGTCAGCGCAGAACTGAACCTTGGTACGGGGTTCCAGACACGTTCCGGACGGGACTGCAAGACACCGAGTCACGATACCGCCCTCACTTTTCTGCACTATAAAAGCGGACAATTCCAACCATCATTTCTCATTTCCGACTTTCCGAGCTCCGGATTTCTGAGTGCGCAGCCCAGGGTCGACCAGCAGGGCCAAGAAGGTGACGTCAGAAGCTTGCTGACGTAATATTTAAATTATACATTGTGTTACTATGTACAACCTCAGCTTCGGACCGGTTATGTTCAACCGACAACAAAAAGTTGCAACACGGCACAACGTCACCAACGGCCACTGGTACCTACCAGCCTTGAGTGCCTCTGCCGGTCGCGAATCTCAAATCGACGGCGCAAAGCAAGCATCTGATGGAATCCTGCAGCATCGACGGCTATCAATGAGCGACAGGTTGTGCTTGGACGCAATCTGTGTTACCACATGGTAGGTAGCTAGTACCAACACCGTAGATGCCAGTTATACCGTACAGTCTGAATCGGTATAGTACCGTGTGCCTATACGGTACGATGCATTACGGTACAAGGGGCTTTGTATCGAAGTGCGCACCGTAGGTACCTCGGAACCCCCTCGGACTGTGCACACTGCACTCCAAGTTGCAATCTGCATGTCCAATGTGCAGTTCCTAGCTGTGCAACTTCAGTGTACAGCACCACGAGTGCTGTACGGTATTACCGAGCATGATGTACCTAAATGATTGGTTTTTTCTCGGACGAGCTCTGGAGGCGAAAGCGGCCGTCGGCCGAGCGTCCCAGGCGCAGAGGCCAGGCCATGCGCTTGGACTGCCTGGATAAATGAATCGTCCCCGGCGCTTTGCCGGCCGATTGGTCTTCGATCGACCTTGTTTCAACGGGACCTTGCCGGTGCAAGGGGCCGCAAGGGAGACCAGCTAATAGGTGTTCGCACTCAACATCAGCTTCTGCGCCTCTCGATCGTTTGTGACACTAAACGTGCACCGTTGATCACCCAGATCGGTTTCGATGCACCTGATTTCTCCTCGGTTAAAAGCTCTTGTGTTACTCCGAAAGTCTTCGATCAAAGCAGATTCCTCTCCTTGTATTAAAAGAACAGGTAGTTGAGCGTTAACCGGTTCTTGCTGGCCTGTGTGACTAGCCCGAAAGGTGCCAAGTAACAGTAAGCGCCGGTCCAGGGCATTTAACCTCGATTTGTCGTCCGGAAATCAGCCGGAAAACAAACGTGACTAGCAATAACGGGTCCGTCTAGCTCGGAGCGTCGAAAATCTCGGCCCGGGAAAGGGACTCGGGAGTCGGGGCTCCGCATCCCACTGCCTCCGTGCAGTGGGCGGCGCACAATTTGTCCCGTCTTTTTCGTACTTCAATCGCCCGTTCGCAAGCCCGCCGGAGGGCCCGTATTCCCGACCCCAAGGACAATTAACTATTGAGTAGTTTTTAAGTACCTACTACCGTACCTTCCAACTTTGGTCGGGAACGTCCGGGGGAAACCACAAAGTTCACCCCGGGGCCTGGTCTCTACAATACCCGTAGTGGCACGGGGAATTCGCACCAGCTCTTTACGAGTTTATTTTTCTTTGTTTTTCCAGTTCGCAAACCGGGGTTAAGCTTCAGTTTTATTCCTTAACTAAACCGTCTATACCGGGGGGCCTGAAATAGATTCCTAACTTTCTCGCACCATGCGAGTAGAAGTAGTTACTAGTGACGTAACGTAGTCATAGCTAAACCTCAGCTGCAAATCTAGATCTTAGTCATAGTACAAACTCTTGACCACCTCATTTCATGTTTCCGAACTCAAAAGCTCCATGCTTCGGTACGGGCTTGTTAACTGATGTATGTATGTATGTATGCAACTTGACGTCTGTCAAGAATATATCTGGTGCGAATTCCCCGTGCCCCTACGGGTAGTCCTCGGTCATTGGGCAGTTGACCAGAGGAAGGTTCCATGGATCATTGCCCGGGAATCAGCGCCAGGCCGGCCGGCTTGACCAGGAATTCGGTAACGTACTACCTAGGTATATGGACCTTGGCCTGGGCTGGTGGGCTGGGCAACCGCACCGTCAGATCGACCGGTGTGTAATAGCTTTATACCGTGGTTACGTACTACGGTGCCTACTATCGGGACTCGGGAGGCCGGATATCTACACGGTAGGTAGTTACCTAGCCGGGCACCTATCGGTAGTACCTGCCACCTGGTTTCTGCGGTAGCCGCCTTGCTGATCGACTGTGTCACTACTAGGTACGTGCGACTCACAGGTTGTACAATCTCGTGAACCACGTGCCAGCCAGTTCAAAGTTCAAACTGGGAGCTCAGTCTTGAGAGTTCGCACTCCGTACGGTCAGTCACAGGCTCACAACCGTGACGGCACCAGGGCCCGATCCTGCCGCCTGCGTCGAATGCTGGCTGCTCGGAGAGAGTCTTCTGCCCACGGGTGACAATGATCAGGATGACGTCCTTCTAGAAATGCGGAGAATCTAGCTCCAGAAATTTTGAACTTCTGGCGCAACCTTGGACCGACGACGTCAAGAAGTGTATCGAATCCGTCGAACCTGGGCGACGCAGTGTTTCGCTGCTCCGCGGCCGTTATCGCTTTCAATGGCGGACTTTGCTCAAAAGACCGGGGTAACGCTCTGTCTGGCCTACATCTATGCCGGAATGCGCTCGCTGCTGATGTCGAATGCACGTTCGGTTGCCGCACGTCGAAACCCGCGGTTCGACGCGTGACGCGACCGGTTGAGATTTTCCCCGCGCGAGCGAAGGTGCGGCTTCGATTGCATCCCGGGGCAGACCGGAGACTTTTTCGCCGTCTGTTCCGGAATTTCAAATTCGAGCTGGTGCAATCCAGTCGATGATTCAACTTGCAGGGTGGCGCCGCCCAGAGGACGTCATGGCCGGCCACTCGTCCCCCGCTCAAACACCAGCACAGCACTGCTTGCAGGAGCGCCGCCAGGGCGCTCCTGTTTCCTGCTGAGCAACGAAAAATCATTGCACCAGCGCTCCTGTGATCATGGTCGTCTGGCAATCACCATCTTTAGCAGCATGTCAGGCTCCATGCGTTACAATCTCCTTCCTCCGAAGCGTCAAAAGTTCTGAAAGGTCGATCTGTTTTGGATTCTGGAGCAAGACTTATGCTTGTTGCACGCTTGCTTTGCTCTCTTCGCAAACGTCAGACCCCTCCGGCTGCAGCTCCCCAATGTTCGGCTATAAAATGCGGGCCCTTCTCCGCATTTCTCACAACTCGCAATTCGCCTTCCAACTTTCTCAGCATTCCCCAGCTTTCCTCCCAGCTCTCCCAGCTTCCTCTCCCAGCTCCCTGCTCTCCAACGCCCGCTCTCTCAGCCACTTCTCTCGTCCCCAGCAGCAATGGAGTCCTCCACCCAGGTTTTGGCCCTCGCCTTCCTGATCCTGCCTGCGGGGATCGCCAGCGCCTCCCTGCTGAAGAACAGGGTCCAGTACTGGCTCGCCATCCACATTGCCCTTCAGGTGAGTTGGATACCAAAACCTGCTCTTGTCTCCATTGTCTAAGTTGAACTCTACAGATGAGCTCATTGATGGGGTAGTTGTGTGCTTTCATCTGCCTTTGCGAGACAAGCTGTTCCTCCTCCTGGTGCTCATGCATGTCTCTGTGCTTGTGACAGGTTTGCTACACTTTGTGTAAAGCCCATCAAACCATGCAGTATAGTTGCATGTAAAAGGTCTGCAATGTTGGGGGTACATGGCTTGTATAGTATGTTTGAACTTCTTTCATGTCTTTCCCTCTGTGGGCCTGGTGTTGTTCTGAACAAGTTGTTTATCAATTGATGCTTTGCCACTGTTCTCGGAAAAGTGCTAAAAGACATAGAACACCTTCACAAGCAATTCCAATTTGTCTTTACTACTTCTCCCCTCTCCTGTCTGAAACACCCGGAATGTCGTGTCCCAGTTCTCAAAACTCCCCCCCACCTGCAGGTTGCCGGCTGGGTGCTGTGTACCGTCGGTGTTGCCCTTTCCTACCAGAAGTATGGAGCTGTGTCCACTGCTGAGGCCACCCTTCTCGGACTTGTCTGGGCCAACCCCCTGATCGCTGCCGTTCGCCCCCCCAAGGGCAGCAAGATGTTCCCCGCCTGGTACAAGGGCCACTGGGCCGTTGGTCTGATCGCCGTCGCTGCCGGCTGGGCTTACCTCGCCTCGGGCCTGAACCAGTTCAAGGGCCTCAGCAACATGGTGAGCTCCTGCTTCCGTTGTCTCTGTTTGGAAGTTGCTTGTATTACCCCCTGACGTCGGGGTGTGACAGGGTGTCTTCAAGTGTAAGACTGATGTATCAGTCAGATTGTTGCTCTGCACTGATTATTACACTGGGTCTCTGTCACCAATTCCATCACAAGGCGCATCAGTCTTTGAAGAAAAAGAGAAGCTACACAGAACAGTGGTTTGGTATGAGGTATGCCGTATGGGGGAATGCTGTGATTTGTGCACAAGGTGCAAGTTGTCAGCTTTCTATCCCAAAGGTATGTCTTCCACCTCCAAACACTCCTACCCAGATTCTCACTTGTCGCGTGTTTACTGTGCAGGCTGCCCCTGCCATCGCTGCATTCTAAACACCCGGAACTGATTGAGTGTTGTAACCATTAGATGGTAAGCGTCATCACTTGGTCTTTGAAGGATCGGCTTCAAAACGGAGGTATCATTCTATCTTTCCAGAGTACGTGATTGTCTGCAATGCTGTTAGCATAGCCTACTTTTTAAGTAGAATATGAAGGTGGTGGTGTTGAACTGCTTCGTTTCTTGTGGAAGTAAAGCTGTCTTCTTAAAGGTTGAGAATGTTAACACTAAGCAACCAAACTAAACGACAGGAAAAACTGTTTTTTCTCATGTGTTCTTCTCACGCTCCTGCAGATTCTCGAAGCTGCTCTTCGAAGAAGTGGTCCTCTATGTAAATTAGAAAGTCAGGTTCGTTTGACCTAAACCCATGTGTTGAGGGAGTAAGTTAAATAGTTAGCCAAGCTGTGGTTAACCATTTGCGTCCCAAGTACCCTAATCGATGACAGGTCGTTCCGTTCAAAAGTCGAAGCGAAGTAACGATTGGTCGCACTATTCATAGCGAGCGCAAGCAAGCAACGCCTAAAAGCCGCAGTCCGACAAAGAAGAGAACGCTTGCAGTCCGTAGTCCAGAGTGCAGAGTCCAGGTAAACGGCTGGACTTGCACCTTGCTTTCAGTCTTTCGAGCGTCATTGAACTAAATAACTACTTTTCTTTCTTATCTTCAGCAAAATGCTCTCTCTTCGCCCAATCTGTCCATCCTCCGGAAATCTGACAATGACTGTGAATTGTGACGTGACCTTAATCATTATCATCGGTTAGTTACGCGATGAAAAGCTTCCTCGTACCCGGCACACTTTGAAATGCCACTATCTGTGTTGCATCTTGTGTAAGAATGCTCTCAATATAAAACAAAGTTTGTTCTACTTTCCTGACATGTGAGATATGTCACAATCAATACTAGGTACATTTGCGTCAGCTACCAGCGAAATATCAGCATGCATGATGCAACATTGATGTACCTAATCGCGTAGGAAATGGCATTGGACGTGTCAACCTCCAGTCCCACTGTCCCAACATCTGTGGTTGTAACATTGATACAGGTATACAAAAAAATTAAAATCCCTGGTTCCTGTCCAGTTAACTGTAGAATTTTACTCCACCGCCAGCTCCTATGAATTCTACAAAAAAGCACACATTGCATCTTTTTCATGCACAGCACCGGACTGGCTAGCTGATCTGGCAATTTACAGCAACTGCCACAGATCCTGTGATACGAAGATCTTATCTCAGTGACAAGTGGCGCTTCCCAAACTTCGTGAAAGTTCGTCTCCACGTATGATACGGACCACCACAGCCAATGATTGGCAAATAGCCTATTATAGCAAGCCGTACACGGTAGCATGCACATTGCAGTAGCAGAAGAATGTTGGAAGCATCTCAGGCTTCGATTCGATACGATACGCTTGCAGAATACCGGTACCTCACACATCATGACGATGATTGCATGTCGGCGCTCAGTCTCCTATACGGTCTACCAGACTACCAGCTCACTTTAATATATGCGAGAGTTGCTTGTATTGACAAGCCTTTGCCCTGAGGGCTTTCGCGGACGATCCCAACTCTTCAGGCGAAAGCGGCCCGCGGTGAGCACCCCGCATTCTGAGAGACACTCATGCTGGTCCTTTTCAATGTGGATTGTACCGGTAGGTTTTGGGGTCAAACCCTGGAATTAGGACCAGGGTCAGTAACCTGTAATGGACCCTCCGCCGCGGCTCAGCCACATGTGCCATCCGGTTCCGAGGTGATTGGTCCGACAATGTTATACATGTCAATCCGGAATGCATAAAGCACTGCACAAAGTACGGTAATGCTTTTACCATGGCTGCATGGACGTTTGTGACTGCTTGCACTGCTCTTAGCTTTTCAAGACGGTTCACTACAGAGCATCGAGTGTAACAGGGTCATAGCAATGACGTGATGGGCGTACCAGTGCCTTGGGTCCGACTCTCTCAACCTCAACCACTTTTATCACTACGTCAACAATGCGACTTAAGTGAGCGCACTGCGGTCCCATCAGTCTCTCGCGCCCGGTCACATGCTTATACTCAGTACGTTACCCATCCGCTCGTGATGGCATTAAATTGAATGGCAGCGGGTGGCAGCAGGAATTCTACGAACGCACGCGCAGGTCACCAAGCCTGGTCCGCTAGTGTATTGAGAGGTGCCAAGAGAGCGGTGCGGATTCACCAGTCGGAGACTGCACTTGCAAAAATGACTAAACAATCTTACGAGCAGAGACAATCAGCTTGTGGTAGTAGCATTTTGTAGCCGTCAGCCAACCAGGCTAAGAACTTTTTAACTGGACAAACAAAGCTGCACACAGTTCTTACCGCCGCAACTAGGACGGGCGGCCTTCTTACACACGGCACCCCATGCTTTCACCTCCGCTTGTATATGCACGCCTTCAATGCCGGCCACGCCACGCCCCCCCCCTTCTTCCCGGGCCGTTCCTCACCCCCTTTTCGAAACTCCCACCAGATAAACATCTTGTTCGAGTCGTCCTGACGCACTAATTGGAAGCCTAGCTTCTTGAGCGCCCCCACGAAAGCCCTCGGATCGGCGCCCCCGTTTCGGGGGTCAAACCGGCTCTTCACCTCCGCTATTAGGAGCCAACCCCCCGAAATGAGAACGCGGTGCGCCTCCTCTAGGAACGAACCGTAGTCCGTGCCCATAAGGGAAAGGCAGAAGACTGCCACGTCGACGGATGCGCTCTCCAGTGGAGTCTGCAAAGAAAGTCGTAACTCCGATGCGTCAGCCGTTCTTGGTTGTTTGACTTGAGGGCAACCATAGATGCTGGGTTAACGGGTTTGAATTTTCGTTTGTACCGGAGGTTCGGGGCTGACCTGCGGACCAAATCTCGAGCAAACAAGTTGACCGGCCTCTTGAGTATTGGAGGGGCTGACTGATCCAGTGAACCAAAGTCACAGGTGAACGTGGAGTTTCGTGGGATTGCTCTGATCTTGCCAACTCGGGCAGGAACGTTAATACGGGTCGAGCACAGGGCACCATCAGCCGCCCTCAAAGCGCGTGACAAGAAACGTAAGCGCAGCGTTACAAGAATCAACTTCTTCCTTCTCTTTGCAGCACAGGACGCCTTCTCTTGAAAGCAGGCAACAGACGTTACCCTACTGTGAACTGGCTTTTTGGGAACGGCCTACTTCAGCCTTCACTTGATGGGAACACAACAGATTCCAGAACTTTACAATTAACCACACCGTTGAGTACTTTGAGGAGCATCGCAAGCGGGGCGTGTCTAGACAGCGGGGCTTTCTCAGGCACAGCAAGAGCATCAGAGTGGGGACGCAACAAAGAATGTTCTGGTCGGAAAATGCTCAGAGCGAAACGCGAAGACCAAACAGAGGGAGAGGGGATCGCGACTTGGACCATCGGGCGGAAGAAACGAAAGGTACTGCTGTCGGACCAACAACACGGGCTGGAAATACACACACAGGTGTGAAGAGCAGCCCAACAATGCAGCCACGCAGTTATTCGGCGCCCTCCCTATGAGCCCGCAGAGTTGCTGCCGTCACTAAGGGACTACCGAGAGCCACTCTGAAGCGATCTTGCCGATATCCCGAGGAAGGCAAAATGCTAAGAGAGAATGTTTGCGTAACCGCCTTTTGAATCAGTTTTATAGCCCCACAGATTTACTGCCGGTCACGGGCGTCTCGCCGTCAGCTACTACAAGGACTACAGCCGACAACAATTGCCGCGCAGACGACAGAGTTTCAGCTCGATCCCGATCCTTGAATCACTACAAAGGTAACAATCCGCGGAAAGCAGTGACTTCGCGCCTCAACGCCCAAGTTGCTGCACCCGCGGAGATTGGGCCGTCGAAGCTCAACCCGCTTCGAGCAAAGGCTTTCTGACACCACGTTTCGCACGCACGCAGAGAGGAAGGGCGTTCCGGCAGGGCGGTGTCAAGACTCACGTGAGCCATGTTGCAGGCAATCACTCCCGGGTGCGCCGCCACCAAGTCTAGGGAGAACACCTTGTTCTTGACACTGGCCGCAAGGCGCGCATCGCCTGAGAGAAACGAGCGCTGACGTCAGCCAAAGGAGTTGGGAATGGCTGACGTCAGCTGGAGGGAGCCGGCGATGGCTGACGTCTCCGAGCAGAGGGGCAAGGTGACGGTGACGTCAGGTGGAGAGGGCTCGACCGACAACGGAAGCACGCTTGTTTGAGTAGAAGCGGAGGGATGGCATGCCGTTTTGAGTAAGCGAGATTTCGCGCTTTACATGGCAATGAAAAGAGTAGCCAGAATGCAGAGACAGGAAGCGAACAAGACAAGTAAACCAAACGTTGAGGCATGCTGACCCAAGCGTCTTCAAATGACATTCTTCGTGCGTCAAATGTTGAAAGCAGCCGGTTCCTGCAGCGGACTTTCCTCTTTTTTTGGAATATTTCAAAAGCAAGAACAAAAAGAATGCACGAAGTCAAACTGGAATTGCCCACGGGGACAGTAAAATCGCCAACTGGGACGTCTATCAATCCGAGAAGGGGTCAGAAAACCTGATCCTCCATCGGCAATCTGGGTTCTGAGCTCAAGTACGACGATCTTTCTTCTCCGACAGCCTGCTGACTTGCTCTGCTTTCGCCTAGCTTTCCCCTTCACGGTAAGCCTGAACTTAAAGTGGGCATAGGCGGCACGCCGGCGGCATGGCCGAAGCGTGACGACGGCACAAGCTAGGCAAGCGAGCATCGTTCGATAGATTCAACCCCAGCTTTCCTGCCGTCCGATTCGAAATGCACTCCCGAGTGCATACGCCCACTTTAAATACGCCAAAGAATCCGTCTATACTTGCTGGCCCGTCCAGCTGCAACGACCCAGCATCCAAATTCTTGTTGCTGCCTTCACTTTTCGACGACGTTGAATATACAGAAGCATGAGTTCAGACACGCGAACTTATGCGTACTAATTCACCACTCACACAGGATAAGATCCTTTAGAGAGTGCTTTGAAAGCAGCCCAAATTCCCAGGCTCTGGCCCCGATATCACTCACCGCAGCCAAAGTCCGCAACAGTGAGGGCCGGCCCGCGCGACCGGAGCCATTCCCCGACCACTTGTACCGGGAGCTTCGGCCAGTGCGCCATTTGCTCTTGATAGCCCCGGTGGTAGTGTCCAAACTGACCGGGGTCCTTTTGGAACGAGGCGAAAGCGTCGGCTCCCCGGCTCGTGTAGAGGCGCTCGTTCAGCATGCGGAAGTGGCCGCCTTGCAGGCGCGCGCGCATCTGTACAAGGGGGAAGGACGTGGTTAGGCAATTATGTGTTAGGGGAGGGGACTGAGCAGCTGGAAAATTTCGGTGTGCACGGAGAGCATGTGGAACGCCAGAAAAGCGTTCCCGGTGGCATTCTGGTGTGTCGGGTGGGTCGGCAAAATGAGATTGAAATGCGGAAATTGGTGCAGGGGCCATCTTTCGGCAATCTCGGACACAACTTCTGGGGTTTTAAGTTGGGAAATGTGCCTGCGCCCAGCAGGGGGTATAGAGACCGTCGGGACTTAGAGGTCCTGTCCGAAGCAGATACTTTTGAGAAACCAGTCAAAAGATGAGGAGATGCCTTACTTCCAAAAAAACTTGTCAGACCAAAGAATGCTCTCAGGTTGAACATCAAGGCCTTTATGAAGAGAGGTCTACGACATGAAACACGTCTTGAGTCAGATGAAACAGCCCAAGGCGACTCAACACTTGGGGAAAGACAAGCAACTTGAAGCAGGAAGAGAACTCCAAGTTGAGGGCAATATAAGAAGTCGTACGGGGTCTGCCTTTGAGGAGACTTCATTACATCCTACAAATTGACTGTTTATTTTGAAACGTTCCAAGAAAAAGCAACGATCTTCGGTTGCATAGGACCCACAAACTGTTTATGCAACTCAAAGAAGATGACTGACGATCCAAATGCACCAACATAGCAGAGAGCAGTCTCAATGATCTGGATACCTTAGAGCTTCATCGTCTCCAGTTATTTCCCGGAATTGAGGAGTATAAAACGCTTGAAGAGAAGTTGCATCCCTCGAGAAACAAAGTGTCCGTTTGACCAAGCCGAAGGTGCAGTTTCAAAGCAGTTCTGACAGGGCCCTCACCTTGTCCAACAAGGAAGACTGCCGTGGTGCTGATCCTTGAGGGGCCTTGTTCCCACCACCATTTGCAGGCGTCTCCCTCTCAGCCCCAGCATCTCTCATCGCTGCAAAGGGCCCCTCCCCCTTCTCACCCCTCCCCACCTCTGAGTCATTTGCGTCCCCCCTGCTGTTTTCTTTCTCGCTACTGCCCCCCTCCAATTTTCCCCTTTGTCCCTTCTTTTTTTTCTTTTTCTTCCTCCCTTTTGATCTCCCCTCGTTCACCCCGTCCTGCTCGCTTGATCCATTCCGTTCACTTTCTACGTGCGCCTCAGCTCCTTTCGAGCGGTCTGAACTGACGCCCATCTCCCGCCTATCTGCCTCTATATGTTGTCCGCCGGCATCCGCCTTATCTTCCTCCGGCCGCTTTTCCCGCTTCTTCTTACCTGTATCCCCGTCCAGATTTTGGCTACTCAGCTTGTTGCTCCTTCCACTGGCAGCTCCATTGGCAGCTCCAGGGTCCGCCCCATGTGTCTCCCCCTTCGCTCTTTGTCTCTTCACTCCTTTTGACCCCCTGTTTCCACTGACAATCTCCATTCCTTCAGATCTCGCCGTATCCACACCACCTCTTTTCTGCTTCTGATTTTCATCTCTGGGACTTTTGTGCCCCTTTTTCTTGCCCATAGCATTCTTTCCGATTGCTCCAAATCTTGATGCACCACCCTTTTTCACGCCATTTGCAGCACCCCGCTGCCCTTTCTGCTTACCAGCACTTTCCACCCCATCTGACTTAGTAAGCAAAATACCGGTCCCTTCTCTATGAACCACCTCGCCAGAGTGTCGCACGCGCTGCTTGACTGGAGAAGTTTCCACTTCCCTGGTCTCAGCGACCGGCCGCTTCCGCTTCATAGCTTGTCACCGGCGCGCTTCAGAATGCAAGCCCAGTCGGGAACAGCGACTCAAATTCAAATGATGACAAGACCAATAGCAGATCCTTGGACAAGGGGAATCCTCTGAGTATGAAAGGCGCCTTGCAAAGAAGCTCCTTCTCCCAGACCGTCCCCAAACATCTATGGTAGTCACAGGCTCACATAGGCTTTTGCAAAGGAGAGTAATATCTTCCTTTTACTTCGAGTTTCCTCGAGCTGGTAGAAGTATTGGGCTTTGGCCCGTTTGTTGGAATTTAAGCAGGATTTTCTGCAAAGCTGTATAGGTACACAAGCCCGATTCTACTTTGTTCCTTGTTTTGGGGTAGGGCCCAGAGCCGCAGACCGTCAACTAGAATCGTGCATCTATTAAACATAAATTTTTCGAAAACCTCGGCCTATGTTGTCATTGTTGATCGACGTATGCATCAAGTGGAAACATTTGTGTGCAATTTTGCAAATTTTGGCACGTAGTCCTACCTAGGCACACCTTGAAACACATTGCAAGCTGATCAACTCCGATCGAGTCCAAGTAGCAGCAAGGTAGAATCATCAGGAATGCGCCACCGGCGCAAGACATGGCTGCGACTTTCTTCATGGCGGTCATGTCTCAACCTATTCTCACTGCTAGTGAACCAAACTAGCAATGCCGGGCCAGATTACGACCCAGATTACTCGTTCTCAAGAGCTCATCTGCAGGGAATCCATCAGGTTGATAATCACAACAGGAGCTGAAAGAACGGGTGCGGTATGATGGCTGTCAGCCTCCGTGCACAGAGTGGTGCCTTTTCGTTAGACCGCGCCTTTCGATGCAATTCCCTCAGGTCAAGAGGGGGCAATCCGGTCAGTCGCAACTCGCAATGGGCCCAGTTCTGCCAGCAAGCAGGAACACATGGCCCCATAATAAGAAAGGAGATCTGCCAGCTGTCACATCATGTCATTAGAGGTTCAAGTCGCTACAAAGGTCCTAGAAGAACAACTGCAATTGGTGGGGAAGCAGGGGGCTTGTGCAGCAAAATCAGCAGCAATGCTGTCAGACTGTCAAGACCAAAGCCTAATGAAAGCTCAAGGGGTGGTACACTGAGCCTATCTTTGAAGAGAGGCGTCCAAAAGTGTCCGCCTGTCCGTAATGTGGGGGTATGCAAATCGTCGTTGCGGACTGAGCACGCTGAGGGGATCAGCGCAGGAGAGGAACCGGCGCCTGAGGTGGGGGATGTGGAGGAACCGGGGGCGGTGGAAGAGGAAAGCAAAGAAAGTGAGTTGCGCAACTGTTCCTGGGGCTCATAAGACTTCCATAAATCGAAAACAACAAAACGCCACAAGCTGGGGACTTCAATGTTTCTTCTTTAGACCTTTTATAGATTGTTCTGGTCAAAGTGCCCCATTCGTCCAGTTTTAAGGGCAGCTCAGCAAGAGAGGGTGGCAAGCATTATGGTGCACATGAACTTTCAAGTTGGAGTTGAGGGGGGATCAGCTCAGCGCTTTTGCATCCAGTAGGTATTGAAGATCTTCTACACCACCGCTAGGGCCCTCTCTCTTTGATCCTTGTTAACTGCGCTCTTGGCTGTCACATCAACTTAAGTGCTGCGAACACGGAGTCATCGGCTTGCACATGGCATTCCTCCATCTTGAGATTCCTTGGAGACACTACCAGCCGCACAGCGCCAATGACGACGGAATTTTGAACAATCTTTAACCACTGGGAACATTGCTTCGTGCATTTTGACTTGAAGTCTCTAAATTGGGTCGTCTTAGGTCGTCCACAACGGATCTTCTTGAAAAATTAGGAACGACACAGATGAACTATACCAGTGCTTCTCCAGGGTCGTTGTTTCTTGCTGCGGGCGTGGTGGGCCTTGCCACAGTGGGGGCGAAAATCCTGGGCCTCGGGCGAGAAAGCACGCTGGCCGCCGCCTTTGGAGTGGGGCCCGTCATGAACGCGTACAGGTACGAACTGTTTGGTTTACCATCTGCACTTGGTTTCTCGTCCCCTCTCCACTGGGGATTTACTTGTTTTAAAGAAGTTTTCTCATGCAGACAGTTGCGCGTAAAACGATGTGGGAATCTTTGTTGGCACTTTTCTGTCTGGTCGGTCACGATGGCAGGTTAATGTCTTCAACTTTAATCACATGTTTGAAGCAAGATGAAAGAAGTCAAGTTTGATACGACTACAAAGGTTCCTTCCTTCTGGGTGCAGTTATGCCTCCATCTTGCCGACTTTCCTCATCTCCATGCTTGGCGGAATCAACGGCCCTTTCCACTCCGCCATAACCGCCGCCCTCGCCCGCCGCTCCCCGCCTGCCGGGCGCGCCCTCGTCGAAAAAGTCTCCACTCTAGTTCTCCTCACCTTCACTCTCGTCTCGCTAGTAATCTTCCTCAACGCCCCCGCGCTCGTAGACTTGGCCGCTCCCGGGCTGATGACGTCAGCGGAGGGCGCAATGACGTCAGCGATCGCGGTGGCGCAGCTGAGAGTGATGGCGCCGTGCGCGCTTCTAGCGGCGCTCCTCGGGGTCGGATTCGGGAGCCTCAACTCGGCTGGGGTGTATGCGCTGCCGAGTCTGAGCCCGGCACTCAGCAGCGGATCCATCATAGCAGCGGTGAGAAAATGCCGCCAATTTTTCGGCTCGTTTTTCTGCGTATATGATGCCGCCAGTTTCTTCTCGTGTCTTTCGCTCCTTTTCTCAGACTTCTGTTATAGGACCTTCATCAGCGATGTTGTTTCTGGATGATCTCTTCGTAGACAATCGCAGCGTCTTGTGAAATACGAAATCCACTGCGCCCAAAACTCGTTGAGACAAGCGTGTAGTTGACCAGGAAAACCGCGATTCTCCCCGATCTGGGCCTGGCTTCATTCGAGCCGTTGAGCGATTCTGATCGATTGGGCCACTTCTCATAGACGAAGCCAATTAGCACGAGGTCGAGCGCAGTGTGGCCGCGAGACTTTTTGAAAGATTTGACGGCGTACAGCTTGTAAACCCTGGCGTGTCAGGTTTCAGATACACCATTGGACGGTCAAGCAGTACGTTCTGAGTGATGGAAAGGACTCACGGGGAGGATAAGAATGAGTGACGATAAGAGATGGTGGCACCCAACATACGTACTTTTCGCAGGTGCTCTTTCACTGCTGGCGAAATGGGGGAACGGCGGGGCTGGGCCCACACAATGCGATGGCCGGTGGGATCGCGGTTGCGAGCGGCTTTCTTGCAGGGGCGACCCTGCAGTGGGCCGTACAGGTGAGCGGTCCCTTTCATCTTATAATCGTTGCCAGCTTCGATATAGGACTTTAACTGTCTTGGTAATGAACTTGAAGAGCAACCGAGGGTCTACCGATCTTAGCCTCGTCCCCCGAAACTACGAAGCTTCAAGTGCTTTTCCCTGGAGAAGGCCGAAAAAATGAAGCACGCTGACGTATCGGACGACTTGTGGGCAACAGACAGACATTGTTCCGGGTGTATCGTCTCACACAGCGCAGATTGCCTGTTAACGTTACTCTGTAAGTTTTGGAGCGTGGATTATACACTCTGCATTCGAGGAACTATGAGACACAACAAACATACCTTCAAGCCGGCACACACAAACCTAAGCGATTTTCATCATCTTTGTAGGCGGCAACTCAGCTTCGGCTTGGCCTCGGTACCCTGCGGTTACAATGGGCTAACCCGTTGACTGACCCCGGGTTAAGAGAGGTTTTGGCCGTCATGGTCCCTGGAGCTGTCGCGTCGGGGATGCTCCAGATTGCCACGTACACCGACCTCCACTTCGCTTCGTTTCTTCCGGGGGCGGCCGCGGCGCTTGGATGTGAGTACGCGTTCCTTTCTGGAAACCAGAGTCTGGCGGTTGTATCATCTTTCCGCAAGCGGTTGATGGGCTTGAATAATACTTGGCTTCGTTTCTTCCGGGGGCAGCTGCCGCGCTTGGCGGTGATTCTGCGTTCTTTTTACGAAGCATCAAAGTTCGCGGTTGGAAAGTATATTCCACGTCGGTTGACGGTTCTGAAAGATCATTTGCAAAGCAATCTCAGGTCCGTTGGGGGTTGTGCTTGGATTCTGCACCAGCCGTAAGGAGGTCAACTGTTTTCCAGTGTGTGGATTAGCATTTTCGGGTCGTCGTGAGACGTTCAGGAGATAGAGTTAGTTGCACGTGGTGTCTTAGACTGGCCGCCTAGATAAGGGCTAACGTATGCGGGCACAGGTCAGCTTCCCAACAACGTTCAGAGCATCGATCTTGCGACACCAACTGCCTTTCCAAACTGGTATCGTACGAAGCGGAGGACGCAGTTGCAGCTCGTTGGCTCGACTCCGGCACCTGAGCATCCTGTGCCAACCAATTGTGTTTCTCTGATCATCTGGGTTGTCCAAGGTCGAGACCCATCCTCCGCCGACTAGATGGAATCGTCGGATGGTGACGCGATCCAAAATTGCAGAAATAGGCCAGCAGAACAACCTAAGCTTTTAACTGAGTTGCGCCCGTCTCGTGCAGACGCGAATCTGCTCGTGCAGGCGCCACTTGGCATCCTCTCGAGCGCGCTGCTGGTGCCGATCCTGCCCCTCTTCGCGAAAAGCTCCGCGGTAAGCGTCCGAGTCGGCTCTTCTTGAAACCACTTGCTAAACCACGCGCTGAACCACTGGCTAAACCACTTGCTAAACCACTCGCTAAAGGTAGCAGAAGAAAGGCTCGCGTCCGGGTTTTGCCATGTTCTCTAACCTTCAAAACCTTGGGCCTAGAACCTAAAGTTTGGCGCCGCTTTGATATACAGGCAGAGCTAGTCTTATCTTTGCTCGACGGATCGCAGAACGACAGCAATTTGAGAATAGACAAAAGGTGGGAAAGTTAGCAGAGCGCAGGTCTCACTGGCTCTTTTTGTGTAGGTAATCTTCCGTTCAATTGGTAATCTCTTCAGTCTGTTGCTATCTGCTTGCTGAGGTGCCAAATCGACACTCACAAATGATTTTGCCACATCCGTTTCACAGCGGGAACACTGGCCTGAGCTGCGGCGGCGAATACGGCAAGGGGTCATTCTCGCAGCCGTAAGTCGCCCCCCTTTTTCAATGTAGGATCAATGAGCGTTTTTCGTGAATACAGACTTTTGTCAAGTCTGAACCTGAGTTTGAAGTGAAGGGATTGTTGCTCTCAGCTTCTGTGTTCCAGTCGCATCATCCCCTGACGTACCTGGCTCGAACACGTTCAAACAATTCCCATTGAATAGCTTCCTCAAAGATCGGCAAAGCGGGTTTTCTGTCCTCCAAAGTTGCCGTTCCGCTGATGTCACCAAGTGTCACAATCGGTGCAGGCCGTCACCCTCCCCCTGAGCCCCATCATGGCCCCTTGACGTCACCAACTCCTCGATCCTCCCCGCTTTTGACTGACCGTTTCGCAACCATGCGAAGTCCGACAGTACTCGCTCAAAATCGCTGACGTCACCAACTGAGTCACAAATTGTCATGTTTGTGCAGGCCGTCACGCTCCCCTTGACCGCCATCATGGCCCCCCTCTCCACGTCCGTCGTCAGAGTGCTCCTTCAGCGGAAGGCCTTTGACACTGCCGCCACGGCGCTAGTCGCGCCGCTCGTCGTTGGCTGTGAGTGGTGTCAACGCACGCTGCGTGTCGCGCTTATTCATCACGATCCTGGAATGGCATGTCACAAATTGCATATTTGAGAGATGCTAACCTGTGTTTTGGTCACGCCCTAAACAGCATCAACTTACACCCGCTCTCGTCTCTTCGTTTTAGATCTGATTGACCCTCTTACTATCTGTGATCGGGCGCGCTTCGGTCCGCTTTGTCAAGCTAAAAGATCTCGTTTGCTTTCATCCCTTGATATAGTCGTCTTTCGGCCCGCCATAAGAATGGCCGGGGCATGTTTTGGCCGCCAACCGAATGCCCACAACTTTGCCCGTAGAGTCGCTCGAACTTCATGTGTCCCCAAAAACGTTGATTCCGCAACACACTCTCAAGTCCCGCTTTCTATGTGCCTCCGCACGCTACCGAAAAGCCATCCACCCCACGGCTTGATTCTCTGCCATGTTCTTCTGTGATCCGTCAACACCGAAAGATTGGAAGCGCCGAGGCGTTCCAAGGGCTTTCATCAGATTGGCACATCTACACACGCTTCTCATTTCTGAAAAACCATAGCACTGTCTGCAGACCAGCTGGGGGCCATTGCTTACCTCATCCGTGACGTCTTGGTCCGCGTGTTTTACGCTCTCGGCGATGGGGCAACGCCCTTCTACACCAGCATTGCCGCCATCTTGGCGAACGTCGTCCTTGACTGGCTGGCCGTCCGAAAGTTTGACCTGGGCGCTCAAGGCCTGGTACGGACGCTGACCTTGTCTTGGTCTTGCTCTTGGGAGCCTCGATAATGCATTGGGTCCGTTTGAACGTTTCTAAGGAACCACAATTGCTCTTTGGGCGCTTTGAATGCTATGCTGATGCTTCTTGTACGCGTACGGGATGCTATTTGAAGGGTTCTCAACCGCTCGAACGAGCAATGTCAACAGGACCGCCATGTGCTTTGAGCGCAAATTGCAACGCCCTTTTGAGAGTCTCTCAGACGCTTCTCCGACTTTCTTCAAGAACATTTGGAAGCTTTCGATGAGATTTTCGCCACTTTCGAAGCGCGTTTTCGCGGTTTGGACGCGTTTGATTGCGGACCGCGGCAGTTGTTGCGTTCGTTTACGTCGTGGAAAGTCTCCATACTACAGCGATGGTGTAGACAGAGCCCTCCTTTCCGGGTGCAGATCCTGGCCACTCTCTCGGTGAATGCCGCAAGCGGCGTCATTCTCCTTGCCGTTTTGTCCCGACGAGTAAACGGTGAGAGTAAATCAAAACCTACACTTTCGAGGGAACGTGCGAGGTCAATGCAATAAAGTGGCCGCGTAACGTCAGCATGGATGGCTCTGTGCGCAGCACAGAGACCGCAGGGGCGCAGAGACGCAGGGACTTCGCAGAGCCTCTTCATTGTCCCCAGCTTCGCAATACTCCTTCTGCTCTCCTCCTCTCGTGATTGACCGACTGCATAGTGAAGTTTCTGCCAGATTCTGTCCGCGAACCAAGTCCATGCTGACACGTGGCACGCTCTAATTCGCAGATCTCCGGACCGAGGAGTGGGTCCGGCCGTTGCTGACGATGGTGGGCGCCGCTGTCGTGGCGGCATATGCCACCGCGCTGTCGCACGCGGCCGCGCTCCGGTTCCTCATGTTTCTCGCACCGCTCGTTACCCCTCCAACGCTGATGTCCAAGTAAGCGTCTTTGCGGCGTACATACCTGTCGTTAACCTCCTCTCGTCGAACGTGTTTTCTAAGTATGCACTCCATAAGAACGAAGCACGTGCTCAGAGTCCACTCCTTTTATGACCAAGTTAAGAGTCTCGCTAATTTCTTTTGTCCTCACGTCCTTTCGGAGGGGTGTTAAGTTATCTTTTGGACAGATTTTCAGGGCTTCTAAACTGAAGGATCGATGCATCAAGCCCGCAGTTTTTTTATCCGGTATCGAGCCCCAAGGAAATAGCAAACTAGTCATCATCATTTCTTCGCGGGAGGGCTAACGTCGTTCGTTGCTCCTTTAGAATACCCCGAATGAGGACGTCAGCCACCCAAAAGTCGTTCTTGCATCGCGATGCTCCTCAAAATTCAAATGCGCCTGTCCGTGCCCCTTTATCGCCCGCCAATTGCAAGCCCGCAGGCGACCTAACTCAGCGGATCCAAACGAGCCCTTCTCTTAGCCCGTTCTTTTTTAGGGTTTTAGAATTTTAGGGTTTTAGGGTGGCACAATTTCAAGTATCGCTCTCGTTTGAGATCCCCACATTAAATTTTCCGTTCCGGCAAACCCCTCGCTGTTTGGCAGCAGATGACAATGTCAACGTGCCCTCCTTTAGTGAAGCTGAAGTGAGACTTGCACCGCTGCTACACGCATCAGAACTTATTCGCTTACACATCAGCTTCTGACGATTTCGCTCCAAATTATTCGTCTCAGGTACTCGAGTAAAGAATAGCTTCTCCAGTGAGGCAGTTGCGGTCAACGGAACCGATAAACTCGACTTTCGCGTTATTTTGGGTGCCGAGTCATTCAGGCGCTCTCTTCCTTTTGCAGGGCCACATGGTTCGCCGAGTTTTCTGCCTGCGGGTGCGCGAGCATCTTCAGCCTCGCCACTTTTGTCGCCGTTCTCGTTTGGACGCGACTGCCCGAAGCCGACGCGATCAGCGTCAGGCTGCGCAAGAAGCTAGGCCTGCAGTTGTAACTAGATACGGAAAGTTAACCTGATAACCTGGATTTTATTATGCTGGTTGGCTTGCGAGTTGGGGCGTGCGAGGTACTGATTGATTAAAAGATGATCAACGCGGAGGTCGCGAGAGAATAAACGCGTTCTTGTCGAAGTTGCCGACGATAGGATAATGCACGTTCCGGTTCGTCTAGCTGCGCGCTTGCAGCAGAACGCTGCAGTTTCCGGCGCACCTTCGAGTTCCAAGGCCAATAGAGATCAGATTTGCGTCCCGGCCCTTGAATGCGATCATTGAACATCAATTGACAATCCAAGTCCAAACCGTGGTGTCGCTCATTAAGGTTTGGTAATGGACAAGAGAGGCTGACTGTATCCGTCGAAAGTTGAAATGTGACGTGTGAATCACTATTGATAAAGTGTACTTGGCGAGCCAAGTATGTGCTGCACGTACTGCATTAAATATAGGCTTGTCAATCAGCTAATGTAATTGGGTGCATGTACGGGACATGGATGTAACGTACCTACGTCATGAATTGCGGTTCCACGACGACGTGATCAAGTGCAACTTCGAGATTGCCAGGCCGACAAAAAGAACGGATCGATTATATATTGACCTTGCATGCATGCATGGAGGCTCGCTGAGACATCTTGCCTGTTATCAAAAGCTAATTCTAGTTCTTGTGATCAATAGCATGTTCAAGGTTGACCAGGGAAACTACTCTGGGACACAGACAAAATATAGTGTTAATTTAAAAGAATTAACGTACCTAGCTAAACCCAAAAAATGGCATACCAACTCCCTGCATGCTCTGCACCCTTATGCATCTTAACCCCAAACCTTACCATGCAACCGTCCCCCGTATACAGGCTAGAGCTTACGTCATCGTCATGGCCCTTAGTCAACATCGTAGTTTACGAAGTCACTGGTATTGAATCCCGACGTTGTTTCCGAGACGAACCGGGGCCCTTGAAATGTGCATGACATGTGTACGTGTCGCTTTGACAGCGAGAGCCACTTCAAAGTGTCGCACTTTTGCAAATCAACTTGGGACAAAACGGTATTAGAGGGGGCCAACGATCGAGCGCACTGACTGTGTCGATGGCCACAATGACGTTCCGAGTCCAGAAGATCAAAGCGCTTGAGACAGAGCTAGTCCCCAAGCCAACTAGTTCGCAGCCTGAATCAGAACACAACCTGGGAGCAGCCCTTCTGCATCACAAAGGGGAGCCTTCTCGCTGAGGTGACGGTCGAAGAAAGAATTCTATAGTCCCAGTCAAGAATCGTTTTTCAAACTCTCTTTGGAAACGCTTGTAGCGCTAGCGTGGCGTCAAAAGGCAATTGGTGGTCTCGGTGGGGCCGCACAGGACAAGGCGTCAGCCAAATTAATGGTGACTGTACATGTAAAGAGATTTCCGGCGGAATGTCCGCGGTGCGGAATGCCCAAGGGGGACGAACTCCCGTCAGACGAAGAAGGGGACCTTCAGGTGATTAATGACGCATGCTCAATGTTCTTGTTGCGAAATCATCAAGAAAGGATCTTCCATGTCCTGGGGACCTCGCCTTGGGCCACCGTCCATTTGGGGAGTTCATTTCGTTTTTCACTGGGTATGGTGCTTGTCTCTTTCATTGGATTGGCACTCTCCCCTGGCTCGTGGGTGGCTCGTTGGTTCAAGGCGCAGCTGGCGTGACGAACATGCCCCTTGGACGTTTATGGTCATCCTGTCTTAAATTAATTGCCTCTTGCTTCAAAATGGCCTTGTCTCCAAGCTTGTCTAGTCGTTTAAAGGGTCAGCCGATTCTGGCAAGGAACCCCTTGCTTCTTGAGATGAAGAAACTTGCAAAGCTGAGGGCAAGAATTTGGCAGAGGTTTCTATCTCAGTTTCAAACCGTTCAGAACTTTTCGGACGTCTTGCATAGTTTTTACCCGCAATGAGTACGTTAAGATTGCATCCATTATGTTTGCTTCTCGGCCGATTGAAAAGGGCCCCTTTCTCAGATGTTTCAGACCTGGAGGGTTCGAAAAGAGCTGATTGACTTACATAACAAAGTGCTTTGTGTCATCACTGTCTAAATAAGTTCAGATATCGTCAAGTACAAGAGGGCCTTTAACATGGAGGTTATATTTCTCCCTCTATAATGCTGTCTAGTCGCACGCAATGAACCATTTTAGTAGATAGGTTCTTGACGCCTCTGATCCTAGCCAAGGTCACGTGAATTGGAAATGACTCAGAATCTACATGAGGCCACCGTTTTTCCAGCTCTGTAACACAATTTCCGTGAGTGCGGCTGCGAGACCGACCACTGTAAAGCTGCTGAGAGCGCTGCTGCCATCTATGTGCAGGACTTTCCTCCTGTTCGTGAAGCGGAGTATGGAAGTGAGGACTCACACAAGATGCCCTCGCTTCGCGAAGCACGTTACGGAGAAGAGGGCAGTGAGGACTCGGACGACTTGCCTTCTCTTCTCGAAGGGGGAAGTGAGGAGGGGAATAGCAGGGACTACGACGACTTGTCAGAACTCCCTTCCCTTGTCGAGGGAGAAGATGATAACGAGAGCATCGAAAACGGTGACCACTCACAAGAACTTCCTTCCCTTGTTGGGGAGTCGGACGAAGAATATGGCGAGGACTACGACGAGTTCCAAGGAGTGCCTCCGTTTTGCGACGGGGAAAGCGAAGACGACATGGACGAGATTGAGGTGAGCAGGCTGGAACTCCCCTGACTTGAAGATCAGAATTCACAGGAAAAATTTTGCTCCTAATCAGACCTGCTTAACGGGTTCTTAGCAAGCATTCAACCTCTTTAACCCGGTGAAAGGGCTTCTAAGTTGTGCGTGACAAGGCGTGGTTAAGGTTTGACTTTCCAAGTGTTACGTGGAGCAAGTTGTGGTGAAGGAAGTGCCACGTGTCCAAGAGGAGGCTGCCAGGACATTTCGCAATGCGCGAGCTGCCGGACCCATCTTTCTAGTACCACGAGTTTGTTGCCAAGTTGCTATCCTTTCTTGATTCTGGTACGCTTGATAGTCGATCGCTTTTGACAACGCTCATTCAGAAATCCTGCGAGCTTCGACGAAATCTAAGCTGCATATATGTATGGCCGGACACTCTTTAATTTCATCGGAGATTGCGCAGACTCTAGAGTCGAGTACATCGTGCGGAGAGGCTTTCGTGCACGTGCGATGCTGCTGTGACGGCACACCTTCAATGACGATTACTTGCGTTAAATCCGCGTGCCTGCTGTTTCTGCCAAGCTGTCTCCCTCCTTTCTAAATACTTTTCCCGAATACCTAAACTTCAGTCGGACCGCTTACAGCAGTTTGATTCCCTTTTCTGACTTGTTCCGTTATTTGTGCACAGGCGCGGAACAGCGCCCGTCTGCCCCCGCGGCCGCTCATCATGACCGAAATCGAGTGAGGAAACTCCAATCGTCCGGCGAAATTGTGACCGTCCTCTGGAGACTGGAACCCTAGAGACTCGGAGCCGCTTTTCGCCATCCCCCGGGACCCCGTGGCTTACCAAATCACCGATTACCACAACGGCCCAGGGTAATTGGGATTAGACGTGCTTGGAGTGGTGTATGTGTTGGAGGAAGGCAGATCATTTCAATGATTCAGACGGTGGCCGGTATTACCACTTCCATTGTAAATATCACCGTCGTCTTCCGACATCTCAGGGAGCAAGTGGAAACTTAGCTGGACTGGTTCACGGGTTGCATTGGAGGACGAGAAATGCACATTACCAAACGAACGGCCGGGCGCTTAATAATCAGGGCCGTATTCCAGATCTGCATGCATGTATGACCGCACATGCCTGGCTGCATAATACTCATACCCGTCAAGCTACATTCACGTATATGCGTACGCATTATGACTGACGCTCGATCCATGTTATACACTGTGACGGTTGCTTTCATTCGAAGCGGTTTGCGCTCCGAGCTAGTCCGAATGTATGTACAGTATGAAGGCTGATGAACTCGGAGGTACTCTTATACGGTACTAAGAGTGTATGGTCCGCACGTGACGCGTGAGCGCTGCATACCATGTAGCATTTTGGCAGACATAGTGAAGGCTCGAAAACAGCGCTTCCGCTGCGCCGCACCGTTGTTTGAATTGAGTGACACAGCGCGCCTCGCGATTCAAGCTGCCAGTAACGCGCACCTCTGCACGTACTACAAGCTGAATCACCATGAGCGTCTCAATTGGCATGTGCAGGGAAGAGTGCTCGAACGAAGTTCCTCTTGCCTATACTTTCGATAACGATTGCAAACCCTGAGTCATCATGCATGGCCACCCTTCTTTCACACATCCTGATTAAAGGGCTTGCCGCAGAGTCAATTGTCACCGGGCACTGCAGAACAATGCACGTTTCCATTGTCCGAGTGAGTCAATCTCGTCTCATGCAGTATGCTTGACAGCTGACCCAGCGTGCCTTAAATGATAATAAGCATCTTCAATCTACTGCATGTCCTACCTTGCCTCAAGGAGCCGCTGCTACTCAAGTGCTGAGGCTGCCATCATTTCCGTTGGTGTCGACGTGTACAAGCGTACCCGCCGCCTTTATATGGAACACGCAGCCAAGTCTTTGTTTCTCGGAAGACTCGTCTGCCTCCGACCCTGCAACAGAGACTCAAGTATGTTCCTGCTCGCGAATTAGCCTCCCCGCTCTAATCACTTTCAATGGCTAGACTCATCCGCAGCAATATTTACCAATTTTGGCCTCCCGCTCTTCGTATCCACCTCCACCCGATATCCCATCGCCTCCGTTTCTGCCGTGTTCGCGCCCCCCCGGACCTCCAACCCCGCAATCTCATTCTGATTCCGTTCGTTTCCCTCGCACAGATTCCGCACGGCGAACAGCGCCCACTCGCGCAGGTACGGACTCGACTCGTCCACTACGCACTGCTGCAAAACGAGGAGCAGCCCCCCCCCCACCCGCACTGCGTTTTGGACCCGGGGGTTCCGGTGCGCGGCGTTCGCAAGAACGGCTACGACGTCCCGTCGGTATCCTAGGTACGGACTGTGGTTTGGAAACTGCCCAGGAACGCTAGAGGAACTCGGCCCCGGCTTGCTCTCCGCAACTGGGGGTGCTTGACCTGACTCACCCGCAGTTTCGCCGACCCCCCTGGACAACGATGTTATGGTTTCGCCACTAGGCTGTCTTGGATCCGCTGCGATGCTTCCGCTCCGTGCCGTTTCCGAGCTCTCCCCGCTCTCGTTCGACTCGCTCTGGGCCTCCGATTCGCTCGCAGTCCCTTTTACCCGAAGCCTCTCGGGGAGGCCCAAAGCCCGCAGCAGATCCAACAGAAGCTGCACGAATCCCCCCCCCAAAAGCGCCGACATTGCATCCGCCCCAAGCTCGACAACCCGAGCGGCACAAACCGAGGACAGCAGGCGGAGCGACAAGGCCAGAACGTCGATCGCGGGGTGCCCGGTTGGAATGGCCGGAGGAAGCGGGCACCAGCTTGGGGGAGTGCTTTTTCCGCTTGCCGCGGCGCTCGTCCGACCACTCGTGTCGCCGGATCTGCTTTGGGACGTTTCTGCATGCTCTGGTTCGGGAGTTCCGTTTCTACTGCTAGCAGGGGCGGGGCTATCGCCGTGTTGAAGATGAGTTTCACGGACGAAGTTTCCGTTCGCCGAGCGGGACGGAGAAGGGGCAAGCTGCTCTGCAATGTGGTTGGCGGCGCCCTTGACGAGCCCAAGAAGAGAGACGGCGGAGGAAGGCGGGAAGAGGAAGGGCGAGGACTCGTGTGCATCTGCAATGAGAAAGGCAGCGGGCGTGTTTGAAAAACGAGACCATTCACTCAGACGGATTAAAGAGAAGGGTGCTCGAGGAGATTCGAAACAAGTCGAAAATATTGCGTAAAAGCAGATGGGATAGCCCACACTTCCGAATCCGTGAACGCGTCACTTTATACGTCGTTCTCATAGCATCTCAAGTGGCAATTTTCAATCTACAACACCAGGAAGAGAGACAAGAGTAAGAAAGGAAACCTCTGACGAATCAGTCAAACTTTCGTTGTATTCACAGCTTTCTCATAGTGGGCTTATCCAAACGACACTGACAGAAAGGGAGACAATCCTTCAGTTAGGGAACATTGATCAGCAACTCTGTGCAAACGAAGAGTGACTGACGATTGTGTGTCGCAGCCTGTCAAGGGAGACCGGCAGAAAATTTGAGCGGGGGTCCGCAATCATACTCATAACATGAACGCACAGTCTTTCAAGTGAAACAACTGAAAACTTCGCCAAAATCCCAACAATTGTGAGCCAGAACATGCTCTTTGTCCAAACAACTTCGAAACACTCTTCGAAACAGCATATTCATTGTCACTGGCCCTTATCACTAGTGCGGGACACAAAGAAACACACAGCTCACCTGTCCTCATGCTCAGTGCTTGCAAACAAACACTCAGAAGCGCCGCTTGCTCCTCAGTAAAGCCTTGCTTAGCTTCGCTGACTTCATCTTCAAGGCTCAGCTCCTTCACACCGGTGTCACACCCGGTGTCCTGCTGTTCTGAGCCGCTGTTTGACACCGCTGTGAACACTTTTGACATGAGTGGATGCTGCAGGCACAACAGGTCTACTAGAATCTGGAGCCACTCGCCACCCCCAAAACGAGGCGCCTCCGACCCGGGTTCGGTCCTTTCCCCGTTTGAACGGGCTGAGGAGGCTGTAGGGGGCTCGTTCGCAGTGAACGAATTTCCGGATAGGGAGGCAGGAAGTTGGCTGAAGGAGAGATCTTCGTCGCTTGTGGGCACTGATACGGAGGCTGGAGTAAGGAGAGTGTCTCCTGAAGTTTCTTGAGTGGCAGTGCAGGCAGAATGCCCATTCGGGAGGGACGTCGACGGCCCCCTCCGCTCCCCCCTTTGTACTTTATCCGCCTTCGAGGTTTCTAGTCCCAACTGCTGATCCCTACGAGCGGCTGCGAACAACGAGCGGAGCAAAGGGGGATCTCCACAGAGCTCAGCCCGTCGCAACTCGGACTCACGACAGCACCGGAAGAGCAGCATGCACAGCGGCCCCTGTATCTCCTCCACCGGACACTTGGACAGCTGGCGGAACGCGTCCGGACAGCAGGCCGTCCAAATGGCAGACTGATGCCGCTCGCCGCCCCCCGCAACATTCCCCAGCGTCTGAATGGCCGCTCGAACAACGTCGATGGAGTCCGTATCAGACCACGACAGGTGTCCGAAAGCTAGCGACAGCTGTGCAAGCCTCTGGACGCCTCCGTCCAGAAAAGCGTCCTGGTTCGCTCTCTCCCCAGCACAGAGGTTGCGCAAAACTCTGAGCAGCAGCATCAGTGGCCTCAGCACGAAGCCACCCACAGCATCATCCCTCGACTTCCCAGACTCCTGGCTAGAACCTGAGTTAGAACCCTGGTCTCCTTCGTCATTCCATAAGTTTCTCAGCTTGGGAGAATGGCTTCCCAGCAAAGGCACCAGCTTCAGCAGCCTGCTCACCGCCCCATGCGCCGCCAGAGCCTGCCGCCCCTCTGCTGACTTTGTCCTTGCCAGCAGGTTGTCCAATGCTTCCTCCAGCAGCAGCAGGCACGCGGGGTCTGCAGCAGCAAAGCTGGCGGCCAAGCTCTCCAGCCGTGAGAGCAATGCTGCGTCCTGCGCCATGTCTGCGCGCTGCTGGCGACTGTTGTGCGGACTGGGCCGTCCAGGTGGTCAAGCATGGGCGGCCGACCCCATGCTCAATCAGGTCGATAATGGTTGATGCTGAACTTGGAGGAAATTTAGATAGTGGATTTTGGGAAGAAGCTCGGTTCTGGTCGCAATCAGCCGACAAAACGGGTGGGGTCAATTTTAGAATTCAGCGATTGGTCAACTGGTCGGCAACGATCACCTTGAAAGCAGAGTCTGTGGACAGGTTCCGCGCGCTCCCGTTCTAGTTGCCTGCTCGGCGTTTTGCTTGTCCATTCAGAGTCCTTCAGAAACATATGCATGGCTGTCGGTGCAGGAGCATGCATGTCAACTGAGGCGCTAGGGGTTCTCTTCAGCCGCTAGAGTTGCAATGCTTACATGTTTGAGCCGCAGTGCTCTTTGGCACAATTGTGCGGCGGTGGCATTGCTGGCAAGAGACGTTAGGTGCACATTAGGTGCACATTGAAATTTGAGACCTTGTAGTGGTTGAGAAGGAGCCCCTCCAGATGACGCTGGGAAAGGAGGCCTTGCTGCAGGTCTAGCTATCAATGTGACGTATGCTGCTTCGTACAAAGTGAGTCTCTTGCACCAACGGCATTTGTAGGCTTGGTTCGGGCTGTTTGCTGGCCCGGGAGCTTCTCTGATTCCCCTTTAATTCATCATAGAGTGAAGCCTCGCTACTATTGACCAGCGTGTGAACGGAAGCTCTTTAGAACTTGCTGTTATATCCTCTGAAGAGACTTGTTGGAGTCATTTTCCTTGGAAATGCATCACAAAGTATGGGGGGAAAAGTCCAAAAACTGAGAAATACATTTGTCTTCCTAGGCAACAAACAAATGTACACAAAAAGCAAAGCTGTAATGCATGCTCTGTACGGGCATCATCCACCAGGACTGTTTTTCCTAATGAATTGGTAGAAATCGAACGACACGTTCCAAGTGAGATCGATCCCAGCAGATTTGAACTGGCTACTTTGCATTAGAACGGTTTTGTTTGTCTTCTAGTCCAGCTGCTCTTTACTGATCTCTAGCTGATCAAAGAGAAGTACATCAGGCAAACTGACAATCCATCTTGGCAGAAGGATAGTTCAATCGAAGGCACTCAACAACTCAGATGCACTAAACACCCCGCGGCAAATTGTCCTGCTTGACCTTGTCCCTCTCAAGTGTTGTAGCCGCTCTCTTTTCTAGACGTTGTCAGCTCCCCTATTCAACAACTGTCCGTACATTTTCTGAAACTCTAAAGTTCATAACTGGTCTGAATAAGTGACTGTAAGCTCAGAAACAGTCTGAGTCAATGGTATGGCTGCTTTTGATGGCCTTACAAACACAACTGCAGCTGTCTATGAATCGCTTTTCTGCGACCTGACGCTGTTGCTCTCCTTTGTCCAGGACTTTCCCGAAAGCGCTTCGGACCGGTCGCGCTTCTGCCATCGTACACAACATTGCCGAGAGACTTCGGAACCCAAGTTATTCGCAGTTTGCAAGGCGAAAAGTGGTTCCAACGCAGCGATTCAGCATGCCAGCTGGCGGGAGGGGCAGAGGGGGAAGTCAGGAGGAGGAGGCACTTCACCGAATTGTGCGAGACGTGAGTGGCGTCAGCGGGGCGCACGGTACGGCAAAGAAGAAAAGAGCGGTCAGTGCAAGAGACGGAGCAAGCGACACCGGAGCTGGAAGTCTGAGCGAGGGTGTAGAGACGGCTCAAAGAGATATTCAAGAAGCGGTGAAGCAGGAACACTGGTCTGGGGACGGAACGGACTTGGCTTCAGAGGAAGTGGGGATCGCTGGTGAGCGTAGGATGAGCGCTGAAGGGGGGAGGGAACAAGAGGCTGACGTTGAGATGGGGAATGAGGCTGGGGACGGAAAGGGAGAGTCGAGTAAGGGAAACGAGGACTTAGACTCAGAGGAGGAAGCCGAAGCAAAGGCGGCTGTGGCAAAGTCGAACTTGTTGGAGTCGTTCCGGTTTGAGGGCGCAGCGAAACGGAGGAAAGGGGAGAAGCCGGCCGCTGAGCATCGGAAAGAACACAAGCGGAAAGACGAACCCGTGGTCAAGCTCGAAAACGCGCCAACAATGAGCGGTTCTGCAAATCCTGCTATCGAGTCAGCATTCGAGGGAGGAAAAGAAGACGAGATGCGCTTCTTCAGGCAGCTGTTGAAGCAACGCCTGCCGCCCCCAGTGCAACCGTTCGGAGCGGAAGGGGGAACTCTGTACGTGGGCACTTCGGGATGGGACTACAAAGACTGGAAGGGCCCGGTTTACCCCGAGAAGCTGAGCAAAAAGGACTGGTTCTCGCACTACTGCTCGGTGTTTAGCACCGTCGAAGTCAACAACACGTTCTACCGGTTGCCGGCGCCCGAGGTGTTTGCGGCATGGGGCCAGCAGGCGCCTGAGGGGTTCACTTACGCGCTCAAGTTCAGTCGGTTCGGAAGTCACATGAAGAAGCTGACGGACCCCCAAGGAACGGTCGGGCTTTTCGTGGAGCGCGCTTCGCATTTGGGGGGGTCGCTCGCAGGGCCCGTGCTGGTGCAGCTGCCCCCCCGCTTCAGCGCAAACGCACCCCGGCTGGACGCGTTTCTGAGCGAGGTCCCCCGGGGGGCGCGGTGGGCGGTCGAGATGAGGGATCCCTCTTGGCTGTGCGAGGACGTGTACGCGGTGCTGAGGCGCCACAACGCCGCGCTGTGCATTCACGACCACGAGGATACAGTTCGGGGGGGTCCGCACCCCAAGGTTCTCACTGCAGACTGGTCGTACGTTAGGTATCATGGGCCCGGGGGGAATTACCGGGGGGGTTACGATAGGGAGTTCCTAGCGGGTCAGGCCGAGTGGATTCGGGGCTTGCTGTCGGAGGGCAAGGATGTCTATGCGTACTTCAACAATGACGTCGCGGGGCACGCATTCTTTGATGCGCAAGAGCTTAGATCCGGGGTGCAAGGAAAGACGTTAGAGCCTAGGTAAACATGACCAGGACTGCTTGATATACGTTGGCGTGGAAGAGACAGCAATCATGCAGTCCTGATCTTTGAGATGGGGCCTGAACTGATCAGATGACGTGTGTACGTATACATAATGCAGCACAGGTTCGATCCTGCCGGGCTCAGACGTTCCGGAAGGCTTGTGTTGTCCTTTGATTGTTTGTGGACGTTAAAATCGCGGTCAGGCCCCTTGCATTTGACGCTTCAATGTAGTGTACAGAGCAATATTGCAGTGACCTTCTAATCAGTTGATTTATAGAATTATGCACTTTAACATTCTGTCAGGGGCGCTGACAAATATTGATCCTCAGTCACAATTTCAGCATGCATATATAGTCAGTGCTAGATTGGCTTCATATTCCGGCCATATTGGTCCGAACACGGAGCTCATGCATCTGTACAGTCTCTGCATGGCTGGGCGGCGCAAACACGGCCCTTTTACGCGGTAGACCCTTGCCCGCATTCTCGCTGGCGATATGCTTACTGCTAACATGATTGCAATGACTAGGACCAATTGGCCGACCAATCACGTTCTACTGTAGTCGATTGAGCTAGGAGCGCTGCGTGTACGGCTCCTTTCAATCGATCGACCGTTCAATCTGCTTCGAGGTCTTCAAAATTGCGAACCGTTCTGTTCGATCCTTAAGATTTATGTATTCAGGTCAGAAAAGCATGCGTGCCGCCCAGCGGTTTTGATCACCCAAATAAGCAGACATGTCTCGAACAACCTTAAGCAGGCCCCAACAGGTGGACTTCAGAGGTTTCACTTTAGTGCTGCAGAGTTTTAGTTGCTGGTGCACCAAATCTCGGCTACGATGTGGAACTTACGAGGTGTATCAAGGACTGCGGTAAGTATCACAACTTTCAATGCGAGTGCCCAAGGTAAGTAATGGGAATTGAACGGCTGTCACAGGCACAAGCTGGTGTAATGGTCATCCAAACGGCCAATCTATCGTCTCCATTTGAGCAGCACTATGCGTCGACAACCGATCGCGTACGTGATTTTGACCTAGTCCTCTGCATGATCAATGACAGACTGCCACTTCTTTCTGTACGGATCGACGCTGTAGATGTTCTCCTTGACTGTGTTGGCCAGCAGCTCCAGGAGCTCCGACTTCTGTCTCGAAGACATTTGTTTCACGGGGTTGGGATCCTTGATTATCTGCCTACGAAGCTCGCACTCCCGTCTATGTTTCGAGCAGCAATTGCCTTTCTCTCCTGCAAGAACAGGTGACGGCTTTCACTTTCTGCACGTGTATGTCACAGGGGAGTAGAAAAGCCCGAGGTTCCTGCTTTTGACGGTGATGGCTGGACAAATAGATTGGCAATTCGAACAGTGGATCTGGATGGAAAACTTAGCTGACTGACTTTTGAAAGGAAATGGATCAAATCCTGATCGTTCCATTAGGGGGGATGGTCCTTAAGTACTCAACGAGTCCAAGTAGTTGATGCTTGTTCCAAGTCAGGAATTGCTGCGGCAAGCTCGCTTCAGAGGCTCTTACTTACGAAACTGTGCCTCGAGATGCTCAATCTGACCGAGAGGATACGAAGCCAGTATTGTGAATGCTTATTGCAGAATCATATCAGCATCGCCTGTGCATCTGTGCATGGTAAAAGAAAAGAGCGAACGTGCTCACCAGCCCAGCAGACGCGAACTTGTTTGCAGGAAGAGCATGACTGGAGCTCCTCATCGATCTTTCCGCACTGGATTGACGAAACAAATGACGGTAAACGAACACAAGTGTCAGAAGGCGATTTTATATTGGCCTTTGCGCCTAACTTGGCCTTGCGCAGTAAGCTTTTCCAATGACATACGTCAATCAGGGTGACTTCGGGGCAAATTGTGTGGTAAGAAAGTCCCCATTCAACCAGGAAACCCAAAAGACAGATATTCGATCGGCTCGTATTCCTATGGAGGAAGTGTTTCAGGAGAAGAAACACCTCCCCCCGTTATGAAAAGCAGATTGTCACAATGGAGGTTGACAAGGAGAGTGAGAGCCTTAAGTTTCCGGATGTAAACAGATTGTTCGCGCTCGTACGTGTATACCCAGCAACTCGCGGAGGTTCGGTGTTGACTTTGCCTGAGACAACGACCTTATGGAGTCTGGAATGCAGACAGACAAAGCTCCTACATCTCAATTTGAGCGATATGAGCGATATGGCAATGTTGGACGCATTGACTTTTGAAGCTTTTGGTACTTGCGGGTATCACTAGGATGAAATGGCTTACAGTCCAGCATACGTTCCACGGCGCGAACGCTGCCTCGTCGAAGATGGGGATGTTTTGCGAACCGTCCAGAAAGCTGAGGACTTCCGCTTCCTCTAGCGTTGTCGGCATCGGCATCATGACCACCGGAACGGTTCCGCCGGAAGACGGATCCTCCTCCCAAATGCGGATAGCGACTTGGCCCCCAACGACAGCGTAGGGTTCCACCTCGACCAGCCCTCGTGCATTTTGCAGTGTTGTAACCTGCAGAATCACACAAGTTTTGAGGCTGATCAGCATAGGAAAAGTGCAAAGAGTTCTCTCAGCACTTCGGTGTATGTCCTTCAGTGTAATATTTTACTCGAACATCTGGTGACTGTGGTGAAATCACTCCGGAAACGTTTCTACGTAAGAATCATGATAAGTTGGTGGGGAAGGAAGTTTCTGGTCAAGGATCCACTAATGGACCTTCGAGTTGGCTTTGACGACCTCGAAGCTTGGCTCGAAATTCGCTTTTGCAAGCAGTCAACGTCGCAGAACTTTTCAATGAAGCAGAAAGAAGGTGGATGCAAAGGTCATTTGAAGTTTGACGCCAAAGCGAATCAACAAAGCAGAAAGCTCAAATACTGAGGATCTACGAGGGTTAATTTTCTTTGCACACTTGGAAAACGTCCAATTAGGTTGGCTGCCTAATCCAACTTTCTTCTTCTCAGCAACATCAAAGGATTCATGTCTTGTCGATCAAAACACCTATCTTCGTCTTGTCGACTGGAGACCTTATCTGCATTTAGGTCGAGAGCTTACCCGATAGGACCGTGGTGACTCTAGGGCGGAGTCTCCTTCTTCGACTTTCAGAATAGCGAAGAGTGTGCACAACCCCTGTATGCTCTGGCAGTTTGTAGCGATTATCAGATTCTGGTCGACTGGAACGAACAGGACGTTGATCGGCAGGCATCTGAGCGCTTCGCTGATCAACGAAAGGAATGAAGGGAAGATGAGTCTGCAGAGAGCTCGGTGATCTGCAAACCTGGCTACCAAAACAAGGGGCTCATGCTCGGGGTTCACGAGGCAGCTTAAGTCATAACCGATATCCTCCAAGCTTCTCATCGACTCCTCTCTTTCGTTTGGACCAAACTGCTCGCAAACATAGTATGTGAAGCTTCGCCTCGTGACTTTGGACGTATTCACAAGCGCAAGGGCCAGAGCTGGTTCTTCTGGTATCCGCCACGTGGACAGGACCGATTTGCGGAGCCAGAGATCCGTCACAGAAGCGTTCCTCGAGCTTGCAATCAAAGGAGCCATCATCAACTCGCGGCTGTGCTTGCTAAACTGCCACAGGACAAGAGCGGAAGGAGGCTTCTTGAGGTCCTCCTCGAAGTCTATGGAAAAGCACTGAGCATCTGAGTACCTCAGCCTTGACATGCTCGATACGTCCAGAAGGAGAGCCAGAGGTGGAGGCCCTTCTTGAAGAGTTGCGGTCAAGTCGATGAAGTCGTTACTCAGCTGACGGAGCACTTTCAAAAGGTACAGGAAGCAGTGCGTCTCGGAGCGGCTGGCTTTTGCTGCCTCATGTAGGGAGGAGAGGTTGACCAACACTCGAATGGCTGGGGACCCTGGCAGACAGACGCCCATAGTGCTCCGCTCTTCCTTCACTCGTTTGAACCTGCACTTGAAGGCTTCGAGCACCAGCCGAAAGATTCTCACAAACGCTGCGTAAGAGATTACCTGCGTCGATCCTATGTTCACTGATTCACAACTAGCTTCCTTCCCCATCCCTCCTCCGCAATAGCTGCTTCCATTTTTGCTGCCTGGCATGCATTCATCCATGCAGCCACCTCTACTCATGCACACGTTCTCGCCTGCTGCCACCTCCATCGACACACCGCGCACTCAACGTGATGGAAAAACAATGGCGGCGGCCTTTGCTTGCTTTCATCGACAATTTCTGTTCTTACACTTCTGATTTCGAATCTGCTCACGAATCTTAACATGCAGATATCGGCACTCAAGTACAGTAAAGCTCAAGCATCTGAGAGCAGACTATGACGACGCGGTCAGCTAGCATCTCTAGTAAGCTGTGTAAGATTTGATGAGCAAGAGGGGAGCAAAAGCTCCAAAAGTCGAACAATTGGAGTGAAACTTGATTTGACCGTCGAACTGATCAAGTGAACGCAACTGAGCGCAACTGAGCAGGCCTGCTATGATTTCGACAGTTCAGCTCACGGCGCGTGGCCGTGCAGCCTAAGACGGTGAGGCGCGCGGCCGCCTGAGTCGGCTGGGCGCCGCGGCCGTGCATAAGCGGCTTGGCGCGCGCGCACGCGCATTCGAGATTAGGGTTCTGCAATGTGCCCATTCGTTCATGAACCGAGCTTTGCAATAAACTTTAGTCTTTAGGCTGTTGCTAGAATGTGAGTGACCAGCAGACGTGCAAGCGGGCGCAGACCTGCTGAGCCAACTATGGAGCTCCCATTATGGTAGTCTTGCAGGCTGATAGATGCTCCTGCCAGCAGGTGGCAGGCCTGCTGTAAAGCTTGTTAGCTCTTCCCAGCAGCTAAAGTACGACATTTGCCACTTTAGTGATCGACAGCGCCTTCCTAACCCGCCCGCTGACTTTCGAGCTAGAATACATACTTAGGCCCTTGGGGCTCGATTGAAAGCTGCGGCGCGGGTTCCTACACTGAAGCCTGAGAGTCTTCCCAACATGTATTCAACCGCAGGCCCCAGCTCAGCTCTCAGCTCCTTGAGGTTTGCGGAGGAGCTAGAGGATGACGATTTGTACGACTTTTCGGACGTCCCAAACCAGGGGCCCGCTGCCCCAGTGTCCAGGCCCCCCCTGGTGCGAGAACCAAAAAGGCTTGGCAGCAGCAGCAGCCTGGCCAGCATTGCTGAGTCAGCGGAAGAGGCGCTTGCAGAGAGTGGTGACATCAGCGATGATGCGGCGTCTTCGAAGGGGTCCTCCCCGCTGGAAGGTTCACTTTCAGAGGCCTCGTTGAACTCTGGTGGTGAGGGGCATTCACATCCAGAGCTACAGCAGCAGAGAATGGGTGTGAACAAGTTTGGGGGGGATCAGCAAGCAGACAATTTGGGGGGGGCCATGGAGGATCCTGTTGCAGATGGGGAGTTGGCATGCGAGGAAGAAGAGCTTGAAACTGACGACGAAGATGTGCTGGATATGCTGGGGTTGGAGGACGTGGCGGGAGGGAACTTCGCAGATGGTGAGCTCAATCTTTACGTCGTAAATGTGTAAAGCACCTTTTTAAGATTGTTACAAGAGGCCCAGAGCTATGCCAATTTGTAGCAGGCCCTTATCTTATCAGCTGCCCTTGTGATTACAAGCCCTTTGGTTCACTAATGGCGCTACTGACTTGATGTACTGCCAGAAAGGAATCCACCATCAAGAGTACTCGACATCACAATACAGCAAGAAATATCAGTCTTTTTGAAAGCTTTTACTAAAGCACCTGAATCTACTTGGAAAATCATAAAATGCTGGCAGTCACCATGTTGCTCGCCTTTCCATTCGCCGCTCCGCCTGTTCATTTGCAAGTTCTTCACTGTGGCAGTTTTTTCATCTACCTGGGACCTGAACCTTTTGTCTGCAAAGTGCAAAACTCAGCTCACCGATAGCAATATCAACTCCTCAAATGCAGACAAGCCTGGGCTTGCAACACTCAAGGTCCTGCCACCACTAGGGAAGGGATTGCCTCCCTTGAACCCCCTCGCTAGGCCTCCTTTCCGTCCGACCCCCCTTTTTGCCGGAGCCCCATCACTGATGGCTCCAACAACGGTTCTGCAAGACCTTCAGCCCAGCCTCAGAAAGGGGTCTCTGGGTGCTGAAAGCTGGGAAGAAGATCTCATGTTGACAGCTGGCAAGTCAATGAAGACAGCTGTCGAAACATCAGCAATCGATAATAGCAACAGTCTTTGGAGTCAGACAGCTGGAGAAGGCTCGTTGGGAACCCCAGTAAGGGAAGCAAATGCCCCAGCTGCCTCTGGTAGCAAACGGAGCGAGAGTCTGAGTGACTTGGAAGGGAACAGTTCCGTTGGGCGTTTGAGCTCTCTGGGGGAGGAGGTTGCCTCAGAAGATGACGAAGTGGAAGGCGGTCTGTCAGGCGAGGAGTCGCCGCAAGGGGTAAAGCTGAGTGTAGGGAAGAGTGAAGGCAGCAAAACGAAGCAGGAGTCGAAGGGGGTTAGTGGTGGAGAGGAGTCAGGGGATCCCGTTGGGGGTAGTTTTGAAGGTGAGGGACTCGAAGGCGAAGCAACCGAAGGTGGCAGCATGGAAGATGAGGAGTTAGAGGAGGGACTGGATGAGAGGGAGGATCACAGCTTTGAGAACGGTGAATCTGGTCTGGCGGCCGAGTCTGACGGAGTTGAGGAGGGCGAACTAGTTGAGGGGGGAGCAATTGGGGAAGACAGGTCCGAGCTAGACGAAGGCGGGTCCGAAAACGGGTTTGGCGAAGAAGGGGCAGACGAAGACGGCGAGGGGTTGGAAGAAGAGTTGGACGAAGATGGTCCAATTCCGGATGGGATTGAAGCGTTGGAGCTTCAAGCGCAGGGCTCGTCAGATTCGGGGAAGCTGGGTGGGGTGAGTAAGGGGGCAAAGGTATGGCCGTCTGCTTTCCAGTTGCCAGTCCTGACACACGCTCCTGAGCGAAGCTTTCCGGAGGGTTGGCGGGCCGGAGTGGTGTCAAGAATGGGCGAGGAGCAGCCGGCTGTCGTGGAGAAGAAAGTGGAGGTCGACGGGCCGATTTTAGGCGGATCGGTTCTATCAGCACGGAAAATTGGGGAAGAGATGGACCAGAGCATCGGACGGCCACCACTGATTGCGGGGACAGGTGGCGCGCTGGCGTTACTCGAGCGGAAGTTCGCGCAAGAGAAGCTGTTGGAGCTGCTGAGCGCGACACGGCAAGATGCGGACAAAGGCAGCGAAACGGCGGAGATATTCGAAGACGAGAACGAGAGTGGGCTCAACAATCCCTCGCCAGGGCTTGACTGGGGAGCTATTGGTCGTGATGCACCTGTTTCAGTTTCCACTACAATAAGCAGAATAGGAGCAACCCCCTTGGCGGCAGAGCCAAGCTTGGAAAAGGTCAACTTCCAGTCGGGTCGGGGCTTTGGACCGTCCAAGAGCGTTTCGGACGATCCTTCAGAGGTCCCAGAGAAGTTAGAAGTTCTGGAAACTTTGATGGGCTCGCTGAAGGAGCCGGGGGGGGCCACTAATGCCGGAGTGAGCGACGTGGGCAGCTCCGTTTCCGTTCCGCTCTCCGTTCCCGGATTGGGGAATCTCAGCAGCACACAAAACGGTCTTCAAGAACCGGCAGGTCAGGAGAGGAACCCCGATCCGCACAACCAGAATGGTGTCGCAACTTCGGTGGTCCCCATCGGAAAATACCTCACCCCGATTAGCCCTGGATTAATTCTACCTGTGCTCAATCCGCTGAGCGAACGGAACACTAGCGGAACGGAAGCCAGCGCGTCCAGGACAGCCACACGGGTTTCTGAGAGCGGCAAAACCAGGGCAGGGATTGATCGGTCAGGGAGCCCGCTTCTTCAGCCAGAGGGGTTGCTGGGCTTGGCTCCAAAGTCCCCTCAAGCCGAAACAGCGTCAGCAGAGCGTCAGGCGCTGATGCATTTCCAGCGGGTTGAGAGCAGGAACAATAAAGCGGACTGCAATACGGAGGCCGGTTCCCAACTGGAGGATTCCGTTGAGAAAGCGGTCGGAGAAGTGGGAGGAAGCGTTGGGTCGTCAGGAGCGGCGGGAATGTCTGGTGAGGATTCAGACGGGTCAGGAAACGGGGCGGATTCAGCTGGTTTAAGGGGCCGGAAGGATGACGAAGGCTTTGTAAAAAACAGCGATGGGTTGGAAAACGGCAAAAGGGAAGACAGCTCGCCAGGTGTTAGTCGAAGTAACAAGGAGAAAGACCTAGACGTGGGCTGCCCTGTTTCTTCTGGAGGGGACTTGCGGAGCGCCCAGGGTCCACGTGTCGCTCTGCGGAGCACAGAAACCGCAGAGACGCCGGGCGGTTCTAGCGAGACGCAGCGGATTGCGGACACGTGGAGCGGGGGGAAGCCGTGCGGATTACGGCGGGAAGAAACTGAGGCAGTGTCAACTAGAAGCGGCGGCGAAAGCGGAGAAAAGGGGCTGGCCGTTTCTGAAAAGGCAACAAGCAGCCACGCAATAGACATTTCGGAAGGGATCCCTCTCGCGGAGGGCCAAGCCGTGAATGAAAGAGCCGGCAGCGCATTTGTAATGGCGCCTCTGGAGGGGTTGAGATTCTCGTCGCCACCAGAGGCCCTGTCCGGCGAGCCGTTGGCTGGGGCGAAACACTCGAACTCCAGCTCTTCTGCCAGTCAAAAGGGCCTTTCTTCGACGGCTGCGGTTCCGCAAACTTTAGCCTCTCTCTTTCACAGGCATGTCACCGCCTCGAATCTACAGCCCGAGAACTCTGCAAGCCCTTCTCCGTTGAAGAGTACTGCGTCCCAATCTGATCGAGGGGCGACCATGATGGCTTCAGATTACGTCGGCGGTCGCCCTAGCTCGAGCAGGGCTGGGGGAATCTCCGTAAAAAGCAGCGAGTCACCAACGGAGGACGTTCAGCCGGTCCAAATAGCGACGGCGGAGAAAGCGGGCGCCTCTGAGGCAAAGGATGGAGTCTTTCCTAGTGCGCTTCAGCAGAAGGGGGGCCAGTCAAAGGTGGCTCCAACGGGGAAGAAAAGGGATGAGGAACGTCGAGGTAGCTTATGGGGGAGCCGCATTAAAGACGAGTGCTCGGGGGAAAGTGACCGAGGAAACGTAAGCGGTTCGTCGAGGCGTCCAAGGAAAGAAGCTGGGCCCGGGGAATGTTCCACCGAGGGAAGCACGGAGAATCGAGACGTCAGCGAGTCGTCTAACGGCGGAAGCGTCAGCCCGCGGGAGGACCTGAAGCGAACGGACCGGGCTGCTGACGTCGTCCCCCGCAGTGTCGCTGACGTCGGTAACCACAGAGCGCCAGCGCAGCTCCGGGCGAGCTGCAGAGCCGAGCCTCGTGAGGTGGGCCGGCGCCCGGAAAACGACGTCAGTAGAAGCGGCAGGGCTCGAGATGACGTCGGCAGGCATCGTCTGTGGGGGGAGGCGGACGAGAATGCTGACGTGGGCGATTCTGATTTCGGGGGAAGGCTTTTGAGTCGAGAGATCCGCGAGTTGAGGAAGATCCAGGAAGCGCGGAGAGCGGCGGAGAAGGAGCGGCTAGGAGCGGCGGTCAGTGCGCTGCAGGAGTGGAAGACCGCAAACGGCGGGGTAGGTTTCCTCTTCGCTGTTCCTTTTCACCGGTATGTATTCCCTTGCTTCAGGACTAGAAGAACGCAATCGGCGGGGTAAAGTTTCTCGTTGCTGTTCCGTTTTCGTTCCTTTTCCGTTCCTTTTTCCGGTGGATTTCCCTTGGTTCAGGAGTGGAAGACCACAAACGGTGGAGTATCTTTTCAGCTTCTTGTTCCTCTTTCTTTCATCTTCCGTTCCTTTTCCGTTTCCTTTCCCCTTCCTTCAGGGGGAAAGAATGCAAAAGGCAGTGAAAACTCCGCTTGCTCTCCTATCGCTCGTTCTGGCTATGCACTTCGGGACCCGAAGAGGCGGTCAGATTGAACAGCGCAATCTTGGCATCAATCATTGCTGACCGAAAGATAGCTAGCACTTCGTCTAGCGTGCTCAAAAGTGGCTCGTGACCGGCTGTCGAAACAATCAGCGCGCGCGTGCGATCGTGCTTGCTCCTTCTTGCTGGATCCTCCCTTAGCATCATCACAACATTTTGGAAGTTGAAACGATCACTATATGCCAGCTTTCAGCCTTTTTGCCGCTTGTACTTTGCAAAAGTTGTTCGATTTGCTCTTATTTGTATCTAATTCGACAACAAGAGACAATCTAAAGAAAAAATTGCTTTCAGAGAAGCACAAAGGTTCTTCTTTCGAACAATGCCGTGGCTAAAACGAATCGTATTGGTACTACAGGCGGGCACCTCGAACGGCAATGAACGCCGCCGAAGCTCCCAGCGCAAGGCGGTCAAGCGTGGCCACGTCATCTCTGACGTCAGCTCCGAGTTCAGCTTCGAAAGCCCGATCCAAAGCGACGCCCCGATCCGGAGAATGCTCCATGCGCCGCCGTTAGCTGAGCCGCGGGGTTTGGAGGTTTCGAGGGCCGCGGAGAGGGCGGCCGCGGACGCGCTCGAGAGCGCCCACGTGGCGACGTCCCGCGCGGCCGAACTGGAGCAGGCGCTCGCGCGCAAGGAGCGCGAGGTCGCGCGGCTGGCGCGCGTCGCAGAAGGCTTTAGCAGGGGCGCCGGCGCGGCCGAGCGCGCGCTGCAGGCGGAGGTGGCGGAGATGGCGCGCGAGCGGGACGGGGCGCTGCAGGAGAGGAAGGCACTTCTGGAGCAGGTGCGTCTGACTGAGTCACCATTTGCTTATTATACCTCTGCCGTTGGAGAGAATTCACAGCATCGTTTTCTAGATCAGGCATACTTAGCTCAAGTTACAGTACTGGGATGGGTAGAGTTAGTATGGGGGTTAGGGTGGATACGGGTGCGGAGCGGGTGATATTTGGGTTTAGGTTTTCAGATTAGCTTCGTTTCTACTAGAACTTGAGCTTACCATGATTTTTCTAGAAAGGTATGATAAGATCTCCCGTTTTCTCGGAGTTGAAGTAGGGTCCATCTCTCCTCGACCTTCTTTACCTATTATGCGCTCACCATGATACCCTTCCTTGCGGTTGTGAGCTTAGCGACACTGGATTACTCTCTGAACTCCCTGCTGGAGACGATCCGGTTCCAACTGCCTTGAATCTCGCCCGGTCGAAGGCCTTTTCGTGAAGTCTATTTACAGCTTTGATAGCCGATTTCGTCGCGGTCAGAAAAGTGGACGGGTCGGTATGCGCGCGGGCCTGATCATGTGCTCTCCTTGTTATATCATCAAAATTAACAGATATTATTTTAGAAAGTGTGGAGATCTAAGAAATTTCTCACATGTTGAAAATCTTCACAACCTTTCCTTGTTCCACAGCTGGCAAGAAGGGACCGACAGCTGACAGAACGCTGCGACGAGGTGGATCGGCTCAAGTCGGCCTTTGCCAAACTGGCGGACCAGCGCGCGGCGGAGAGCGCGCGCGCAGAGGACGCCGCAAGGGCGCGCGAGGTGCGCGTCCGCGAGCTGGAGGAGGGTTTGAGGGTTTCGGAGAGGCTCAGGGCCGAGGCGGAGGTGAGAACGGACAGAATGTGTAAGCTGTTGCTTTAAAAATTCTGCACTATGACGGCTTTAAGGAAGTACTTGGGAAACTTTGCCTGACCCTCAAGTCGCTTTTGGAAGTCAAGTTTGAAATTTGATTTTCACTTTCCTTACCACCATATTCAGCAGGTTTTTAGCAGATTGTCAAAAAGACATCGGCCAATTTCTATGGCCAGACACCTCTAAGAAGCAAAATATATTTGCGACTCTTCCCCGTGCCCAATTTGACAGCACCATCTTAAACAAGGTTGCATTGCCAGCGCATCCCTACTTCCTTTGTTGATCTTTCCTGCTGTTCTCACCTGTCGCCGGTGACGAGATTTAGCGAACTTCCGGCATTAAAATGAGTTCAGCTGGCTTTGCGGTTCCTTACTCTCCAGACTCTTGACACCTCCTCTTAGTCAACTCTGTTCCACCCTTCAGGTTGAGATGCGAACACATCAGGAGCGTCAATCGCACTTTACCGCAGAGAGGAAGCGCCTTTCGGACGCCCTGACGGCCTCCCAAGCGTCCGAACAAGGCCTCGTCCAAAAGTTGGACGCTCTGCAGTCGCGGCTTTCGGACGCTCTCTCCGCCGCACGGGCGTCCGAACAGGGCCTCGTCCAAAAGCTGGACGTCCTGCAGTCGCGGATAGACGCCTCGTCAGAAACTAGGTTACGGGCGTCCGAAGCTGCTAACACAGCCTTAACCCAGAAAGTGGAGGGTTTGCTGACCAAGATCTCGGCGCTGGAGGCGGAGCTGCGGCACGTGGCGCGCCCGAGAGCTCGCCGCGTGGCACCTGCAGAGGATGTTGCAAATAGGGCGACCCTGAAAGAGCAGGAAGAGTCGGTAGAGTCGCCAAAAAGCGTGAGCGGTCTGCTGAGCGACGGAGAGGAAGAGCCGCTAACAGGAAATCTGGAACAAAGCCGCGTATCGAAAACGGTCAAGTGGCCCAAACCCGGTCAGTTGGCGGCCTCCAATCCGCAAACGACGCACGCAGAAGAAAGCCCTGAGCAGAGTGCAAGTCAAGAAGAGCCGCTTACTGAGACATCGGGTCGTAGGGCCTCGACTGAGTGGAACGAGCGACTGGTGCAGTCTGACGGGGAGGGTCAGGTGGGGGGAAGAAGCGGAAACAGGGCCTCCGGCGAAAAGGTGGCGGAATTAGAACGGGAAGTGAAACAACTGAGAGGGGCGCTCAACGTCGCCAAGGAGGGGCAACAGGTAGGGTCCTAAGCCGTGATTTCACCTGCAAAGTTTGTAATCAGACTCTTTGCGCTGAGTGATGCGTAACGGGCAAGGCGCAGCTTTTTCTTGTTTGTGAATTTGAAACGGCCGCAGCGTTCCCTTTCTCCTCGCCTGAATGGTTCAATACCTTTGGAACCTTCAGACGCTGTCGATTGACGATGTATAACAGAACATCCTCTGTCACGGTACACGTCAGAGATCGAGGTCAGGGAATTGCTACGTTCTAGGCATCACTGGCTTTCACAACATACACAGTGTCTATTTTACGAGATCAGCAGAATGATCACCCTGTCAGAGTCCCAATAAGATTTTGGGTTCGGTTGCGGAAGCCAGCGTTGAGTCATTTGGACAGACCGCTTGCGAAGTTCCTTTACTTGCCTTAGTCAACCGGATTATGCTATCCACAGGCAGAACCCTTGCAGAATTCTCTGACTTGGGTTATTTGACTAACCTACCGGTCATCAAGTCCGCAGGTGGCCTGGAACAAGTACGCGGCTCTGTTGCGAAATTTGCGAAAGTGGATGGAGGGTCGCCGTTACACTGCCAAGACCACCGCCATTAAATTCCCTGGTTTATTGACTAACCATCCTGGTTATGCTGTCCGCAGGCGGGTCGTGGCAAGTACGCGGCTCTGCTGCGAAACCTGCGGACCTGGATGGAGGGTCGCCGTTACATGGCCAAGACGGCCCCCCAGTTGACCGCTCTGATTCCGCTGCTGGCCTGGCGGAACCTACCGGCCGAAACCAACCGGATGCGGGCGCGGTGGCACCATCTGGCGGAGGGCCTGTGCGCGGAGGTGAGAATGGGCTCTTGGTGCGAAAGGCTCTCAGTGCAGATGGGCTCTTGGTGCGACTGCGCTCCTGGTGTGAATAAGCTATTGGTGTGAATAGGCTCTTGGTGTGAGTGGGCTCTTGTTGCGACTGGAATGGGAAACCAAGAATCCAAAGGATTCTGCACGGCTGGTGGGAATAAGCAATCGGTACAAGCATGTAAGCAAGCATATTGAGCGAGCACTCTTTCCCAAGCCCTGACCTAGTCGCCAGCAAAATCTTTTTTGCTCATCCAAACGTTGAGGTGGGAGACGGGAGTCAGTCTCGGAGAGAGGAACTACTTTGCGGCCTATGTCAGAGCATCTCGAAGTCAATCAGCCAAGAATCTGAATTTTAGCGGAACAGAATCAACATCGTTGACGGTACCATCCGGCCGTGCGGCAAAATATCTTTGGAACGTTTCGTCCTTCTGACAAGCTCACCGAACGGTCTTTTCGTCTTGGAATTACAATATGTCGGCTTCCACGACCCGGCCTGCTGATGGAGCCGGGCTCGTGTGGCCGACACCTGGACATTGATGGACTTTTTATGCTTGCACGAGCAGCAATTCAAGCGAGCCCCTCTTTGTCGTCAGGGGCCGAATCATTTCGCTCCATGTTTCGCCCGACTGATCCTCGGCTTTGCTTCTGCAGAACGCCGAGTCTCCACAGCGCCAGTCGTTCGTTTCGCGGATGTCACGCTTACGTCACCACCGGCGCTGCCTGAGCGCCCACGTGGACCGCCAGTCGCTGCTCGCCGCGCTCCGCGTTTGGCGTGCGGAAGTGACGAGCGGAGAAGCGCGCGCGGCCGGTGAGCGCGCGCGCGCGCGCGAGGAGGAGCTCGAGCGCATCACGTGCGCGCTACCCTGGTGGGTGCGGCGCGTGAGCGAGCGCGCGGCGCTCGCGCGCTTCTTCCTGCACTGGCGGCTGGCGGGCGTGACGGGAAAGCGCCAGGGTTTGGAGGTTCTGCAGAGAGAGAGCGAGCCGGAGGCGGATCCCGGTCACCGGAAGTCTCTGGAAGAGCATCCGCGGAAGAGGAATTCCGCTGAAGAAATGAGCTTTGTGGAAGTTCCAAGGGATATAAAGGCAGCTTCTATGGCGGAAAGCGGAGCTCCGGCGGAAGAGCTCAACGGAATGCTGGGCGCGGACGGAGGAGACGCAATCCAGGTTGAGCTGCGGGCCATACGGGAGATGGTGCAAGAGCGGCTGCTGGAGCTGAGTCAACATGACGTAAGCAGAAGCCTGCTTAACTTTTGCATCACCTTTCTGTAGAAAAGAACGAACGGGATCCAGCAAACATACTTTCGGGATTTCCACAATGCTCGACTTAATCAACAGACAGGAAGAAGAAAGCACTTTCGAGCCGGACGCGTTGATGAGTGCTTGCCTTTCTGATAAGTTTGCAGTCGGTGTTTAGCGCAGACAGATCTTGCCACGCTTTCTCGAAGTAGGAAGACGTCCCCGCGTCACCTTGTGTTCGCAAGGGCCATCAGTGCACCTCCTATGACGAAGTCTTGGATGCCGTGGTTTAAAGTCGCGCTCGAAAGCCAACACGCGCCTCAGGATCCAACTTAGCTTCCCTCAGGAAGCCAGCGATTTCGTGTCAGGTTTCCTGGCGCATAAATTCAAGCAGGAACGTGCGACAGCTCCTGGGAAAGCAAAAGTTCGGACCAAAGCGCACAGCGGTAAATCGTCATATCCATTCGCAGGAGCTTTCAACGGACGTCCCCGAAAAGAGGCCGGGGTGCGCCCAGAAAGCGTCTGTCTCGGACGGCTTGCACATGTGCCAGAGCCAAAAAGACGTCATTCAGCACCTCATAACCATCCTGACGGACCTGCAAGACCGGGCCACCGGCGGTGTAACGCCCGCGGCAGCGTCCGCAGGAGCGTTACAGACACCAGTGCGGGATGATGAAACGACCCCTGAGATGGAGATGAAGAAAGAAAACGAAACCGGAAGCTTTGGATCGAGGCTAGCGCAAGGCCACGTTGAAGAGGAAGAGAGAAACGTTAAAATCTCGTCCGAGGAAAGGGCGGACGATGCAGCGCGTGTCGAGGTCAAAGTAATAGATTCTGCCAGGCAGAGTGCTGCCGAGCAAAGAGGGGGCGGTAGAGAGAAAGGTATTGAGTTAAATGCAACGCATACTCGCCGGCGGATATTGCGGGGGACGTCGAGGTTGAGCGGGAAAGGAAGAACAAGACACTGGGCACCTTAACGAAGAGACTGGGAGAGGATTCGCTCACATGAAAGATGAATCGGATCCTCGAATCCTATAGTGTCCAGAACGTGCACAAATCTGATTGTTTGGTTAATTGTGTACGCTGTCCTATTGGCAGAAACGACGTCATAAGAAATTCATCGCCATGCCAATGAGGAGTCCCTACGCTACGGCTCGGATGCCGCTGGGACATCACGCACGATCAATTTCTCACGTCTGCATCCTGGCATAGGTCTTTCTATCATGTTATTACTTGATTATAGCCAGGCTGCTTTTCAAAGTTGAGGTTAGTTTTTTAGTGCTACGAGCTACACTCACGAGCTCGCTCGGATCCCTTGCAACCGAAGAAGTTATGAATAACGTTCCTAGAGCCGACAATCAGCTGCAGCATTTGCCAATGATCAGCAAGCTGAAAGAGATGTGCCAGCCACCGCCAGGCCCGGCCCAGAATGAAAACTATAGCCTTCAGATCCGAATGTCTCACTTAGATCTGCGTTTACATCGTGTTGTTGTGGAAGCCAATCCAAACCTGGTCGGCGACTTTTGAGAGCCAAGTATAATAGACCGCAATACCGCATACTTCAGCATCAGGTATGTATTGCCATGGTACTCTTGTTTGGCGTGTACGTTCAATGCGGATCCAAGTTTACTGGATAGAAGCAAGGGCTCGCTCTTCATGCACTTGGCCGGTCTGCTCAGATCGGACTGTTGAACGGGATCATTGATCTGGCGTATCCGTAACTCTTGCCAACCTGTTCATGCAGGCTGCCCTCCCCAGTCACCTATTGAGAGGGATCCCTTTGCTGATGTTGCGAACTTCCCACCCTCTCGTCTTTCTGCTGAATCTGGACCGTAAGGTACGGGGCACCAAGATCTTGACCGTCGAGAGTTGCATCAAGCAAGCAACGAGCCAATGAAAGTGGCCGAATCTGGCGCCAAGGTTTGAAATTGGAAACTCATACAGATCCGATGCAAACTGTGCATCTGCTAACTTAGGTATGAAACAGTCCAGCAGGATTCTAGCCTGAGAGTCCAGGCTGGAGGTGCATTGCTTTCAAGTGTCTGCTTGTTAAAGGCGGACAGAAGCAGACTTCGGAGCAGCTCCTCAAATCAAGCCGGTAAGAGTAATTGGTCTCGCCGGTGTGGTCTCGCTCGTCTTGTAGTTGTGGCGGCACTGCCAAGCAGGTTCGATGATGGCTTCTGGCGGAACAAAGAGGCCTCTGGAGGAGCAGACTCCCTCCCAGGCGAATGCCATTGCCCCACCAGAAGCAAAGAAAGGGCGTAAACCCGAAGAAATCAAGCTGCAACCAATCAAGAAGAGCTTGAATGATCGAGTGAAGAGACTGGCCAAGATGGTGGACCTTGACTGGCATGATGGTAAGACAGCTTTGGTTCATTTTCTTTCAGGCTGATCTAGTAGAGCCGTAAGAAGCAAAACTTCAGGCTTTACTGCACAGCTCGGCAAAAAAACATTCTGAAAGACTTCAATGGCATGGGTGGACTTATAAGTGTTGCCTACAGTAGCCATAATCAAAGAGCTAGGAAGAGCTTCTCACAGTATGATTTAGGGTTGCTCCGCTGCCAAAAGCAGGCACATGTGAGTTCTAGCAAAGTTGCGATATCAGGACTGCTCTCTCAAAACTTCAAATCCGTAGATGATGAACGTGAAGCATGTCAATCTGCACATATGCTCAGACTTTCTGATTCTTCCTCAAGCGCCAGTTCATTGATACTGGCTTGGCAGTAGAAGAGGCAAGCTTACTTCACAGTTAGCCTCAAGTGTGTGATTCCTCAACAGTATTTTTTGGTTGGTGTGTCTTGCTCTCTTGAAAGGTTGGCTTGGGTCGGACACTAAGACTCAAGAATTGACATCTGAGCAGCCTGAAAGTCTGAAATTGTTGATCATGATTGCAGGTTGGCCGGAGCAGGAAGAGGAGCTGGGAGAGTATCTGAGCAATCTGGATGTGAGCTACCTTTGAAGTTATTATCCAGTGCTGCGCAGAGATTGAAGTGGCTCTGATCTGAGGTTTCGCAGCGTTGCTTTCCTCAAGTCAGGGCAAACATGAGCCTTTTTGCTTCCAATAGGTACTGCTTGGCTTTACAGAGGTTGTCTCTAAGCAAGAAGTTTTCTGTACAGGCACACTTTCAATCAGTCTACAACTTCGGAGTTACGATGAACACGAATCATGGTGACTGCCACAAAATTCTGCTCATAATAGCTGACACGTGGGTAAGTACCAGACCACTCTTTTTATATTTCTTATAAGGTCAGTCTGAGTTGCTTGAACACTTTGGATCTCTGCTCTCTTGCTCGCTCTTTTCGAACTTCGGCGAATGATCCTGCACTTCGATTGCACTTTATATAAATCTGAGCAACATGTCAATCGCACTGTTTTAAATGTACAGCTTCTCTTTACAGGAAAACATGAAGACCATCCCAATGCGCGGTACAATTGAGTGCGTAGTTAAATCCAATGGTAAGAACTAAGAAGGCAAGCAGGCCAGACTCTAGCATCACTGCAGTCAATGTTCATTCCTCTCAACGTCATGCAAATATTCTTGGTCTTTGTTTGCAGCCCTGATGTTTGACATTCTCCTGTGTATTGCTCATCCCTTTCTGGATGAATGTACTCCTCATATTTGGTCACAGCCACCCTCTGCTATGTTTGAAGTGAACGCCCGAAACGCCACTTGTTTTGTCTGGAAGCCTGAACGGACTCTCCTGCTGCTCAGACACTGACCCGATCATGATTTACCTCGCCAACTGGGGCAAGGACAAGTGGAAGACTTTCTGGGGGTCACCCGAGGGCCCTCTCGGCTACATGTGGAGGTTGCTCCTGCAGAGCGCTGCTGGCAATCCAAGAATAAAAGACGAGAAACTACTCCAGTACATCAAGGATGCAACTGGTACGCGCTTGATTTGCAAACAACACTCAAAGCTTGTCAGTCAGAATTGTCGAGATGCTAGAAACGTCGTATGCAGATTTTCCTGTTAGCTCCTCCTAGACTTTTTCAAGCGCTCATCTTGCTGCTAGTGGTAGAAGCTCGTAGACGCAGTCGGTGGCACAGAAAAGTGGTACTTTATCGTCGTGTCATGTTTTCTGTGGGGATTGTCTTGACCATCTGGAGTGTGTCTTGAAAGGAGCTAACTCGAGCTTAGTTCGCCCGTCTCTATGCTTGATCTTGAAGCCGGAACCTAATACGGATGCCAACTCCCCGATAAGTTCTCAGTAAACTAGATCGCTCAGGGTCTTGACGGCTTCATCCAAATGCCTTAAGGGTACATGATCTGCTGCGCTTTGAGATCCACTACGTTGGAAAAGATAACAATCTGGAAAAGCAGCAGCCGAGTAAAGAAGCTGAGGACGTAAGACTCCTCCGATTCTTGCAGATTACAACGTCGACCTTTTTAATAAGTCGCAGCCGGATGATGACGAAGGGCAGCTTGTGATCACGGAGGTCGACGCGCACATGAAAGCGGGCCTGGAGCGTCTGAAGCTGCTGCATGCTCAGGATCACAGGTGGAAGAGCCTGCCAACTCACAAGAAGGTAAACAAATGTTCTTTTAGAGGTCCCATCGAAGTATGTACTTTCTTGCAGAGGGCTTACCAGCCAGTGTCCCATTTGATTACGTGACGAGGTTAGCTGCTCAGGTTGACTGAAGAATACGCTTCTCCTTTGCTACTCGGTTCATTTAAAGAACCCCTCGGTCTCTTCTCAACAAGGCTCAAATATTATGGAACAAAGAGCGTAAGACGTCATCTTCGGATTGATGCCCTGAGCTGTCCGAGTCTGTCCAGTACATCAAAGCTCGCGAATCTACTCCATTTCTGCCCCAGTCTCGCGCTTCAAGCAGTGCTCAAAAGGGCAAGTTCATGTGACCTGACAAATCCAGTCAGCCACGCCTTCAAACGGCGAGTGCATGCTAAATACAAAATGCGTTGCTGTTCAGGGTAAAACTGAATCATCGTCGTTTCATGCAGCTGTCGATTTTGAGTAGATAAGGAGAAAGCCTCGATTTCATTTACTGCAAGCTGCTTCAGCTCTTTCACTGTCCCACCACTGAATGAGTGCTGTCTGTCGAATCTAGGTACACGAGGCGAGGATGATGATCGACCGTCGATGGGACGGGCCAAAGCATCTAAGGACCAGACCCTGTTCCGACTCTGACGACGACTACTGATTGCTGTATGCATGGACTGACCGGTGAGTTGTTTTGACAAGCTAGCTCCTAGACCTCATATTGCTTCCCGGCCTTGTTCGCAATCCAAAAAGCCTCGCAGTCGTATGTCGAGAGACGGAGCAATGAGATCCCTGTCGGCCCGGCATCATAACCTCACCGTTCAAAACCGTTCTTCTGTCACAGATTTTGTCTCCGATATCAAGGGGGTGTGCTTCTGGGTTAGATCAAAATATGTACATAACTGTAGTTCTCCCGCCGCTGGTGGATCCGTGATATTGAAGACGAAGGTGATAAAACATTCTTGCACAGACTCGGCAACGGGCATGGCATCTAAGAACTTTATAGTACATTGTCAATTGCATGACGTCTGAGGGTCTAAAATGTTCGTAGGCCTCGAAGCTTGTCATAGTAGACCTTCTGATTTGTATTATGAATAACTCTGGCCTGCTTTATGGCAAACAGTATAGATGGAAATGACCCTTCTGGTAGTCAGGAAAAGTTGATGCTGCAGAAGTTTATGTGAGCATATCAAGCGCTATTCTCCGTGTAAAACATTACCGGTATCCTGATTGACCTTCAAGTTGCAATAAGATTCTGAGTAGGAAAAGAGGCATAAGCGCAAATCAACCAAGTTTGAACCGATCAAAGTGCATGTCAGTGTTTCGCAGTTCCAAAATCCTCGTTGGCGACAGTACAACGAGATTATAGAAGATATGGCTTACAGAAGATTTGTATACTTGGAATTGGTTGCGGCTGAAAGTATGCAAATCGCCGAAACACGATTCAAGGTTCAAAAAGCATTGGTCACATCTCGATTACCTCGATATCGGAATACTGCAACATTAAAAGCGGTCAGCTCGAGAATCAAAAACGGCTCTCTAAAGACCCTCTCTAGTTGGCACTACATGCATGAGAATAGCATCTCCCAACAAAATCGCCAATTGTATTTTCTGAATGCTTTTCCATGTTGCCATCTTGCTACACGGACTCAGATGATGTACGTCTCACGAGCATGAAATGGGAGTAGCTACCCATATGCACCGGCCAAGGTCATGAGCAGCAAACAAATGCTGCATTGTTGAGCAATGGATGCGCAACAAAAGTTCAGAAGGGGCAGTCGCATGATAGAGTCGGAGGACCATGTTCTTTGGCCTAACACGTGGGTGCGGCACTTCTGTTGCAATTGAGCATTTGCCAGGCTCGCGCAGACGTTTGCCGGGAGTTTGCCGGGCTCGCCGGGATGAATATGCTCATGCATGATCACTCGAGTCGATTGACCTCGCGCCTCGTTCCCGGTCGAGATCGACATTTGTAAAGATCGAACCCGGGCTAGACTTAGTAGCGCCTGGGAACGAGCCTAGGCTACGCCGCGCGCCTGGGCCCTCATCCCCCGGCCCGAGCTAGCCTCCTCTTCATTACTGACTTTAGACGGTCGCCCCGGGCCCGCATGCACACTGACAATGATGTCATTGCCTTCAGCTAGAGTGATCATCTTCAATGTACAGTTTAATTTGAATCATACTAGTTACAGGGCAACTCAACCTCCGCCGTCCGATGTGCTAGGACTGCTTATCGTCGTCCTTCGCTCAAATTGGACCAATGAAAACCCTCGAATCTGGCGCGAAGGCAAGAAAGGGTTTGAACTTGAAGCCAAGCTCCCTAGCTGGTACCTATGCACCTATGTAGGTATACCGTATGTCCTATGGCAGCACAGATTTTTGACAAGGCAACCACTCAGTCTCGTGTGCTTGCGGCCTCTGCGCCTCGCCATTAATACGCATTGCTGAAGACAAGCAGAAGCAGCTGTCGAGCTGTCAGAACGGCCAGTGTGCTGCTTCCGCACATTGCGGCCGCTGAACCATCTGAGACACATATTTCCCAGAGCGGATTGCATCAACATGGCTCCAGTGGGAGCAAAGAGGCCGCTAGAGGAACAAACTGCCTCGAAGGCCAACGCAGCACCTGCAGCAAAGAAGGGGCGCAAACCCAAGGTGCCCGCGGAGATCAAGCTGCAGCCAATCAAGAAGACCTTGAACGGGCATGTCAAGACGCTGGCCAGAATGGTGAACCGCGATTGGCATGATGGTGAGCAACCTTTTTTCTATAAGTGCTGCTTCTCTGCAACAATTGCCTACCAAAAATGTCATGTGCAACAACTTTCTTTTGAGACCCCAACATTTGCAAGGTCCTTGATCATGATATGTTGAAATTCAAACTGGACGCAGAATGTGCAGTACCCGCATGACTGAAGTCTACAAGTGAATAAGACAACGGAAAATTTTGGCCACTATGTCCGTAGCTGAGTCAGAATTGTTGCCCTGGTAACTTAAGCTGGCAGTCACCAATGGTTTGATCTTACCCTGCTTCAAGTCCATCATCTTGCCTTGTCCGGCACTCGTTATTTCTCCAAAAAGTGGCACCCTGTTCGTGACAGGCTCCTCAACGATGAGCGATTGACCTGGCCATCTTTGTCTCAATCTGCAGGTTACGAGGAGCAGGGAGAAGAGCTTGCCGCATATCTGGGCAACTTGTCTGTAAGTGGTCATAAGCTCCAGCATTTCAAGTTCTTGTCAGCAATCAGATTGATATCCGTCTTGCCAGCTCTCAGATATCATGCAACTCATCATGACAAAAAACACTTGCAGGGCGTATGGCTTCATTGCAATGTGTACTTTATGGCAAGGTACAGAAGGCCACGGTGGTCCTCTTTTGGACGTCCAAGTAGACATGCACCTCCTGTGAAGTATCCTTTATCGGATCCATTGCCTCTGGACTCTGCCCACGATGATACCTCCAATCCCCAGCCCTAAGCAGTTGAGGAGTTCAGGCCAACTTTTGAGAGCAGCTCGGAAGGGGATCAGTGATAAGCTGTTCTGTACAATACCTTATCAACCACTCCAATCAGCACCTAATGTCCCCATACCTGTTCCTTGACCTGCAATGCGCTTCCAGAAACACACTTGGTGCCTCTGCATCACTTAACCAGGGGAACTTCTCGCTTACAGGCACCCCTTCAAGCAGTTTACGATGTCGGGATTGTGCAAAACACAGCGCATAGTGCCTGTCACGATGTCCTGATGTGCATTGCTGACACTTGGGTGAGCATGCAATCGAAGAAGCATCCTTGACGATGTGAGCAATCTATTGAGCTGGGAACTTTATTTCTCATTTGCTGTTCCATGACCTCTTCGAGTGCCTCAATTTGCTGGTTAAAGTCCATCACTTAAGTACACTCAGTCAGGAGCTTCAGTCAAAGTTAGTCCAAGCATTTGGTGCCTCCTTTGCAGGAGAACATGAAAAGCATCCCCGCGAGGTGCGACATTGAGGAGACCGCCAAAGAGATGGGTGAGCATCCATTTACAAGGCCAGCAGCTTTTCACAGTTGCACCGTTGTCAGTCCATCTTGGAAGATGCCATTCAAGCTTTCAAGCTTTCACACAGCTTTGCCACCGCTACAGTCCATGCTTTTTAATCAGGCAGTTTTCCTCCCTCCCTACGTTAGCAACTGCAGCATTCTCTTCTTGCAGCCTCCAAGCCTTACGGCTGAAAGTGGCTCATCAACAAGTACATCAGTATTTTCACAAAAAGTGATGTTCCTGATTGGATTGCTTGACTTGACAATGTTCTAGTTGGACATCAAGGCAGATGTTTCCCTTTAATAGGGCGCTCACCGGGTGCTAACCAGACCCACTCAGACCACGCATCCTCCTCCCTTCCAAGCACGACTAAGCTAGACTTGTTGAAGCCCCACCTGAGTTGCCGAGCTCCCTTGATGACCATCCACTAATCCTGATTGATCACACCTTTCTGGTTCATGATTATTGGCAATACATGATGGCTCAGGCAAACCAAGGGCTTGATCTCTTGTCTGTTGGCAAAGTCAACTAGATGGCTCAACTCTCTAGCAAGAAGGAAACCTTCGACCATTTCTCTGGGCCTACTCTTGTACAAAAGAAACCTTCAACAATTCTTCTGGGCCTTCTTTCGAACCACAAGGAAGCCTCTGATTGATGCTAGGCTTTCATTGTCACAGGGGGAAACGAGATCCAGATTGCTCTGACCAAGTGGGAAAAAGACGCGACGAAAACGTTCCAAGGGACGCCAGTGGACCCTCTTGCCTACATGTGGAGGCTCCTCCTGCATAGTGCCGCCGCAAATGCAGCGACAAAGGACGAAGATCTCTTGCAGTGGATCAAGGACGCAACTGGTACGTCACTACTTGCGAGGACTGGAGAATTAAGGCAGTGAACTTCAAGGCCTCAGGTGTGCAGAGGTTCCGTCAGGCATTGGAAGGTGCAGAGAGTTTGAGGAGGCGCTCTTAGTGCAACCGCTGAAGTCAACTTCTGAAGTTGAATAAACTACAGAGGCTGCGAGAAGTGATACAACGTGTGAGAGTGTGCCTCTTGGCTCACTCTGTCGCACATTCCTGGAGTGGTGGACGATGGAACGGTGGAGCCTTCCAGTCTATTGGTGGCTCGAACATAGGTCTTGGATCCTCACAGTCAGTACTGTCGGATGGCACGACCAGACTTATCAGTTGGCCATAGCTCAAGCCTGATCTCCTAATTTTGAACGCTATCTGATCGTTGGATTTCTTCGAAGAGCACTCTTCGTTGTTGACGCTTTGCTTACTGAGTGAGATTCATTGCGTCGGCTTTGATTACTCCCCCAAGAAGCGCTGGGAGGACACTGGAACCAACTACCTCCAAAAAGAGGTTTACCTCAGTATTCTGCTGCCAAGACGAGCACACCTAAATAGCGTTTTTTGAAACCGGAAGGATCTCAGTGGAGCAAGATAGGGACGGCTCAAGATTGCATTGCTCTCTGCAGACTACGGCGCCGACATTCTCGACGACCAGGAGCCAGATGACGACGAGGAAGAGCTCGTGATAGTCAATGTTGACAAGCACATGAAGGCGGGTCTGGACCGGCTGAAGCAGTTGCATGCGCAGGAGGACAAGTGGACGAGCCTGCCCACTCACAAGAAGGTGAACCCTGGCGCTCTGCTTTTCACTTTCTCCTCCTTTGTCTACTTTCTCATCTTGCCCTTCTTCCCCAACCCCAAAATGTCCAACTTTTAACGTCTATCGCAAGAGAGAACGCTAGCCAATGCGCTCTTTGCTTCTTCCGCAAATTGCATTCCGAAAGGCCTGCCCACCATTGCAGTGATAAGGTGTTGCTGTGTTACCGAACATCCTCCTCTACCATTCCTCCTTACCGGACCTGCTGTACGCACGTATTGGAAGCAGTGGTTCTTTGTCGTCTCACCTTCATTTCGAGTCCTCTTCGAGCCGGCCACCCAGCAGAAGCAGCAACAGCTCGTCTTATGATAAGATGCGCGGAAAAAGACTGATACTACGGTTGCATAACAAGTCACATCTTGCTTACCGCATCCACGGAGGTTGGTGAAGCCCTTCATAGCTGTGTAAATCTGCTGTGCTACACAAGACTGCCCGAAGTGTTTCGAACCAACGTTTTATCAAGCAAAGATTCTAAGCCTAGTAAAAAGAAAAAGTGAAGCATTCAGACCGTAGCGACGTCTGTGGAGAGGGCCGCGAGCCCAACAAGTTTTCTTCAGTCGGCCCATCACGGAATGGATAACAAACGAGAATTCTTGAATCATGCAAGACCGCCTTTAAGAGACCGATGCGGAAACGGTCCAGCATTGTTTTCGACGACACTTTGCAAAGGGCCTTTTGTCCGTTGAGTCTAGATTTCGATGATTGCAACCTGACTCATAGAGCACAATCAACCTCAACTTAACTGAAAACAGCTGGTCTTCTTTCCGTGCGCAGTTTGCTGAATTTTGGCCAGGCAACAGCAGAGGCAGCGCTTCACAAAAACCTGGCGCTTCAACCACGACCGACACTTTTATCCCCGAAGGATCTTCGCCCCTCACTTCGATTCAATTAGATCCTGGACCCGCCCGGAGACCGTCAGACAGATGTTTGTAACGCCTACAATCCGTCAGAACAACTTTGTCAACCCCCTCAGTCCGTCAAACCGAAACCATTTAAACGTTGTAGTGTCGTTCTTCCAGGTGCACAAGACGAAGCGGGCGATCGACCGACGTTTTGACGGGCCGAAGCACATGCGGACTAGGGACTACTCCGATGACGAGTTCGGCTTTTGGTAGTCAACTGATTCGGTCAACTAAAAGGTGAGACAACGGCAGCAAGTCGGTAATGACCCCTCAGTTACGGTTGGGTAGGGTGAGACGATGAAGTCTGTTTGGAGATGTTACCCCCATCTGCTTCATTGTCTAGTTGCCTCAAGACTGACTTTAATCAGGTCGTTTGGGATCATCCTGGTCAACTATGGTTATTGCTGATAACATCTGCTTATGCTTGACTTCACGACCGGTGTACTTGTTGGCGAGCTCAGCTCCAATGGTGTAGCGTTCGTTTGGGTCTACGTCCCGTTCATGTCCTTGAACTTGTGGATCCTGTCCTTTTTGATGCCATGGGCTCTAAACACAAATGCCGTTTCCTACCTTTTTCAGGTCCGCATGCAAAATGATACGACGCCTGGCAACCGCGTCAAGAGATTTCCTGCATATATGTAACCGCCACCAGTGAATCAAACATCACTTGCTAAAAAGGTGGCAGTACCGCTGTAGGGTAAGGTGTCGGTCAACTGTTCTAATGCTGCAAGCCTTCGCAGCCCAGTTGTGTCGACGAGAGAAGCTGTCAAACGCAGGTCGCTTTGTCAAGTGAAAGCATTCTGCGTGGTTTTCCAGCAGAGATGAGTCTGGTTGAGCACTAGTTTTAGTCGAGCTAGGACCATGGTACTTCAGTCGGTTACAAGGTAGTAAAGCGGCTACATGTAGCAGGGCGTCCTGTCACGATCTCTAAAGTTCCTGCAGTTGCTTTGTATAGAGTATGCAAAGTCTGTGCTTTGACATGCTTACTACATCATTGTGCAAGGCTGACAAATGACCATGTCTTCATCTGCCAATGTACAACCTTTTGTTGATCTTGGGTTTGTGTGCATGCCTTGAAAACCAGAACCGAGCGCGCTGTTGCAGATGCACGAGTTTTCAAGATGTCCAGGGAAAATGATCTGAAGAAACATGGATGAGTACATGTACAAAATCTGTCAGACAACTTGGAATGTCATGCTCTTAAATCAGCGGGTTAATAATGTACTTTTTTTGAATTGTTCAACCTACACAGACTTTCCGTGTACCGCTATACAACTATTCAGAATTCTGTTTGACAGCATGCCACAGAGCAAGTGGCAACAGCTAGATTCCAACCCAGTTGTCCCTATGCCGAATCTCTGAATTACGCGTTTGACAAAATGCTAAAAACCCAACTCAATGATTACGTTACAGTACGTTGACAATGATGTACAACAGCATTTGGATCTACTGTTAGTACTAGATCTATGCGGACAATCAGGTGTTGGCCTGCCATATCATTAGAAGCAACAGCAACAACATATACACTCAAGGCACCAGCACAGGATCGTGACTGCGCCGATGACGAAAACGACTGCAATGATGATACCAATCCAAGCGCCCTTGGTAAGGGGCCCCCACTTGCCGCTGTCCGAGTCCGACGTTGACGTGCTCGACGTCGTACCGTCCGTCAGAGTCACCCCAGTTCCAGAGCTCTGCACATTCTCCGCCAACAATCTCCTTCCGCCCCCTGAAATCTCAACCTTCTCCAGCCCTTTCACCGGCCCCTGCTTGGAAAGGAGCTTTCTATTATGCCTCTGGAAGGGCCCCCTGAACAGCGCCAAAACCTCCTCCAAGAATTGCTCGCCCAAGTCCCCCGGTATACTCTCCTCCACCACGGCCGTCCGAATGTCGGACAGCGAGATGCGTCCGCTGAGGGAGTCGCTGTTTGAGCGAAGCAACGTGTCCGGAAACTGGGGGTCATACTCACGGACAGGGGGGACCTGGTTCTGGTGGAAGGCTAGACGGGGGAGCTCAGCGAAGACACTGACCACGTGTTCCAAGGTCAACTCTGCACCAGGAGACAATTACGACTTCAGAATTCTGGTTTTGCTGCGGTTAGGTTAATGGATGCAGCCACCTGGTTAAACAGCACCGAGATAGGTAACATCTTACTTTTAGTTACTGAAGTTCTGCTGATGTGACTTGCAGCTGTTAGAAGAGGGAGTGCTCTTCTGTGGCAGTGCCCCAAGACTTTGACTTTGACTTTGACCAACTATCGAGCTTTGACCCACCGCCTTTGCATAGGGCAAATTGATGTGGCAACTAGCACCACTAGCTGAAACAGCTGGAGCGTACGAAAGCTTAAAGAAGGGTTTGGAGATAGCTAATAGAACTTCTGATGGCTGGTCAGACTGCTGATCCTTGTTCAAGTTTATGTGGAAGGACTTGAAGTCCAAGAATCGACAAGAAGGCATCAAACTGAAGAGCAAGATGTGACTGGCTAGGCAGAGGGCTGGTCCCCAAACAACACTTTGGCCCTATCTGCTGACAACAGCATTGGGAACACAGGGCGCAGCTTAGGTCTCCCGTTCGGTACAAAGGACGGGCAATCCCCTTATGAACCCACCAACAACTGAAAATCCTCAGTGCACCATCATTTCATGCACAAAACATCCAGCTTCAATTCCTTATACACACGTCTCCGCTCCATGTCGACATCGCACTGAGAAACTGTGACGACAGCAGGCTTTTACCCAGGATAAATCAGAGTTGCGATAAAAGCAGGCAAACATGGTGCTCCCCACCTTTGACGTTCTCCTGCGCTAGTTGGTCCGCAATGAGGGCAAGGTCCGCATCGGCCACGTAAGGCTTTGCTTGTTTCCCAACTGGCTTGAAACCATCGTCTGCCTTTGCGGGCAACATAGTGGAGCTCAGGCAGAGAAGTGCGATGACGAGAAGCCATTTTGCCCTCTTCCTGGGAGAGGACCCCGTCCCTGGGGCCATAAGACCGGCCATCTTTACAGGTGAACAAATGCTGATTGCTTTGATGACTGCGAGAAAAGGAAAGGGCGTTCTGGAGGTCCCTGGAGCTCAAAATCAGCAGAGGTTTGGTTTCAGAGAAGGCTTTGATGGCTTCAAAGGCTTCTTCTGCAAGAAAAGGGGACCGCTACAGGAGACGTCCTGATCAACCTAGCTCGATCAAAGAATGCAGTGGAATTAAAGCTCCAAGAGTTTCCAATGCTGCGAGCTTTTATAACCACCCTGCTGCTACCGTCGTGTTCTGCGAAAATATGGTGAAAGAGGAGTACCCCAGCCACAGGCAGCTTCCTTTCAAGAGTCATAATGGCTTCTAAAGTTCTACGTAGGACCTAGGGAAACTTTGTCAAGTTTGTGGGCGCAGAGCGAAGCGCCTTGCGCCGAACTTTCGGCTTCGAAGCTCCTGCTTCTGCCAACTGGCAAATGCTGGCAGATCTTTTCAACATGGAAGTCTTCGCAATTCGTTCAACGTTGTGTCATTTCCGGTCCTAGCTGGGCTGCAACTGATTCGTCCCCTGGGGAGTCCCTCATGACGAGTCCCGGGCACAAAACAAGCGTAAGAAGCTGCCTCAGGGGGACGGGCAGAAATTGAGGCAGTCCGGTTAGGGGAGACTTTTTGACACTCCCTGCAGGGAGTCCACGCAAATTTCTCGAGAGTCGAGTCTCCGGTATTCTAAAGGGGAGTGCTCTCCATGCGCCGTCTGTAACGCCAAGGCTCCAGTTAGTCGAAGCGTTACATAATTACCCGAGCTCGACGCGTGTTCCGTACCCTACGTACGTCGGCTGTCGTACGGTACGTTCCGTGCATCATTGATCGCTCGCGCGAGGCATGTGCTCTCGAACGTGAATCGAGCAAATGCGTGCTGCTCTGCCGACCACGCTCGCTAGTTGCCGGTTCTTACCAACGCCACGCAGCCTTTACCATGGGCCTACCAAATGAAGTTCAGGCTTATCTGGACGGCCAGGATCGCCCCGGACGGATCGTACGGTGGAAATGCGTTAACGCTCGTGCCGGATTCGACAGTGACGGTAAATTCTGTTGCATGTACCGTAGAGGACGCCACGTCACCACCCCCACGACGATTTCCGGACATTTTC